GTGACGGGCATTGCTCATAACATGATAAAAAAGAGATGCGTTACTCACCTACATAGCAGCTTTGGAAGTCTTTGGCATCTTGCATTGAAGAAACAATCCTGGACTTCGTTCTGGTTGGACATATGCTCCTTGATGGTTTTGTAAGTGTCTCTAATGAGTGGAGGCTGTAGCTCAGACCATGGTATTCATATTCCAGGCTGTCTTAGAAAGCTTCTCTAAGTGAAGAAACTAAACTTCTGCAGGCCCATGAAGGTGAAGGTTTGGGGGTGAAGGTTGGGGAGTTGCATCTTTAAGTGCCTCATGCCTAGTTTTGAGCTGCAGCAGTAGCATGAGTTGGGAACAACACCTTTGGCCATTGTTGAAACCTCATCCCCATTGCATGCTCTATCCCGCTGGATGAGCATGAGCATGTTGTGTGCTAGCAGGTATGCATCGTGTGTTTGGTGAGAAGAACACTTATGCACTTCATAGCAGCATTACAAACCAGGGTGGCATCCCCAAAGTGCACAGGAGCCACATAAGCCCCCGGAGGAGATGTGACAGCATTGCCATGCTGCAGCATGATATTCACCCATAGCATTCCATTTTATCCAGGCTTTATTTCCACAGTAATTCTGTGCTGATGCTGCCAAAATTGACTGTATTTCAAGCAGCTTCGTAGCGTACTGCACCTGCACAATGGGAAAACATTTAAATACATTTTATTCCATGCTGAATACAAACAAGAACTGCTTGGTTTTAACCATTTCTGCTTGCTGAGCAGCCTGCTTGCTACCAGCTGCTCTGTGGGGTTCATCTGTTTTTTCCCTGCTGGCACCAGCAGTTGATTAACTTGTATGCTGAAGAAGGGAAAGCCTCTGTAGCCTTTATTCCTGAAGGCTTTTGTTCCTGAAGTTGAAAAAGAAATGTCTGAATGGGCATTTTCCACTGAAAAAACACAGGAGACACATTACTGCAAAAGCAGGAGCTGGAGCAGCCTTGCTGTCTTGCTTGGAATCATGGAATGGTGGAAACCAGCAGCTTTCTTTTAACTTTCATTTTTCAACTAATATAAAACAGCTCCAGAAGTTTTCTTGTGCAATGCATGGAGAACCTGCCTGGCCCATTCCATGTAGCTGCACATCAGCTGTTAGGGCAAATTCTTGAGAACCTATAATAAAATGAGGCCAAGCAGCTGTAGTAGCAGTAAATGGTGTTGTCCTTGGTTTTTATCACTAGGTTCAATATCTTTTGGGGAATGATGGTAGTTTTAAAATAAGGCAAACTAGAGACAGGAGTACAACACTCAGGATGCCACGTAAAAGGCAGTTCATGATGGGACCTGAATCCCACTGAGACTGTGGGTCTGGAAATCCCCTTGGATGATCTCCCTGATGGGTTGGTCTCTGCCTGCTTCAGCCAGGCATACCCTGATTCCAGGAAGCTGATTGGAGAAGTTCGGTAGCAAGAAGTATTAGTTCTGAATCTTAAATAGAAAAAAGCCATATTAGAGAACAGTACCTTGTAGCAGTGCTGAGTGGATGCCAAGTAATGCAAAATTCCTCTATTTTGAGCTTTATTGGCTTCATTCATCCAAAAGTTCTCTCTCAAAATGGTGTAGTTTTCATCTTAACTTAAAAAAAAGTGGTAGTGAAATGTTTTCTGAACTGAATGAGCAAAAATTCTCAAGTGACTTTCAGGCAAGTGTAGCTTTAAGGCAGACAGACTCCTTTGCATTTGCAGAGTTCCTTTTGCAAGGCCAGCGCTTGCTGGCAGAGATCTTGGTTGTCACCTCTTTCTTCTGCTTCTTCCTCACCTCCGATGAAGAATAGTCTGTTCATCTGCTCTTGCAGTCCATGCCAGAACTGATCTTATGGTCCTTTCCAACCCTAAGTATTCTAGGATACTATGATTCTGTAATTTCTTTGTAGCCAACACAAGTTTTATGTGTTGCTTCCTACTCATAACCAACATGGGATGTTCACTGCTGGACTTCAGCAAGTGGTTGTCCATAAAGATTAATGCAGGGGTGAAACTTGTTGCCTACTTTAACCAGAGATAAACCATGATATATCGCTGCCATCACCTGTCCCAGGAATTGTTGATGTGGGTTTATCCAGCATACTTCTGGTTTTGGTGCTTAGTCTTCCTTCCTAACTGAAGTTGATACACAGGTTTCCTCCATTGGGTTCATGTGTCTGGTGGCTTGTGCTACAAAACCAGCTTTATTGCATGCCCATGGAAGTGTAGAGGTGTGAGACAGGCATGTTGGCAGGCCCCTGTCTGCATCCTGCCAGCTGGCTGCCTGCAGCAGAGTCACGGTGGCTGTGCCAAGACGTACTGGGGGGGCATATAGCCATGATTTAGCAAGTCCTGGGTAAGATGTGCAGGTTGTCCCCACCTAGGGTGAGTCACCAGGAACACCAGCTCCAGGTTGTTGTCTGCCTGGGTGAAGTTGTGCTCAGTTCTCAGGTGGTTGGAGGTTCCTCTTGGCTTCCTAATGGGTGAAGCCCAGGAGACTGGTGGAGCTGGATAAGGGGTGGATAAGATGCACTTTGTGAATTGGTACCTGTAAAATATAAACAGAGTTGGAAATCAGCTTGCCAGTGCTGGAAGTGTCACAAAGTTGTGGTTTGCTCCAAAATGTCATGTTTTACTTTATAGGGTCAGAATTCTTGAAGGAATTAAGATGTACATGCCTGACAGCAGGGGAAAGTAATAGTGTGGTATTGCAGCATCTTTGTATTTTTGTTGAAAGAGTGATATATGGCAATCATTTAGCCCCTGTTCTCGTCTCTTGCTGGTATAAACTTGAACCAAGTATCTTAAATTGAAATGCATTTTTATGGTGTTTCCTGACATCAAAAGAACTGCAAAGTCTAAATTTACTGTTGCACTGGTATATATGTTTTTGTGTGCCTGTATTCAGCTCTGATTCATGGAAGCTGGGCAGATTCTGGGAAGTTTAATTTTATCTTATTTAAAACCATACTCAATTACATACTTACAGCTTATCCCTATACCCCCGGCTAGCTTTGGAGCTTATATCAAATCCTGCAATGAAAACTCTTTCCTTCCCAAAGTCTGTGGCCAGATTGCAGAGGTGTTGCGTTTGCCCTGTGCCAGGATGCCATAGGGAGCAGCTCCCACTGCACCAGAGGCAGTTGCTCTCAGTGCCAGCAGATCTTTGCCTAGAGGGATGTAGTTCTCCTCAAAATGAGCTCCTCTTAGTGCCCTGATCCTTTCTTTGCCTTGCAGCTCAGGCACATTAAACTGATTAATTATTGGGATGTATCTAATGGGTACCACTTTGTACACCCATGGTGGGAAGAGCTGGGTAATTAATATAGCCATGATGACTTGTGCAAGAGGATTTTTTGTGTGAATGATGAATTCTGTAAGTAGAAAAGGGGTTAGGGTGAGTCTTGCACTCCATGCAAAGCTCAAAAGCTACATGAGGTGAGGCACCCTCAACTTCCCTATGCAAAGTCCTGTGCCCTGGAGGTGTCAACACTTTTGTAAGCAAATTTGGTGTGTGCTTGGAGGGAGGGTAAGTCTGCCCCATCCTTCTGTTAATGAGTGAGTCATTCTTAAAAGCTTTTGCAAAGCTTCGGGAGTGGAACAGGCTTTACTTAGTGATGTCTACCAGAAATTGCTTTTAAACTCTTCATTTGTCTGTTTTTACCCCTTGATCCCAGAAGTACCTTTGTGCTTTGGAGCAGTGACTTACAATTTGGTAGGATTTGGGGATGGATAGTGTGAGTCTGATGTCAGAGACATGCTTTGTATTATTGTTGCCAAAGTTTTAAACAGATGTTATATATGTATATATGCGAAAACACTGATATTCATATGACTGCATAGAGAATTGTAGGATGTCTGCAATTTCATAGAATCACAGAATAGAATCATAGAACAGTTAGGGTTGGAAAGGACCTTAAGATCGTACAGTTCCAACCCTCCTGCCATGGGCAGGGACACCTCACACTAAACCAGGCAACACAAGGCTCTGTCCAACCTCGCCTTGAACACTGCCAGGGATGGAGCATTCACAATTTCCTTGGGCAACCCATTCCAGAGCCTCACCATCCTCACAGTAAAGAATTTCTTCCTTAGATCCAGTCTAAACTTCCCCTGCTTAAGTTTGAACCCCTTACCCCTTGTCCTGTCACTACAGTCCCTAATGAAGAGTCCCTCCCCAGCATCCCTATAGGCCCCCTTCAGATACTGGAAGGCTGCTATGAGGTCTCCATGCAGCCTTCTCTTCTCCAGGCTGAACAGCCCCAACTTCCTCAGCCTGTCTTCATACAGGAGGTGCTCCAGTCCCTGATCATCCTCGTGGCCTCCTCTGGACTTGTTCCAACAGTTCCATGTCCTTTTTATGTTGAGGACACCAGAACTGCACACAGTGCTCCAGGTGAGGTCTCACGAGAACAGAGTAGAGGGGCACTATTTTCAGGTGCTTGATCTCACTACTTGTTTTTAATTTATTTTGAGCATAATAGCTTAGCAATAGGCTACATGAGCAACTTCCACAACTATTTTGTAGAGAAAGATCTCAAATGCTAGAGTGAAAGTGTTGGAGGGGAAAAATAAGATATATAATATTAGAAACTGATATTCAGCCAGTGCTTGTTGTTCTCCAGGCAAATGTAAAGCAGAGAAGGTTTGTTACTGTGGTATGAAAGGATGGGTTTCCCAGTGCAGGGCTATGTGCTCCAGGAGTGAAGAAAGCCACAGCACTTCATGCAGAAGTTGGTCTCCCCCTGTCTCTGCAAGCGTTTGGAGATGTTCTGGAGATGCTCAAAATGTCCTTCATGTTTTAGCTGAGATGTACCACTACTGTGTATTATTCACCATTATTTTGGTGCAGTATAGAATAAATCCAGCATCCATAACATAGGCAATAAGGCGAGGGAGTCGATGACATTGTGAAGATGAAAGATCATGTCATGATGCAAACAAACTGTTAACAAGGAAGCGGATTAACTCACAAATGCTTTTCTCCTCTGCTGCAACAGGGATGAGAAGAACCAGTCCATCATTGTGAGCGGGGAGTCTGGTGCTGGAAAGACAGTTTCTGCCAAATATGCCATGCGCTTCTTTGCAACCGTTGGTGGTTCTGCCAGCGAGCCCAACATCGAGACCAAAGTCCTCTCATCGATCCCAGTTATGGAGGTAAAAGCCGCAGCATTTCCTTTGTCCTGCTTGCAGTGAATTCTGTGTGTCTCCAGAAGTCACAGAACAGTGAGAGCTGCAGGGGCTTGTGAGCCAAACCTGATTTGCAGCCTCACAACAGCCCTGAGCTGGGCTGCAGCACAGAAATACACTGATAGCTTCCATTTAGCTAGGCCCGATTGCTCCTCTATTTCATGGTCTTGAATTTGAGTCCGTACATCCCCAGCATGGCTTCAGGAGCTGGGATTTGATGTGGCTTCAGAGTGGAGAACCTGAGTGGTAGGCTCATCATTAGTATTTTGTCATGTTCATCTTCCTCCTTGTTTTACCACTGCATGGTACCTCCTAATTTTATTTACTTGTAGAAGGGTGAAACATAAAAGAAAACGATTAATCTTTTTCAGATATTTCAATGCAGTTCTGGTTTTGTTAATTTTCTATTGCAGTCGGTCATATAGGGAAATAACAAGCCTCGTTATAGGGAAATTCTTACTCTGAGGAAAAAACTCTCCTTTTGTAAATATAAAAGGGGAAAAGTGACTTTACTTCATTGCACCATGTCTAGATGGTGAAAATTAATGTCTAAACCTATTTTCCAAAGGGATTTTGGAGTCAGAGTGCCTTTGTTTGCAAAACAATTCAAGTCCTGTACTTAACCTTAGGCTTGGTTTAACCTGCAGGAAGGTTTCCCACCACTCATGGCCAGAATTGTCATAATAGACACTGAGGTGGTGGCTGATCTAGGACAAAAACCAAGCCTACCCCAGACCCAGAAGCAGCATGTGTGGTCTGGCATCGTGCTGCCTGATGTGGGGTGCTAGCTGGAATGATAAAACAAGTGACTGTGCAAGTGAGGAGTAAGAACTGTAAGGCTGGCAGAGAACACTCAATGATCTGCTGCAGCGTGGGCTTCATGCTGGCTTACTCCTTTCCTTGCTCGTCTCTTTTGCCTCTGTGAAATGTAGCTGCAATACCTGGAAACACTTAAAAAGCATCCAAGGAAAAATTCATAGTGCAAACTGTTCTTCTGTGTGACTCCATAGTTTTGTTGCTCTAATTTTCTTGCCTGTGTTCAGTTCTGGATGTAATTTCTGAGTGCTGGGGCCAGGGACCCTGTCTGTCTTTACTGGAAACTGTTGAGAACATTTTTCATGCAAAAATCAAGAAAGAGAACTGCCTGATGTGCAAAACCCCCAGAATTAACGTGAAGATGGAGTAGAGGGGTGTGTGTGTTGTCAAATAGTCCTTAGGGCTGTGTTTGATGTGTAGGATATATGTCCCTGCTGGGAGGATGGGGCAGGTATCTGCTTTATAGCCAAGGAATTAAAGCACATGAGATAAGGCAATGAGAGTATTTTGGATGCTCAATTCAGCAAGCAAAATACCTGGCTGTGGTGTGTGTTGTAGCAGTTTGTGAACCCCATTTTCTGGGGAATGGGCATTAGTTTCTGTGCAGAAATGGAGTGCAAATGCTCTGCCTCTGCCCTGCTGCTTTTATGTATGGTCTGGTGTAAGTGCTGGAGGGTTGGAGGTGGAAAGTGGGGCTGTGAGTCTGGGAGCACTCTAAGTGATGTGGAAGGGTGAGCTGCAGTAAAGGGGTTGGATGGGGCTTGGAGCAAGCTGCTCTAGTGGAAGGTATCCCTGCCTGTGGCAGGGGTTGGAACTGGATGAGCTTTAAGGTCCCTTCCAAATCAAACCATTCTATGATAAATGGGCCTTGGAGGAAGGAGATGCATTAGCTACATAGGGGTTGGATTGGTGGTGAATGGATAGGGCATGGAGCAGGCAGGGCTTGCTCTGAGTGCGATGCTGAGGCTGTTGGGTCAAAGAACCCTCAAAACTTAATGGAGAGGTCGAGCAGCCAAAGGGCCAGGCAGCAAGGAGCAGCTTTGCATGTGCAACAGCCTCTTTTCAGTAGGCAGCAATGTACTGCAGAGTAACTCCCTGGGGAGTCCACTGCATGCAATTGGAGGCATTAGGTTCTATGATCAAAAAGTTTTGGAGGATGTCAATGTGATGCTGTAGGTAATACTGTGATTCTTGCTAAGTATGTGTGCTTGGCGTGTTCCCCAGGAGCTGTGCCATAGGTTGAGGTAGTCTTCAAATAAAGGCTGGGACAGGCAGACATCCTTCAAGACGCGCCTGAGGGCTCTTGTCTGTACATGTCCATCCCCTTTCATTACTTCTGTGCTTGCTTGAGGCACATCATCTCAGAGCAGGGGAATAGTGGCGGAAAAGACAAAACAGGAGTGCTGTGGCTGGTGGGTTGTAGATGATCTAACTACTGTGCAAATACTCATTGCTGTTTCTGTGTATTTTTCTTCTATAAAAATTCTGAAACACCAGATTTTCAGGGAAGAATTTTCCCAAAAGTCATGTTGTTGCTCTGCCTTCTGCATCTGGGAAGGGGTTTTCCTCAAATCCTCCCATGAGTGTTTATGTAACACTGATTACACATTTAAATGTTTAAAAAAACTTAAAAATTAAAGGTTAATGTTTAATTTTGTTTCATGCAGGCAATTGGAAATGCTAAAACAACAAGGAATGACAACAGCAGTCGCTTTGGGAAATACATTCAGATTGGCTTTGATAAAGGATACCGCATCATTGGTGCCAATATGAGGACTTACCTGTTGGAAAAATCACGAGTTGTATTCCAGGTGAGGAGTTGTGCTTTTTTTTTCTTCCTTTCTTTTTATGTTCTAGTCCAGGAAATTTAGTAGTCTGGGTCTTTCTGTGGGTTAAAAATATCACTCTAAAAGTATTTTTCCTGGTGGAGGCAGCTCCAAGATGTGTCTTTCAGACTCAGTCTTTTGCAGTTTTTCTTGATGATCACGATGACTTCATAAGTACCTGGGAGACTTGTTAGTTGGGCTCTGGTTGTTCCCTCCATCTACCTGAGGCTGGAGCCCAAAGGAGGGACCAATGCTCCTGGCCTGGCTGATGGGCAGGGATGGAAAGCTTTCTCTGGGCAGCAGCAGAGGTTTTTACTGAAAAAGAGGTTTTTCATGAAAAGCTAGGAAAAATAAATTCGAGGCAACAGTCTTCAGGTCTGAAGATGGAGGAGAAGCAGGAGAGGGGCTGAGGAGGCTAATGTCACTGCTGTGACACATCACACAGGTTTCTTGTGCTGGGCTCAGGACAAGCTTTCTTGTTCGTGCTTGGCATCTAGGTCATAAGCGCCTGAAACACTTGTGTCCTTACACAACAAAACCCCCAAACCCACAAAGTCATAAAAAAAAAACAACTTTGGGAAGCCATGAGTGTAGGCCCCCTCTTTTTATGTTGCAGTGTCAGTTTGCAAAGTGGTGCTTGCTAGCTCTGTTAGCACAGTTATCCCAGGTAAGGATAAGGCATGGAAGATAATATAAAGTTATTTATTTCATTTGCAAAATGGGCAAGGTACATGGGTCAGGACAAGGCTTAGCACCTCCTCTTTCCCAAATGGCAAAAGATCTCTGTCTTCTTGGTGGCACTGAGAGGGTCTTGATGGTGGGAAGCAGGAGATGGGGTGGGGATAGCCCTGGGCTCAGTGAGCACTGGGCTGAGCATGGGAGCAGTGCTGTAACCTCTTTGTGCCTCTGGTAACTCAATGTTTTCCCATAGGCGGAGGACGAGCGCAACTACCACATCTTCTATCAGCTTTGTGCCTCAGCGAGTCTCCCAGAATTCAAAGACCTTGGGCTAAGTAAGTACTTTACCTCCCTGTGCACTGGTGTGGCTGCTAGTTGTGATGGCAACAGGAAGACAGGATTAGGTTAGAAATGCAGGTCATTGATGAGGTCATGTGTGCCTGTTCAGTGAGAGGAGGTAAAGGGAGATGAGCTCAAAGGGCAGCTTCTCCCCAGTGGCACCCAGGTTTGCTCATACCATCTTCAGGCATGCGGCACATTGGATGGTTGAGGTAGGGATGAGGTGCTGAGGCGCTGGCACAGGGTGCCCAGAGAAGCTGTGGCTGCCTCATCCCTGGCAGTGTTCAAGGCCAGGTTGGACACAGGGGCTTGGAGCAAGCTGCTCTAGTGGAAGGGGTCCCTGCCTGTGGCAGGGGTTGGAACTGAATGGGCTTTAAGGTCCCTTCTAACTCAAAGCAGACTGTGAAACTGTGATGAGACACCAGCCCTCATGACCTCTGCTGTGCAGCAGCTTGCTTCAGAATGTGCATGAAGCTTGTGTTGCACTGGTTGGTGCTGTTAGGTTTCTGCAAGCACTGCCGGTGGTAGGAGCTTTCTCCTGGAGGTTAGCCATAGTGGGAGATGAGAAGAAGCCTATGTATTTTGTAGAAACTGCCTGCAGAACTGCAGTGAAACAACACACTGTGGTAGACACTAGCTAATGCAGGGAGATCGTGTGTTAATATTGTGCGAAACTTGCATAAAAACACGTGTTTTAAATCAAATATGTGAGTATGGGTTGATCCAGCCAGAGTCTTGGCAGGAGCAGTTATGATCCATTATATTTTTTTCAGTGGTAAACTCTCGAGTTGTTTTTTCTGACAGGATTTGCATCAAAACCTCTGTAAGACACCTGAATAAAAGGGTTTACAGCAGCGGGTATAGAGATGTGTTGTAATTATGTTTTTAAAATCTTGAACGTTTGCTGCTGCTTAAGAAGAGAAGCAAGGCTTAAAACGTGCTTTTAAGTACTTCAAATGGTGAGCAAGGTGGATTGTGATCCCAGCTCAGAGCATCTTGCCCCTGCAGCCTTTCAGAGGTTTCCATCACAGCTATGGGGGAATGGCAGATCAAGAGAGATTCAGTTCCTGTATAATTCTGGGCTTGTCTTAATGACTTTTTGGGTCACAGTAGGCATGTGGGCTACACTTACTGAGTGCTGGTGCTGACATTGAAGCACCCCTCTTCTTGTCCTTTTGTCAGCAGTAAATGTCAGTGTGTTACTCAACTGTAGTCTCTATTCTGCTCAGTGACACCAAATCAGACAACCACATCATGAGTTTGCCAAGTCATAAGATAACTTCAGAGACTGTCCAGGCATAACCATAATGTCTGTCTCAGGCTTCCTGGGTGAAGGTTTTGCATGATTCACTGTACACCAGCCATAGTGTGAAACCTGGCTCTGCACGTAGGTCAAGGCTTGTGATGGACCTGGGGCTCCTTTTGGTCTCTAAGGGCACCAAAATGATGTTCTTCTGACAGCAGCTTCCCAGGTACCATTGAGGAGCACGTGTTTGGTCCCATTGCAGACTCACATGACCCCAAAGCACATCTCTCTGAGCACTTTAAAGAGTTTCTCCCATGGGATTATGTGCCTCATTTTTGCAAAGATAGCATGGATAATGATAATGTCTGCTGGCATCTTAAAACTCAGACCTAAATTATTTCAGCTCAGTCTGGGAGATGAGTTGATATGGGAGAGCTCCAGCTGTGAAACCACCTTTCTGTTCCTGGGAACATGTGGATCAGAGGAAGTATCACTCTTGTTCAGCACAGCTCTTTAAAAGCATTGTCTGTATTTGTTGTGACTAGTAATGGTGAAGAATGAGAGCACTCTGCTCTCCTGGTGCATCATCCAGGACATCTTTATGCTGTTGTGACTGTGGCTCTCAACTTCAGTGTCTCAAGGGACAATGTGTAATGGCAGCAGCTGGCACCGTAGGAGGCAATGGGTGCCAGGGCTGTTAGCCCACAAGGATGGGTTATTTCTAATCAAACTTTGATGCTGTCAGTGTGTGTCAGTCTCCAGCTCCACTTTTCCATGGTACTTGTGTGTTTGCTGTATTGCAGTGTACACAGGTATCCGTACATCCTGCGGCTTCTGCATTCGGGCGGAATGCAGCAACTGGAAAAGAAGTGATTCTTTCCAAAATCCAAAGTCTTTGGTGTTTCCTGCACTGTCACTTTGCAGTAACTTAAAAATACTTCCCCAAAACGTTTTCGTAGCTTCTCATGTGCTAGGTGGGGATGGCTTTTGGGGTACATGGGTGCCATGAGCTAGTTTTGTTGGGGTGAACCAGGTTCTGCCTTGACCTGTTGAATTCATAGTGGTGGGTGGGTTTCTGTGAGTGCAGATGTGCACAGTTGACTGGTTCTTCTTTCTTTTGAGGGATTTTTTTCATTACCAACTTTGCATCAGGTGTACCAGCCTGTATCTTGAGATGACTAGTCAAAACACACTTTTTTTTTACTCATGTAAGCTGTACCTTACATACCTGTCAACCTTATCTTCCCAAGGCTTATACAAAACAAGGGTATCTTGATGTGAAAATCCATCTTTTCTTAGCTAGCAAGGAGGATATATATTTTTCCATGTCAAATGTTCGGGCTTTTTTTTCTCCTTTGGGTCTTGCACACACACAAAGAATTGTTGTTGCTATCTTTTATATTGTAAAACGCTGGAAAATAAAGAGAGTCTCTATGTGAGCCCAACAGAGCAAACTAGTAAGTGTTTGCTCTTCTAAAGGCTTGATTTTAAACTAGAAAATAAATATTTGACTTAAAAATGCAGGAGTCAGTAATCAGCACTGTGCCTTCCCAAGTGTGATTAACTTACTGATGCCTGGTCAATGGTGCAAAGCAGGAATGTGTTTTATTTGTTTGCAGTGAATCAAATGGTTTCTGTGGTTATTAAAATCATTGCATACAGATTGAAATACAAATATTAGAACCAGTTACACCAGAGATGACTTGAGGCAGAAACAGATCCCAGTATTGATGTATGAAATTGGCGACTGATGTCTTGTACCATCAACAACCACCAGCTTGGGATGCATCTTGCAGGATGATGTGCAGCAACATCAAGCTGTTAATCACAGAATCCTAGAACCACAGACTGGTTTGTGATGGAAGGAACATTAAAGCTCGTCCAGTTCCAACCCCTGCCATGGGCAGGGACCCCTTCCACCAGAGCAGCTTGCTCCAAGCCCCTGTGTCCAACCTGGCCTTGAACACTGCCAGGGATGGGGCAGCCACAGCTTCTCTGGGCACCCTGTGCCAGCACCTCAGCACCCTCACAGCAAAGAGCTTCTGCCTAAGAGCTCATCTCAGTCTCCCCTCGGGCAGGTTAAAGCCATTCCCCTTGGCCTGTCCCTACATCCCTTGTCCCAAGCCCCTCTCCAGCTTTCCTGCAGCCCCTTCAGGCACTGGAGCTGCTCTCAGGTCTCCCCTTCAGGAGCCTTCTCTTCTCCAGGCTGCCCCAGCCCAGCTCTCTCAGCCTGGCTCCACAGCACAGGTGGTCCATCACAGGCTGGGTGAGTTCTGTTGTGCTGGGAGCACCAGGATGGACATCAGCTCTCTGACTCCAGACAACATTTTCTGCGCCTTGTTCCTGATGCTGCAGCCATGAGCAGAGTTACTGAAATCTCTGGGTCCCAGGGCTTTGAATACCAGAGAGAATTAAATGTTTTTCTTAACAGCCTGAAAGTACAGCTAATGCAAAAGCGTCTGCAGGAGGTCTGGGAAGGGATGAGGACCTTCTGGTGGCAATGTGGTTCAAAAAAGGTACAAATTGCAGTGATTTTAAAGGTTACCAGCAGGCTGATGTGGAACACACAGTAGGCTGGTTTCGTCGTTACTTCCATGATAATTCAGAAATATGTTTGTGAATGTTAATGAGTTTTTTTGAGATTTTCTTTACAAGTCACTGCTCCCTGGTTTGAAGCAAGCCGAAGCTGGTGCTGAGGACTGATTCTGGGTAGGATGGGGAAGTTGCCCACCTCCTGGGCTCCCCAAGCCTGCTCCAGCTCTGCCAGCACTCAGCCTAGCAGCCTTTGGGTTGTATCTTTATAGTTTTGGCCCCAACTAAGCTCTTGTTTAAAGGAGGGGCAATTGCTTGTGCAGCTTTAAAATGGGTATCAATCCTGCTGTCTCTTCTTGTTGTATCTGCATTTAAAATGCATCTCAGTCTCCGTAGGATTTAGTTTTGTGTTGTCCTGAAATAACTGCTAAAGCACGGGTACTCAAATGGTGTAATGCTGGCACTGCAGGTGATTCTCCATTCCCTTTGCTCCCCAGGTTTAAGGCATTATGTGGAAAAGGGTTTAAAGTATCTGAATCAGTCGTGGGTATGTGAAACAGGATAAAAAGAATAAAGTAGTAACATATTTCAAACAGTCAACACCCATGCAATACAGACGTTTTTTGAATTGCAAATACACCCTAGCTCTGCTCTGAATGAACTTGCTTTGCATGGGGAAGGGGTTTCATCACTGCAAGAAGTAGCTACACTCAGTTATCAAGGTTGTACTTCATCCATTTCTGAGTAAACTGTGGTTCAAAAGAGGTGGGTGCCCTTTGGGAATGAGGTGGTGGGGGACAGGGAGCATCCCAGTACACACTCTGGAGAGTGGCTGCAGGGGGATAAGTGCTGCATGGTGATGTATTTCTTCTCTTTATTCTCTCCTAGCGTGTGCTGAAGACTACTTCTACACATCTCAGGGAGGTGACACGTCTATTGATGGTGTGGATGATGCTGATGACTTTGAGAAAACAAGGCATGCCTTCACCCTACTTGGTAAGGGGCTGCTCTCATTGGAGCCTTCCTAGCAGAAGTCTCTTGCAAATGTATTCAGTGTTTTGCCTGCACTATATGGCTCTCCTTTAACACCGAGAGGTATAAAAATCCATATTTCCTATTGATCTAATTGGCTTTACCTTGTTCTTTACTATGAGCTGCGAAGTGTTTCATACCGCTCTCTGTGAAGCAGCAGTGAAATGGAGAAAGACACTGGGTTTAAGAGAAACCTACATAAACCATTGTGGAGTCAAAGCTGTACTGCAGCTTTGATTTGCTAGTTTTTACCCTATTTACAAGAAGGAAAAAAGCTATTACTCTGCAGTTCAGTTTGTATTTGGGTTGAGGGTGATGTCACTTTTCAGACCAGCACAGTATTGTACTGAGTAACTGATGGTTGGGAATAATTTGCTGACTACATCTGTGCTCTGAAGAGTCCACATTTGCATGGCCAGTTGCAAAATCTACCACTCCAACAACCACCTGCGCATGCTGCAGTTGAGCAATGCCATCACCTGCCTGCAGCACCAGATCTTTGAAAGGAAAAACAGTTTTTGCAGGTGAAAACTTTCCCTGTTTATTAATATTTATCTGAAACCATGTTTTTAAATCCCGGTAAGTCTTGGTGCCTCACTGCTGCATTTCACGTGTTGGGAGAGAAGCTCATGATGTTCACAGCTGGCTGTGAAATGCCTCTGAACAGATGTACTGCAACCACACAACATTTGTCCTCTTTGTGTTTTAGATGGACTCAACCTCTTTTTCTCTGGGGTACAAGCAGTGTCTTGTCTTTGTATTAACCCTCCTCTCATCTGGCTTGTATGACTTTGGTGAAGTACTTAAAAATTACTCCACTGAATGCTCCAAACTTGCCCAGGGGGCTGTAAACCCCAGGGAGCTTTCTCCCCTTCCCCATGTATAGTTTTTCTTTGGTCCCCTTCTCTACGTCCCCAGGCTGACCCCCTGTCTCCTGCTGGTCCCTGTGAAGCACTGTGTGAGCATCTCCCTCCACGACCAATTTCATAGAATGGTTTGGGTTGGAAAGGACCTTAAGATCATCACGTTCCAACCCTCCTGCCATGGGCAGGGACACCTCACACTAAACCATATCACTCAAGGCCTCGTCCAATTTGATGATGTTTTACTGCTCTTTATGTGCAGTGGCTTTTCTGGCTTTGTTTTTCATGGGTTTTTTTTCAGTGTTTCCCAGCTCTGTCTGGTTCTGTTCAGGGACTGGTGAAATCGCTACTACGCTTTCTAGTCCTGTCTTTGTATGTGTAACAAGAAGTCATATTTATCTGCAAATCTCCACCCTAGCCAGGCTTAACTTCAATTAAGAGTGCCAAGTAACAGCAGAGCATTGCTCCTTTCAGTAACCTTGAAACGTTTCTCACTGTGCTGACAACAGAGAAATCCCGAGAGGGGGAAGCTCTCGATAATTCAAAAACCAGCAGGTAATGTCTCAGACCTTGGGTGTGTAATGAGGACACCAGCACTGAACACAAAAGGGGTACAGAAACCCAGTTGGGATGTAAAAGTGCAAGATGCAGCAAGAAAGCTGTGTGCAGGCAGCTGCTGGGCAAAGCTCCTGCTGGGAATGCCTGCAAAATCCTGCCAGAAAAATAATATATAACAATAATATCTTACAATCCCTGTGAAGACCCACAAGACATAGCTCCTATTGGGGCAATGGGGATGGTAAGATAAGAGCTCTGCATCACCTCCATGGTGAATTGCTGTATCCAGTGGTAGCACCAGTCTGGAGGCACTGTGCATCATGCATATGGCTTTAATTTTCTCTTCTGTTTGTGGGATGCCAGCAATAAGTTGTAACTTCCTTGCTCCAGTTATCAGCAAGATCTTGCTGCTAGACTGAGATCACAGAGAAGTGACTCCTTGTTCTGTGAAAGCCACAGAACTCCTACAGCTCTGGGCCTGTTTGATCATTATGGAGTAGTGTCCTTGGTTTTGTACATGTTCACAATAGTATTAAACCCATATGTGATAAAACTGCTTCGATGCAACCAAAGAAATAACATAAGCAGCTCCTCTCACATCCTCCGCTCTCATTTTTGAGCGATGACTTTACTGAGTGCTTATGATGTGTTTGTTGGGAGAGGTCTGATAGCTCTGAAACGCAGCATCCTGGGAAGGAAATCAAACACTGTATGCATTTTCAAATGAACTGAAAATTGCAGTTTGTTTTCTGTTGTGACAACTGGCTATCAATTGTTCCCATAGGAGTGAAGGAGTCTCATCAGATGACCATTTTTAGGATAATTGCTGCCATTCTGCACCTAGGGAACTTGGAAATCCGAGTGGAACGAGACGGCGATGCCTGTAGTATATTGGTAGGTCACCAGCAAGAGTGGGGTACATGGGGAGCTTTGCATGCTCATAAATCGGGCCACACTGTGTTCAGCTTCACAGCAGTATCTTTTGTTAGAAAGCCCTTTTTTCTGCTGGTTTTCTTTGAATTTTTTGAAAACACACCATAATTTCCTGGCTGCTTAGACTTTCCTGGAAGACAATGCATTATTTCTCCTCTCTAGCCAGCCTGTGAATGAGGTGATGTAAAGGCTGCTTACCACCTTACATCCCAACCCCTATTTAACTCTTCTTGTTTTCTTAAAAGACTTGGTGCCCAGAGTATTGGGTGAACAGTGACTCCCACCAGCAAAAGGTGTGATGCTCTAGAACCACTTTTATATTAGCAAACCCATGAAGCTGCTGCTTGTAATGTGGCCATCCAGTATCCAAAGGAGCACAGCACAGTTAGTTAGCATGTATAAATAAGACTAAAAATGCCTTAGTGGTGTTTTTTTTCTGTTTCTGTGTTTGTTCAGAAGAGGGGGAAAAAAAGGCAATTATATGGGAAACACTATCATTACATCCCAGACTGGGGTTCCTAACTAAAGTACTGAAACAGGTTCTGTGCACACTTTCAGTGTTACCCTTGAGGTAACGTGGTGTTCAAGTAGATACTGGAGGTAGTTTGCTTGATACTTGGCAACATGGATATGTGAAAATGGTCTGCTCTGACAGTGTTGAGTTCTATAAAGGAGTTCATGTTGTTTAATTACCTTTAGATGTAATTGCATGCTATTAAATCGGTCCTGTTTTGACTTTGAATCTGTAGTCAAAAACATATCCCAGCAATAGAGCATCCTAGAGGTCTTTTAAAATGCATTTCCCCCCCCTCCAAACCCATTCACCTTCTGTACATGTATGTATCTGGAAACTGTTTACTTCCTTTACTTTTGTGTTACTACACTGAGGAAAAGAAAATTAATTTCTCATTGTCCAAAATGCAGTGTCAACTACCTCGGCACAACAGAGACGCAGAACGGCCTTGTCTTACTTTGAGGGGGGAAAGAAAATACAATGCACTAGAGAAAATGAAGCTCATATCTCATTGTATTGATTATGCAAAACACAAGCCCTTCTGGTGATGCACATTTTGTGAGTTTGTTATTCAAAAGGGAGTTAGTTTGTGAAAGGCATGGTGTAATGGCATTCCCTAGCCTTTAACTTCAGGCTTAATCAAGGTTGTTGTGAAAGAGTGTGTAGCTGCAGCTCAAAGAGGAGTAAAGTAGAAAGTGCTCCTTCCTGTTGACAGTGACTGTGGCTATCTGCTGTTTATGAAAACAGAGACCTTGAGGATGGCCAGACCAGAGGAAAGCTACAGGGTATACTATTATTCAGAGCTCCGTGTAAGCCATTTCATCCATATCCATGAAGGCTAGCTCAACTGGATGAGTGCCCATTGCTTTCCTGTTTCCTGTCAACCACATTGAAACACAGTATTTCCCTACACAGTTATGAAATGCTGCTTATTTCTTGCACTATCTGGGAACGTGATGTTGAATCTCCAGCTTTGGGGTGTCACCAACCTGCTGACTTTGCTTCTTGTTACCCCCAGAGCGAGGACAATCACTTGAACAGCTTCTGCAGCTTGCTGGGTGTGGAGCACAGCCAGATGGAGCATTGGCTCTGCCATCGCAAGCTGGTTACCAGGGCCGAGACCTATGTGAAGAGCATGTCCCTGCAGCAAGTGGTGAATGCCAGGAACGCCCTGGCCAAGCACATCTATGCCCAACTCTTCAGATGGATCATGCAACACATCAACAAGTCCCTGCACACCACCATTAAGCAGCACTCCTTCATCGGCGTGCTTGATATCTACGGGTAGGCAAGCTTTCTGCTTTTAAGGCTGTTTAGTTAGTCCTTTCTGATTTAACTCTCACATTTTTCTTGGCCTTGTCTTGTGGTAGGTAATGGGAGCAATAGAAAGGGGTGCAATAGTGTATGGTTTGCACTTTTGATCCTCCTTAAGACTGTGCCACCTTGACCCCCGAGTTGAGCACACAGATGTTTGAGTGATGCCTTCTGGGATTTACCTCCCGCGCCATTCCCATTTTGGATTTCTGTCCCCTGTGTTATTTAAGGCATCACACTTAAAGATGAGCTAGGGGTAAAGATGCCCATATGGAGACCAAAGACTGCTCTTGGCTCTTCCTGGGGTTGCTGTGTGGTTTGAAGAAACTGCTTCTTTAGCAGTGAAACTGATGCTGCAGGGCCCTTGTCTTTCAGAGGTCTTTGGAAACCTGCTGCAGGACAGGGTAAGGTACTAAAAGCTCTACCATAGCAGAGGGCAAGGACTGCAGCCTGCAACCTCAGGGGCAATGAGCTGTTCTAAATTCGGACTGCATGCCAGTTACTGTCCAGCCTGTCACCCTGATGCTTGAGAGCTGGTAGCTTGAGCTTGCGCTCATTTTAGCTGAAGTGCTGCAAAGAAGCAGAAGGTGGAGGAGAAAGGGAGGGATTCTGCGACTTGTGGGGTGGCAAAGGGAAGAGGTCTTCGGGATTTAGGTTTTCCCTTCTCCTCTTTCAACACCATACATTTTCTGTCTTTTGGGGGAGTAAGGGCAAGGGAGAAGTCACAGGTTTGCCCAGGGAAGTGGTAGATGCCCTATCACAGGAAATATTCAAGGTCAGGTTGGAGAGGGCTCTGAACAACCTGTTTAGTTGAAGATGTCCTTACTTATGCAGGTTGGACTAGATGACCTTCAAAGATCCCTTCTAACCAAAACCATTCTGTGCTTCTAAGTGGGACAGCAGTAACCAGCTGTGCTCCCTGAACATATAAAGATGCCCCTATTTTGGAGGAGAATGAGGGATGGATGAGTCGTAGCTGCTTCAGGAACCAGTCCCTGACCCAGTGCAGTTGCTGTGCTTGCTCAATCTCAAATCTCTTGTAATGGCAGACTTCTCGGGAAGGTCTGTTGGGTCTAGGTGAACCTGAAGTTCAGAATTAAATCCTGCCAAAGCTGTTCTGGGTCAGGTGCAGAAAGCTTTTATGGCTATGATACCTACACAGTTACTGGAGCTTGATCTTGGTATGAAACCTCCCATGGGGTTTCTACAGCTACTGGTGTTTGGGATGTTGATTCTAACATCTGCTGAGCAGCCACAGCAGCAGAAAGGCTGCTAGAATGTGCTGGAGCATCAGTGTAGTCCACTGCCTGCTCATCTCCACCAGTGACTGTGGCCTTATGGCAAGGTTTAGGGGGACACTTGTATTAAGTATGATAAGAATACAGTCCTCTTTTTGGGTTTGGGATATCAGTGGTATTTGAGATGGTTTGAGATGGTGAGGTTGCTCTCAAAGGTTTGCAAGTGTCTGGGCTCTCTTCAATAGATAACACAGGACCTGGAAGATGTTAAATAATGAGATGGGATTGGCACAGTCTGGTTCAAAGGCTGTATGAGATGGAAAAGCTGTTTCTCATCAATGTCCCTACAGATGAAGATTTCTACAGGCTGGAGTGTCATAAAGCAAGCTTTGGGATGAAGCCATGCAGCCGATAGTGGGTCACAGCAGAAAACTAGATGTCTGAGTGAGAAAATCAGATCAGTCTTTCAGAAACCTGAAGGAGACTTGAGGATGTAACACTCATGAAAGATTAAGCAGGGCTTGAAAACCTGTTAGTGTGGAAGAAAAACATGCCTCAAATGCAGGTCCTTGGTGCATCACGTCCAGAGACGCTTTTACAGCACTCCTGTCAATGCAGGGTACAGGAGGGCTTCTTTTCCTCCAGGACCTGCAGGTCCTATCAAAAGAAGCAGGTTTGCTGGAGGAGGGTGTCCATGCTTCAGCCCATAATGCTGGTGTGTGAGCCCAAGCTCTTAAAGAGCTCTTAAATCTTAATCTTAAATCTTAAAGAGCTCTTAAATCCCTTTCATAAAGGGGTAGGGCTGTCTGAATACCGAGTATTTCACAACTCAGGGGTTTTAGGTGCTGACAGCCTGGCTCTCTGCAGTCCTTGAAGGTCATGTCATTCCCTAGACTCAGTAATTTGGGAGTTTTAATGCATTCTGCTAAATATTGGACTTCCCCCTCCCCCCATGTCTGTTTTTCCTCTGAGAGAGAAATTAAGCTAGAAAGGCAGGATCCTGCGAGTAGCCTTCACCACATGTCTCTGACATTCCCAAAGCACCTCTGTCCCAGTGTTGCAGCTGGGAAACAGCTGCCCCAGCTGTCCCCATAAGTGGGATTTTTAGAGACAGGAGCCAAGCCAGAGGTGCAGAGATGATTGGGTTTATTTCCTAAATCTCTAATGCTCGACTTCTTTATTCTCTTCTAACATTGAGGTGAGAGGGTGAAGCATTAAAAGCCTTTATTGTATTTATTTGAAAGCATGCTATTTGCTATAGTAGCAATACTGAAATCTGAAGAGTGAATTCATGTGGCATTCCTGGACTTGAGTGGGATAACTTGTTTTCCCTCTGTTTGCCATGTGAAGTGTGAACACCCACATGGCCAGCTGTATGCTGGACTTATTTATGAACTTTAAATATTTTAGCATAAACCCTGATGCTGCAGTGGATTTAGGGTATACTAGTTGCACAGCAGAATAGAGAATAGGAGAAAAGCCAAAATGTGGTATTTGTCGCCTCGTACCTGCTGATGATGTGCCTTCTTGGAAGCCACAGGGATGGTTTGGAGTCATGAATAAGCTTATTTAATACACCAAGGTATGGTGCACTGAAAGGATTAGAAACCAAACAGCCATTTGTTTGCTTTTCCCATTAGGATGTCATGTCAGTGCAGTCACTCTGGGCAGGTAGGACCTCCTGGTGAGTGCATACATGAAGCTAGCGACAGGTCTGCTCCATCAGTTAGCAAATTGCACTGGCAGAATCCTTTAATTAGCTATTTCACATGATCTCCCTTGGAGTTGATGTAGTAAAGCTGCTCTGCCCCTGACCAGCACCCGCTGAGAGGGTCCATAAATCACACCTGCTGTCTCTGAAGTCGAAAGAGTTTCCACTCTGCTATCTTTCTCTCTTGTACTGCCACTCTTGGGTATTTCCACCTAGCTCACCATTGCCTTTTCATCTCTGTTCCAATTAAAGCTTTTCTTGCCCTGTTCCTCTGATCATGAACCTGCAGGTGTTGGTATTTCCAAAGAGTCCTGGGAAGGTTGTGTACCTTTAGTTACAAGAGATGAAGGCAGTGATCCTCATTATGCAATGGCCATACAACCAAGATCAATCATAGCAGGAGCTCTTTCAGGACATGCTAATCACTGAGGCTCTGGTCATGCGTTTATATCAAACATTTGTTGGTCCCATACACCAGATCTTGTTACATTAAAGATTGTAAAGCTCAGTTCCTGTGGGATGGGGAAGAATTGAGCATCCTCTGCTTGGCACGGGCTACACTGGCTCCAGGTACAACGTCATAGAATCACAGAATCATAGAACAGTTAGGATTGGAAAGGACCTTAAGATCATCCAGTTCCAACCCCCCTGCCATGCGCAGGGACACCTCGCACTAAACCAGGCCAACCCAAGGCCTAGTCCAGCCTGGTCTTGAACACTGCCAGGGATGGAGCATTCACAACCTCCCTGGGCAACCCATTCCAGTGCCTCACCACCCTCACAGGAAAGAATTTCCTCCTTAGATCCAATCTGAACTTCCCCTGTTTAAGTTTGAACCCGTTACCCCTTGTCCTGTCACTGCAGTCCCTAGTGAAGAGTCCCTCCCCAGCATCCCTATAGGCCCCCTTCAGATACTGGAAGGCTGCTATGAGGTCTCCACGCAGCCTTCTCTTCTCCAGCCTGAACAGCCCCAACTTCCTCAGCCTATCTTCATACAGGAGGTGCTCCAGTCCCCTGATCATCCTCGTGGCCTCCTCTGGACTTGTTCCAACAGTTCCATGTCCTTTTTATGTTGAGGACACCAGAACTGCACACAATGCTCCAGGTGAGGTCTCACGAGAGCAGAGGGGCAGGATCACCTCCTTCGACCTGCTGGTCACGCTCCTTTTGATGCAGCCCAGGATACGGTTGCTTTCTGGGCTGTGAGCGCACACTGAAGCCGGCTCATGTTCATTTTCTCATCAACCAACACCCCCAAGTCCTTCTCCTTGGGCTGCTCTGAATCTCTTCTCTGCCCAACCTGTAGCTGTGCCTGGGATTGGTGGGATTGCCATCCCTGGCACAGACAGAGAGGGGAGCATTCCTGGGTTTCTTCAGGACTGTGTGGCTGATAAAAGCACAAAAGTGGATTCTTTCTCCTGTTCCCCCTTTTTCTTCCGCATTTTTGCATTGTCTTTCCTTAAGGGCCCAGGCATTTTGTATGGTGAGGGCATTAACACCTGACAATGCTGCATCACATGGATAACAGCCCGGTAGTCCCCAGAAATACTGATTTATGTTTGTAGGGGCAAGGGGGGGAAAGGAAGGGAAAAGGGCTTCATTTTTTTTAGTGCTTTAAGTCTGTTCTGCCAGCTCTTACAACACCTATTACCTGAGCAATTACTTTGAAGCTCATTTATCATTGCAGCAGCTTATTCTTAAGCAGAGGGAGCCTTGCCACTTGTTCCCTTAGTTTAATCCTTACAGTCATGTGTCAAAGACTTTTTTCCTCTCCCTTCCAAGTGTGCCTTGAAAACAGAAATATAAATAACATTAATTCCTGGTGGTCCTGTTTTTTTAAGAACAAACCCAACTCCCTCTGCCTGTCCCTGGGCTTCAAGTGCTTCAGCCTCTGTCACCCTGAGGCTCTGCTGGTGCTCTGCTGCTTGCCTGTAGTTTGTGCTGTAAGAACTGCAGATTTTTCTTTGCTATTTGTGACTAGGAAACCAGTTTCAAGCTCGGTTTGGAGTTGGCCTGTGGAGGGTTTGGATTATGTTTTGACAAGGGAAGCTTTGGAAGCGCTGGTGAAGAGAGGATCACCAAGGCCAACACCAAGCTCCTAAGGAACGTGTTGAAATTGGAGCTGGAAGCACTATTTTTCCCTCTGCTTTCCAGAATTCACTTGCTTACATGTATCCAATTTTTATGCTGTCAGGAATGCAATATGGAGGCTATAATTATGGATTTAATACCTTGGTTTTCTGCTCTGTTGAATTGCGCTAAAAATACCATGTTTGGTCTTTTAAGACGGCAGCTACTGTTTCTTTATCACCTTTGCAGGGAATATACTTGGACTTAATATTTCAGAATATTTTTCCCTGAGAGAGGCTGTTACATTTCTTATCCCAGACAGCACTTCTGCCTGATGGGCAGGAAGCTACAGTCGTACCAGATACCTCATTTACGCAGAGAGAGAGAGACCTCTCAAATCCCTCGAGTTGTGGCAAGGAAAGATAGACATTTCAGGGAATGAGGAGTAAAGTGTGGATCTGGGATAGGAGGAATGCGAAGAGATGGTTGAGTAGCTGGTGCTCCCCATCATGCATATGACACCCTTGCAGAGGAAAGTAGGTTTTGAGACAAAGAAACGCCTGATGCCGGTTTATTCATCACTTTGCAGGTTTGAAACTTTTGAAGTGAACAGCTTTGAGCAGTTTTGTATCAACTACGCCAACGAGAAGCTCCAGCAGCAGTTCAACTTGGTAAGATCAGCGGGGAAATGTTCCATAAAAGTTAGCAGAAAATACGGATTTTCTTAAGGTGGGATTATTGTATGTTTGCTTCTACCTCATGGCATCTACTTGCAGCCTTGCCATATCTCATGGACAGCATGAGTGTAGTCCTTGGGGTATCGTCTCACAGGTGATGATTTTACACTGCAGCTGCATTAAATATATCAAGTTGACAATGTGGCTCAGCTTGATACTGGAACAGGCTTGAAATGGTTTACTCAGAGGTTCAGTGATGGTTTTGAATAAGTAGATAGTTTGCCAATTTTTCTTTTTTTCTCTCTCTCTTTTTTTTTTTTGGTGTAGTTTCAGTCCTAAACCAAAGCCTGGCTGCTCTTGTGCTGAGTCCAGTTTTCCAGTGTGAGAAAAAGTATGGGTGGAAACCTGCCCATTAAGTGTGGCTTAAACCTCTGCAACAAAAGCTCTGTATTAAATAGTAGGATTGGACACACTCCCTGTTTTTCACTTGAAATTGCCTCACAAAAAACAGAGATTATTCTATTTTGTTAGATAAAAGCACTTACTTGCACTGGGAGTGAAACCAGGAAGGGGTTGTCACCTGCTTTTTGTTGTCAGCAGGGAAAAAAAAAGTACTACTAGTTTCAGGATACAAAGGAAAAATTGTTAAATATGAGCAGCTAAGTACTCCAGAGTAGTTTGGCACTTTGAAACTGTATCATATGCATGGACATGAACATTTCCAGTATATCTAATTTATCAGATCGCTGCTGCTGCTAAAAATGAAAAGTAAATTATGGACTGTATTTGCACTATTCATATCTTACTCAGTATGTCCAGCTATCACTTCTGAAGCTTATTAATTCAAACTCTGAGATGACATGTTTGAAGAGATTTTTAAAAGCTATCTTTGAAGACAAAAGTGCGTTTGAAAAATCATTTTTTAATATGCTTAGGGTATCTCAGAAATAGCTACAGACAATTTATCTGCTTGTGCAGATACAGAAGCCAGGCAAGGAGTTTTAATTTTTTTTTACTTTTTTTTTTTCCTTAAAACAAGAATCTGCAATAGAAGTGTTCCTGAGTCAGATGCTGCTGCTGATATCCCTTGTAGGATGATGGATGCTCTTTGTGAAGCTCTGCTCAGAGATAGAGGCACATGCACTCTCCCAGCTTGTGAACCTGCTGCAGGTCATTAGTGTTAATCAGCAGAGCACTAAGGGAGAGAGAGATCTTTGTCAGCCCAAGAGTTACATACATCGTTGCCATTTCAATATATGGCTTGCACCCAGATGTACTGATATTGTTGTTTTTTACTGAAAGTCATTTAAAAACTTTCTGTTTTCTCCTGTCCTGTGGTTTCCTAGTGTAATGCTTTTATTTTCCTTGCCAGCAGCTAGATTGAGTAAATGGCAGAGCCTATACAAAGCTGTACGTGAGGGCATCTAAAGCTTCTATGACATCTGGATGTCCTGACAGAATACTCCATCAGGGAGGCGTGGGTGAATGGGGAAGTTGCTGGTGCTGTGTTGGCTGGAGTCACAGTCAGTAACTGCTGTTTTTCCATTCTCAGCATGTGTTTAAGCTGGAACAAGAAGAGTACATGAAGGAAGGAATCCCTTGGACTCTCATAGACTTCTACGATAACCAACCCTGCATAGATCTTATAGAGGCAAAACTTGGTATCTTGGACCTGCTGGATGAAGAGTGCAAGGTAAAGAGGACCACCTACCTTTTCACTGGCATTTTTATTTCTACAAAAGATGAAGAATGGGCTTCAACCTGTGGTAGCTTGCAAGAGAGTAAATATCTCCTTTCACATGCATTGCTGGGGTAGGCTCTTGGTATTTTTTGCTTTAGGACCATTAAGACCCTCCATGGCAGACATTTGCTACCAACCTGGGTACCTGATCTCACCATGTGTTGCTAGAACTCATGTTTCTGGCCTGGCTGTACTTAGGAATAGTCATTGCTTTGACTTTTGATTCCTTCAGTGTTATCCAGGAGCTCCCTGTCTCCAATCTGATTTTGTCTCAAAGGAAACCTGAGTCCTCTTGTGGTAGCTATTTTGGGTAAAGTTAGCTGCCTTTAACATGCAGGCTTCAGATACTAGTGATGTTGGGAGGGTAGTTTGCCTTATTTTACTCAATCTCTCTCTCTCATACTAGCCTAAATTTAATCTTGCCAGAAAGTTGAGAAATGAGGCCAGAACCACAAACTTTCATGAGAATCCATAAGAAAGGTTGGACTCACTCATTCCTTGTTCAGCTATGAATTATCAAATCTATTTATGAAAAGAAATGGAAGATGGGAGATTTTCTTTGGAAGGTGGGATGCCTGTTTTGAAGATCTTTGGTTTGAAGAGTAGGTGGAAAGTCCAGAGTCTTTAGGTATCATCATCTCAACAGGAAAACTCAATGTGATGCTGTGATGAAAAGGGCAGTTTATGTCTCGTCTGGTTCTGTTCTATGCTCAACAATGATAATGAGGAAATACCAGAGAGAGTGTTACCAAATCTATAAAACATATAAAACATTGTGATGCTGAGGATAAAGAAACTGAAGTGCTGCATGAGTGGGTGTAAGTCAGACAGTGGGAGGGTTTTCAGACCCTTTGACACAAAGCACCCTAGTGTGCAGTAGCTAGAAGTTGAAGCTTGACCCATTCAACCATGAACTGAGCCTCTTTAAGGCTTAGAATAGCCTGGTGGAAGGGCTTTCTTGCTGGATGTGGGTGCCTTGTGAAGCCTCAGACTGGTTTTGCTGTGGTGCATTCAACAAGTTGTCTTTGGGAAGAGTTTCTGTTGAGACTCTGATTCTGTGTCAGGAAGTGTCCTACTGATTGTGGGAGGGTTTTAAACATTTTTGAACAAGTGCAGGGAAGGGTGAGGCAGGGATTGATGGGACAGCTGAAGCAGGGAAGGGCCCCTTTACCAGGATAGCCAAGGTGATAAGAAGGACAGACTGAACTCTTGCTGGGTCGGTGAGATCCATGGGTATGGGACAGGTCCTGTGGCCCAAGAGCATGAGTGTCACACTGCATCAGAGGGAAAGATTTTTGGATCCATTATTTAGACTAGTGTCCCTATTGGGATTTAAGGAGATGTGTGACCTGGCCTTGTCTGGAAGGCAGGTGACATGTCAAGCAGCTGCTCTCTCCAAGTGGCAAGACTCCAGTCCCAGGCATGACAGGGCTGTCCCAACCTGCATGTCCCATGCTCAGACCTCATCTGAGGTACAGGCATTCTGGGTGTCTCTGCAATACCTAGGGCTGATTTTCAAATCTAGTCTTATGAAAACTCCTTAAAAATGAGAAAAAATTAAACTTAATTCCATGCCCTTAAAAATAGCATCTTACCCAGTGCTGGCTCAGAAGGAGGTCAGATAGTGCTTGATACTCGGCACTATTTCATTTGGTCTCTGTTCTTTTAATCCTGATAAATTCTTAAGGCGATAACAAGCTCCTGGGTATTGTAAAGTTTCTCTCATGCCATATTGACTAATAATACTCTTTGCTCCTCTACAAAGCACCTGGCACTGGTTGCTGCTGATGACATGGCATTAGTCGGAGCAGCTCCTATGCATCAACAGTAATATGGGCAACTTTGCTGTAGATACGCCTAGTACTACTGTTTTCCTCCATGTTTTGGGGTTCTTTTGTCTAAAAGAATGAAACACAAGACCTATTCCCTGCACCCCATCAAATGCCAATTATCTGGGTATTTACCTGTCAGTGGGAATGCTGTCATTAGTCACAGGCTTTTATTACAGGCCCTGTAGTAGTCTCTTTTGTAATAACCTGGAAGTGTTTTCCAGCTTTATGAAAATTTCAGCAAAGCCTGTCAGCCGAAAGCAACAGTTTATGGATGAAAATCTTTACCCCCCAGCAGTGTTTCACGTCTTGGGGAGAGCTGGCCATGACAGGCACAAGACCACAATAGGGTAATTTTAAGTCATCTTGTTAGCACATTCAGTGGCAGATAAATATACTGCAGGACTCGAAATGGGCATCGAGGGGGTCCTGGCAACATAATGAAACATTAGCGCAAAAGTGGAGGGTTTGTCGCTAATGTTCTTCCTTCACAGTATGGCTTTCTTTAAGTCTTTAATGTGAGATTGGGGAGGGGGTGGTTGGCTACATGCTGGAGCAGTACAGCTAACAAAAGTCATATGAGAGTCTTGTCACTGCTTAGAGAAGAACAGGACCAGACAGGTTGATTTTTTAATTTTTTTTTTTTAAGAGGTGTAAATTATCCTCAATGGAAGTTGAAAATCCTCTAAATAATGAAGTCAAATCACTGTGTCAAAGCTGGATGAGGTATTCTGCTTTTCAGGCTTAAACTACTTGCTCTGTTGGAGTGCTGCTTGCTTTCTGTATGCTTCCCAAGTGCCATTAGGGAGTACAGTCAGAAGCTGCTGTGGATGTCCAGGTTTCTCCATAAGGTGTCTTGCTGCCTGGCTGCTTTCTTGCTTTGGCCTATGCTGTTGGGATGGGAGTGGAAATGGAAAAACTACTGAAAAAGATTTTCATTAGCATGATGTGCATCTAAAAGGGTTTGATTAAGAATGGGCTGGTTGGAAGGCCTGATATGTTAATCACGGTATAATCTTGGATAATCATTGTTATCCAAGATTTATTAGGGACCTCAGTGAAATTCTTTCTGCTGAGGGGTGATGTGACCCTCAAGGATGCCAAAGGGGGATGTGTCTAACCAAAGGCATAAGCTCTCTCATATTCTTGAACTCTCTTGTGGTTCTGTGTTTTATGGCACATTGCCATCGTGTTACGCTGTTAATGTGCCAAGTGTATTTTCAAAAGGTGCTCTTTAACCTTTCCTGTGTCCTTCTGTCAACTGCCAGAAACACTGAGGTCTGCTTCTAGCAGACTGGTTTTCCATCCTGCTTTTCTCTGCGCATTGCTGTGAACTTTGGGTGTTTAAGCAAATGTGTTTTCCTTGTCTGGAATAGTTAGGTTTTTAAACACTAGAAATCGGCACGCTGCCTTCCTGTGCTGCCCTGTCCTGTCTGGGGGATTTCAGCTCCATGAGCAGATACACGGAGATTGGACCTCTGGGCTTTCCTTTCAGGCATTCAAAGGCAGAATAACATCATCTACGTCACGCTGTCAGCTTTTGTGACTTAAAAGTCAGACACATCACTTGCAGCGGAACATGTCTCTGGAGCGTGGATGAAGCCCAGGCTCTCTTCAGGATTTAACATACAATGGAATAATGAGAAAAGAAATAAAATACAAATAGCTCCTACTGTGTTTCAGATGATTAGGTCAGAATTGACCTTTGTTTCTTTTATCCAGTTAATTGTCCTTCTGTTGGAGGTGATGGTGGAGGGAGTCTCGCTCTTCAATCCATGCAATCCCAAATATCTCCTGAGCTGTGTGGTGGTCATGGTGGGTTCTTGACCCTGGGGTGTTTCTGATACAAAAGCAGTGGACTTGAGCCTGGGGGGCTGATGCTGGCTCAGCTGGGTAGGTTCAATTTAGGGGAGATTTAGGTTAGATATAGGGAAGAAATTATTGTGAGGGTAGTGAGGCACTGGAGCAGACTGCCCAAAGAATTTGTGACTGCCCCATCCCTGGCAGAGTTCAAGGCCAGGTTGGACACAGGGACTTGGAGCACCCTGCTCTAGTGGAAGGTGTCCCTGCCCATGGCAGGGGTTGGAGCTGGATGAGCTTTGAGATTGTCTCTTTCAACCCAAACCAGTCTGGGGTTGTATGATTTCAGTTGCAGAAGGTCCTGGCAGCTCAGAGGTCAGGAGACAGCATTTGGAGATGGGAGGTGACACTGGCTGGGATTGCGCTGCCTGATCAATTTTACACAGTAATGGGCACAAGGGTGGTGAGGGCGGACGAGCGGAAGAGGTGACCTTGTGAAACTACTACTCTAAGGTTTTTCCCATTTAGAGATTTCCGTGCAATACTTGCAAATCAGTTGGTTTCTCTTCCCCATCCCTTAAAAAAGGTCTTGCACTAATGAGATAGTCTCTAAATAACTTCTCCAGCGGCCTTAAACTGCCAAACCAATACCAAAAACTGTTAAAGTAGTACAGGTAATGGCCCTGTTAGCTTTTATCCCGAGGACTTAGTCCCTATCAGGTTCTTCTCAGGCAGCTAAAAATACCCAGGCTGCACAACGGTGAGCAGGGAGTGGTGTCGGTATGGTGAACCTCTCTTTCTGGGAGGCAGGAGTGATGCCTTTGAAGTTCATCTCTTAAATAAGCATCTGGCAGCTCAGGTGACTGTGGTACTCTTGCTCTGCACCTCCAGCTCGGTCTTGAGCAGTACACAGCTAATGATAGCACCAGAAAGGATGCTTTTTACATATAAATATGAAATACTACAGCTGATGAAAAGAAACTCATCTGCATTTATAAAATGTCATAAACACACGTCTGTTGCATAGCAATTCTGTACAATAGAACTGCACAGAATTAGAATAATTGAATTGCCTATCTAAATGCCTTTTAATGTTTATATATAGTTTTGTGCTATTTCCATGTGTATCCATAACCGGCTACACTTAGAACTGTCAAATATAAATACATCTGTGATAACAGGGCTTGCAGGAGTTGCTGCTTCATTTAATTCAGCCATTTCTTCCACTTAATGGGGGTGGGAGATGCTTGTCACTGTGTCCAGAACCTTTCTGGTGTGCTTTGGTTTGCTGTCATGAAATCAAAGGCTGTTTCAAAGCAGCATTAGAAAATAGTCCTTATCTGTCTCAAGTTTTCCTTCTGTTTGCTGCCCCTGTTTCCCATGTCAGTTTTCATATAAAGGTCTATGTAAAGACCTGATGGATGATCCAGAGCCTTCCCTGACTCTGCACAATTATTCTGTGGTTTCCAGGCTTTGTCCTGTCTAATTTTAAATATTGCCTAACACTTTTTTTCTGACTCTTCTCTTTTTCTTACCTAAATAATCCAGTCAGCTATTTTTTGTTAGAAATTATATGTGTGTGTGACCATTGCTGTCCTGTTGACAGTGATGGTGGGTCCACCAGTCTGTGCCTCCTGCTGTGGATGGAGAGATGCAGACAAACCCCATTAACTGTGGTCCTTACCCCTCAACTGCAACAATTTCTCTCCTTGTTTCCCTCAGTTTTCAAGAGTTTTGCTTTGTGGCAAACTGGTTGTGCTGGAAAAGTACAAAACAAGTTATTTACAGCAAAGCTGTTTTCCCCAAATACCCTTATGTTTTTTTGGAACGCTTTGGGGGTTTTAGCTGGTTAGCAGAGAGGGACAGAAATACACCCTAAAAAAGTAAGTCATTATGGGAAGTGTAATCATAAGGGTATCAAAAGTTACAATACATTGTTACAGAATCAACGAATCCCAGACTGGTTTGGGTTGGAAGGGACCTTAAAGCTCATCCAGTTCCAACCCCCTGTCACTAGACCAGACTGCTCCAAGCCCCATCCAACCTGGCTTTGAATGCTGGCAGGGATGGGGCAACTCCTTCCAGTCAAGGCTACTCCATCCTGCTCTTCCATAGACACTGCTAGAAGGAGTCCAAAATGCAACATCCAAACTGTTCCCATACTACAACATGGGACATGGGAAAGCTGCCTCACTTTCCTCCCCACAGCTTTTTATTTATCTCTGCTTCTACAGATCCTAACTGTAAAAATGTATCTGGACTTCCCCTTGGCCTGTCCCTACATCCCTTGTCCCAAGCCCCTCTCCAGCTTTCCTGCAGCCCCTTCAGGCACTGGAGCTGCTCTCAGGTCTCCCCTTCAGGAGCCTTCTCTTCTCCAGGCTGCCCCAGCCCAGGTCTCTCAGCCTGGCTCCAGAGCAGAGCTGCTCCAGCCCTCGCAGCATCCCCATGGCCTCCTCTGCTGCTATACAGCTGTATGGACTTAAAAAATAATAGAAGAAACCCAAATGATTATTTTGTCTCCACTCCCCTATCTTGCATTAACTGAGGAATCTTGTGGTTATTTAGTGGGTAAAACCTGCAGGTGCTGAGTAGGAACATGAGCTCAAACCCTACTTATAACTGCTGATTGATGAAAAGTCATTCATTTCCTTGCTGAATTAATGCCAACACTATGTGCAACTGGGGTTAATGTGTCCAAATGAACTCCCAAGCCTCCTAAGAGACAGAAGTTTCTTAAGAATAATAATTTTATTATTATTTTTATTTTAATATTTTGAAATTATAATTTTGTTATCATTATTTTTAATGAAATAAAACACAACCCTCTTGTGTGTTGTCTCAAGTGGCTGTTTGTGGAACTATTTGGTCACCAAAAATTGCATTTTAAAAAAGTAATATTACTGCCTGAGCAATTAGTGTAAATTAATTGCAAAAACACTTCTTCAATCTTTTTTTTTTATTTCCCCCTCCCCCCTCACAAGAGCTATTCTGGCTGTTGGAGCAGAACCAGCATTTGGGTGGTTTTCACTGGAAATGAATTTTTACTGTGCTTAACAAGAACTCTATGGTCTTGGAACTTGGACTTGATTTTCTTACAGGTCTTTTCAAACCAACCTGAACTCTTCCATAATTCTATTCTATGATTTTAAGAATATACATGAAAATAAAACAGCTGGTGCTCTGAGTGCTGGGGGATGGACTTTGTTTCTCAAATATTCCTGTAGCCCACATGGATTACATGCACCCCCAAAGAGGGCTCTTCCAAAATCTCCTTGCACCTCCTCTGCATGCCTGACCATGACATTTTTGGTCCATTTTCTCTCCATTCAGGTTCCCAAAGGCACTGACCAGAACTGGGCTCAGAAGCTGTATGACCGGCACGCCAACAGCCAGCACTTCCAGAAGCCGCGGATGTCCAACACCTCCTTCATTGTCCTGCACTTTGCTGATAAGGTAACCGGGTGCATGTCGTGTGTTCTGGGACGTGAATGCAGAAATGGGAAATGACTGGATGGGAAGAAAGAGCCTTGTGAAGGAAAATTAGTCTGTAGCACCAGTGAGCTGCTTCTTGGTGATAGGGATGCCTGGCTGCCAGTAATCTCGGTTCGGTGCTCAAATCTAGATCAGCTTGGAGGACTTCAGGCTCCAAACTATCGCACTAAGCTTTAAACAGTGCTTTCTAGAGGAGAGAAAAATCCTCTTTCTCAAAGCTGCAACAAAATGGGTTTCTATAAGGGCAGCTTGATGAAAGTGTATTGGAAAAGGGAATTACTTCTGAAGAGCAGGAGCTGTGAGCATCAGCAAGGCATGGTGGGGAGGAGTGCATAAGAGGTGACCCTGGGCTGATCCCACCCTTCTGAGGGACAAGATGCCAGCTGTAGGACTCTAAATCCCAGTGTCCGGTGCTGTAGCATCTTGTCCATGGGCTCCAGCTTCACTGAATCCCTGATGTGACAAGTGTCCTTCACAGCAAATAATCTTAAGGGGTCGCAGTTGTCCGGAACACCTCTGTTAGAAAGGGAAACATAAGAACAACCTGGCGATGTGTTCAAGGAGCCAGATGACATGCAGGAGTTCTGATCTGTGCAGGGGCTTCTCCTAACCGGGTCTGCTCTGAATGCAAGCAGCACTTTTCATGGCAAAGGTCAATACCTTTCCTTAAACATGTGATTTTGCACATGCATCATTCATAAGCAATATATCTTTGCAAGTTTTCCCCCTTTTTTGTGTATGTGTGTGAGTTATTTTAGTCAACTTTGAATGCAAAAAACAAGATTTTCTTATGTCCTTTCTAAATCCTTCCTTTGCATCCCAACCCTCAGCAATTTCAGAAACAAGAGGCATAGCCAGGGCATTTTTGTTATATTTATTGATCAGCTTACAAGGCATTCAGGAATGAACAAAAGAGCATGTAGAGGTATTGATAATCTTTGCATTTTTACTCCTGGTTGCCATGGAAGTGCAGTTGGGTCCCATATAGAGCAGTCTAATGACTAAGGAACAGTCTGTGAGGAGTTTGCTTTCATTCAGATTCACTTTCTTTGATAAAGAGTGACCTTTAAATTCCAGCTGGTCCCCCTTCTTTCTCTCTTTCAGGTCTTTCAGGTCTTAACTCCTGACGGTAGGGGTGCAGTTATAGGTATTTGTCCTTGTGTGGCTGGACTTTAACCTCTGCGCTTCTTCCTTTGTCTCCTGCTAGGTGGAATACCAGAGTGAGGGATTTCTGGAGAAGAACAGGGACACTGTGTATGAGGAACAGATCAACATCCTGAAAGCCAGCAAGGTAAAAGGCACAAGTTGGGGTAGTGGTCTTGGTTGGAGCTAAATTGACACTGCTTCTTTCCAGTGCATGTGCTTCATACATTCATTCCCATGCCATGTCACAGCATGCTATGTATGTGAACACGTAGGTGTCTCCAGCTACTAACAGCATCACACGAGGCAAAGGAGTGGGGTGTGGAGGAGTGATGGGAGGGAGCTGGGGGCTGTGGTTGTGCCCAGGTGTGGATGTGCTTGGTCCTCTGCTCTCCCGCACCTTGTTGGATGAGACGTGTTGGTATGCTGTCAAGATGCATCACATGAATCTTTTCCAAACCTGCTGATCCTCTTCTTTTTTTGGTCAGGAACAAAACTAGGAACAGCTAGTTTTGGGACATAGTAAATTCAATTTAACTCCTACTCAGCGCTTCCCACCCAACACCTGGCACTGAAGGTGTTCTTGGATTAAAAGCCACTTAAGCAGTGTAGTTTGTATATTGTGGGTAGTGTTGCTGACCCTACCAACCTTCTGTATGAAAATGGCTGTTCTCCTTGGCTGTAGTCCATCATACTTGGCCCTGTGACTTTTAGTTATTTTAATAATTAGGGTGCAAAAATAGGGTTAACATACAATGATGGAAATCCAGTGCAACTCCAGACATTCCAGCTGCTGTACAGCTATTTGACACTGCTGCCAATATATAATATTAACAAATTAACACACTGATGGTCATGTTTGCTGCCACTCTTGTATTACAAGATTTTGTGCCATGTACTTCTCCTCTCCTGAGTATTGTACAAGTTGTCAACACGTCGTACATTGGGTACCAAACAAGATTTATTGACTGACCTTGAAAACCAGCTCTCCTGGTGAAGAGCTTTTTGGCACATGGGGTTTAGTCTCCCTTAGTCCTGAGGGCCATGAGCTCTGCAGGCTGTTGGAAGCAGAAAAGCAGAAGCTGTGGGGTTCTGCAGGCTTTGGCATGGGTTATGCCTGTAGTAAATGAGCCCTTGGCAAGTGGGCTTCAAGCTGAAGACTAGCAGATTTTATACTGGCTTCTGCTACTGCGCTATTCTTTGCCATGAGCACTTGGGTGCTCTGTCTGCATTTGGGTGGGTTGGGTTAAAAGCATCAATAACTGACATCTAAGGTTTTAACGACAAGTCCTTGTTGTTTAAAACCAGACCAAAAGTTCCTTCCTGCCACCTTGAGTCTTTCATTGTCAGTTAATGAGTCGAGACTTAAAATGGCCTTAACCCTTAAGGAGTCAGTATGAAAACCAGCCCTGCAAAACCCAACACTCCATTCAGCAGCCAAAATTGAGACTGCATGACTCTAGGCACCTTTATTTCCACCAGACCTTATGTGTGGTGTAGCGAAGGAATATATCTGCTTTTCTCCAAACCATCTCAAAGCTTCCCCACCATGGGCCACTTCATTAACTTGCATTACCTTTTTTTTCATTACAAATTGTGAATCTCCCCCTGTGTGCCGCAGCAGATGTGTTGTGCATACAGATATCTCTTCTTTATGCCACCCTCCCTTGGGTTTAGTGCTGGCTGTGACCTTACAAATGCCACCGTAAGTAAGTGTGATATGGGGAGATGGAGGAAGTATTATTTTTAGGAGCATTTTAAGCAGGAGTTTTTTCCTGACCAAGGTAAGAGAGAGGAGAATGGGAAAGGACTTGAGTGTCATCAGTGGCTTGCCTTGCATCTCAGCAGTGAATTCATATGAAGATGGCAAGAGGTGCAATTTTCTCATCCGTGGGGGTAGTTGTGAGTCTAATAACTGTGAAGCTGGGCTTTAATAATGCCCAAATCAAGAGTTCTTTGTGTTCAGGAAGCTCCCAGTTCCCCCAGGGTGAAAACCGGGCATGATTAGAGCTTATTAAAAACACCAGGTAACCTGCAGGAATAATTGATGCTGTATGATGAATTATTTAGCAAGTGCTGAACTTGCTGTTGGAGGTAGTGCTGCAGAGCAGGCAGTGATAGGGTTTTCAGTTAGACTTCTCCCCATAGGTGCAGAGATGTAACTCACGGGACTAGTGGGTTGCAGAGTGGTAGGGATGGTGCCACCTCTAACTTCTTGCTCAAAGTAAATAAATGCATAAATAAATGCATAAATAAAAGCTGAAATTGTTGTCTCTCTTATGCAGGGAGCATAATACAGTATCAGAGCAGGCTGGGCTTCGGTTCAATAGCAAAAAACCTCAAAACCCTGCTCCTTGCCACTGGTTTTCTTGACCTAAAAAGCCATTAATGTGTATGCCTCAGAACCAAATATTTGGGTTTACCTGGCCTGCAAACTAAGCTAATGTGCCTTGGAATAAGGTGTTAGGACCTTGTGAATGCACAGCGGTGGCTCTGTAGGTGACACCAGCATCTCCACTGTGATCCAGCCTAGAACACTCTCAAATACACTTGGCTCTGAGAACATTTGGGTGATAGTCTGATGAACTATCTGCCTTTGAGGCATTTCTTTAGTGACCTGGGAGCAACGGCTGTTGTCAGCCTGTGCTGATGCTGTGCCTTCCTTCCAGGGAGGAAGAGCAATGCTTCTTGTGGTAGGAGCATCGTCACCCTCCCCATTCAAAGCTTCCCAAACCTAATCCTCTGCTCTTGCTTTCTCTAGCCCCGCTGGCTGGTGGATTCAATTATCCTGATTGCTTTGCTTCTCACCTGCCATGTGCTCTCCACCAGTATAAACAGATAGATATGTTTGTTTTCTTTGGCTGTAAAAAGCAACCTGGTTTCTCTGAACCAAAACAAGCAGCAGTGCCGGCACTGAGTCTGCTGCTCAAATGTGCCAGCTGGATTAGAACTTAAGTTCGTGTTGCAAAAGGCTGTGCCATGAAGACTTTGTCCTGTACTCAGGATCAGGCCTGCATGCAGTATTAACTGCATTCTTCTTTATGTTCCCAATAAAGTGATACACAGGGCAAGGGGGAACACTCAATTTAACAAGTCAAGGACTTAAACACTTCTCTCAGCAAGTGCATCATTGAAGAAGCACTCCCACCAAGGCAGAATTGCCTTCTGCTAATTAGAATGCAGTCACTGCCATCAACAAGGTGGTGAAAGGGACTTTATAAAGAAGCCAATTAGTTTTGTTAGTGCTGGTCAGCTAAAACAGTTGAGAGTTGATGTTCTTTGAATTAAAGAGACTGATTTGAACACTGACTAAAAGCATACAGGCATGCTGTGAAGTTATTATGTCCCAGTTCTCTGTAATTACAAATAAGTGATCCAATGCTTTTGACTCCACCAGCTGGGAAAAAGGGATCTGTCCTTTCTTATCCCCCAGCATCTGTGGAATAAATGCTGGGCTGCTAAAGACCATCTCGGTTACACCATTTTTTTTTTGCATTACACAAGCTGAAAGCTCACTTCTGAGGTTCTTCCTGAGTGTTTGTGCAAGAGCAAGCAGTGCTGTTATGAATAGCAGGTGAATGAAGGAGTGGATGGCACGCCTAGCTGTGTATTGAGAAGATATTTTGAAACCTGAAATTATAGCTGAGGATTTTACCGCTTTGTCAAGCATGAGATAGTAAAGTGGAGCCTGTGTTGGAGGTCTTCCAGCATTAAGCATTTTGCCATGCAGGCATCCTGTGTTTGAAGGAGTCAAAGACAGTGACATGTCATTGAAATACAGCTGTGAGGATAGCTTTTTGGGGGAGAGGATACAGGGTTAGGCAAAGAAGGTTTGAACCTCTAATTCTGGTAGGAGATGAGTGAGCTGCAGAGACAATGATACAAATAGTGAGTATGAAGGAGAACCTGAGCAGGTGCTGTCCTGGAGCCTGTGAGCGATTATCTAGTGTAATGCAAAGAGTTTCCTTTCCACAGAGGTATTTAGGCTGCTGTGCTAGCAAGCTGTATGAACAGCCTGTGAGACTGGGGCTGGAAATGTTCCTGTCTTAGTCCAGGGATGTGGCAGGGAGCCAGGCAGCCCTTTATAGCACGGAGCTGCCTGTTAATGTGTACATAGTGTTAAACCCCTGCTTTCTTCTTAATGGTGTGCTTAATGGATATACAACTAAGTTTGGCTTTTAGGTGAGTCTGGGATGGAGGCAAGAGCAACCTGCAGTGAGCTGCTGCCTTGTGCCAGTGTTTTTGTGTGGACAAGTGAAGTGCGATGTTGATGCCTTCTCCCATGCTCCAGAGTGGGCATTGCTGGTGGTGTGTGTGGTCCTGGGGCAGCATCACGGGTGCTTTGGCAGTGTCACCAGGCTGGAGCCCAGCTCAGCTTTGTGACAAGTGAAATCCCACTTGGTGACAGTGGTTTTTCCTTGAAGAAAATTCTTTTATTGAAGAATTTGCTGTCTGGATGTAAGTGCAGCTTGGCAGGAGCTTGGCAGCAGTGTGGGTGCATAGCTGGATCCAAGATGCGAAATTTAACATCCTTGCTAAACAGACGAGGTTGTGACTTATTTAGTACACCAGTTCCCCTCAAAACCCAAACAGCACTAACTGGATTTGCCAGCTCACCTGTTCTCCCATTCATGAAGTGGAAATGTTGCTGCTGGCTTGCCAGGAATCCCAGACTTCAGGGATCTGAGGAGCTAAATGCAGTGCTTCCAGGGCTTCAGAACAGCGGTCCTGCTGTCACCTTGCTCATTCATGCTGAATGCAGGTGATTAGTTAGGAAGTGCTGGCGTCTCTTAATTGTTTTGAAAAGAAGAGGGCTTCTGTGGTTGTGGTGGGAGCAGGCTCCTGCCTGCCTGCACGTAGAGACCCCACTGCAGGGACATGTGTCCCTGCTGTGGTCAGGACTGTATGACTGCTTTGAAACAAAGCCTAGGAGCAAGCATCACCTCACATTCAGGAGACTTGGTGCCTTGAACAATACTTCAGCAATCCAGCCTTGGAGCTAACCATCCTCTTTTTACTTCCTTTTTTCTTGTTTGATTTAATGTGCATCTTTCAAGCTTTGATGAAGTACAAAACAGAATGGTTCATGTTCCTGGTGACGTGACTTATGTGGAAAATGTTTCTTGCTTTCAATTTACTGCTCTTTTTCCTCTTTCTGTTTTAAAATGGATGAAAAATAACTGGAGCAGTGCGTCTTGGGTGGGTTCACTCAAGAAAGAACAGCACCAGAGGTGCTCAAACATTGTCTTTTGTTTTAGTATCAGATGGTAGCAGACTTATTCCAAGATGAGAAGGATGCTGCATCCACCACTTCTGTGAGAAAGGAAATACCCAAAGTCAGTGTCCGTTCTGCCAGACCAGCCATCAAAGCTGCCAATAAGGAGCACAAGAAAACAGTGGGGCACCAGGTAACGTATGATTTGAGTGGGTCAGTCGATGGCAGAGAAATGAGGGGATCCAGGTACATCATTGCAGTGAAGATCTTACTTCTTCAATTTGAAGAAGAGATAAATAAAATCTGTTGGTTTTATCTTTCAGTTCCGCAACTCACTGCATTTACTCATGGAGACCCTGAATGCCACCACCCCACACTACGTGCGCTGTATCAAGCCCAACGATGAGAAGCTGTCCTTCAAGTAAGTGGGCTTCCAGACAAGCAAATGTGTTCAGCATTATAGCAACAGAGTGTGCTTTGGACTTTTCCTCTTGCTAAAGAGATTTTCCCCCTTGTAAGATTGTTCCTATACTAGAAGGCCCTTGGAGATTGCTGGAGTCACTTCTCTTTGCTTTCATTGTGGGTTTTTTGTGTCCCTGAAATAAAAACTTATGCAGGTCCTACAAATTCACAGATACACTCTGCTAATACTGAGCATCCTTGCTTTGCAGTGGTAGGGTCTTTATAAAATTTCAACTTGGAATCACTTCAACTTACATAACTATGACTATTTAAACAATGAAAAGTAGCACAGAAAGAAATGAAAAAGTGGAGGTAAGTACTATGCTTGCAAAATGGCTTGTAAAATGAATAGAAATGTCTTGGTACTTCAAAAATAAATGTGGAAAAAGTAAAGAGCTGGCTTTATCAACTTCAGGCAGGTTTCCAGTTGGGTGAACCGCTGAAGCAAACAGCCAGACTCGGTCACTGTAGTTTAGAGATGTAAGGCAAGCTGTGGATGTTGTAAGCAAGTAGCTGTTAGCCTTATTTGACATCTTGATAATGTACTAGTACCCAATTTTGTTGCCTTTAACTCTAAAAAGGCTTGGCTATTAGTGTGCAGGGGCCTTGTAGATGTCGTTGTGATGTCCTTTAAAGGCTCTGGCATAAACTGCAGGTGGTGACATTTAAGAAAGCAGTTATAATTGTAACCCATAAGCAGGGAGGCAGTGTTCTCCAGCTGATCCAATGTAGTTTCAGTGCTCCTGGTGAGCATGCAGCTACCTTCGAGTGCAGAGATGGCTCTGACAATATCTTGCAAAGGAGGGCAAAGCATCCGTAAATGGGTTTGGCCTTGGTCATGATATGATGGTGGATATGTATGCCCCAGGAAGCTTCCCCAGCTTGACTGTTCTTCCCCTGCAAACAGAAAAGCAAAGAGTATTAATGGTCAGGAAACATTCAGGAACTGACTTACATTTAACTGATTCATCAGATGATTAGTTAACAGCTGTGGAGAAGGCTTTGTTGGCTGTCTGGGGCAGCAGTTTCTGTGGGGTTTCTTTTATCTATTTCATGTACCATTTTGTAGGTACTGGAGGTGCTTAGGGCCTCAATCGCTTTGTTGCCTATAGCAGAGGTTGTCAATTTAAATGAAATTTTATGATTCTATAATTCTGTGAAATTCAGGATTACAATTTTGTTTGGCTGCTTCCTTTAGATAAAGCACTAAAGTGTTTTCTAACTTTTCTGTAGTGAAGGTGTAGTAGATGCTCTTCATGTTGAAATGGCTTCACCTTCCCAAAGGGTGTTTCCAAGATTCCATGTCTCTGCTTGGCTCTACTTTCAGCCCATCCATCTTCACTTCTTTGCCTTAAACTTTGTAGTTCAGTTTTCCATGTGATGCTCAGGATACAGTTAACATGGTTTTATAAATGTGCAAGCTCCTGGTTGTCAAGATGCAATAATTACCTAAATGAAGTACTCCTAAGGTGTTATGGGTAGCAAATACCATGAAGATAATTCTGTGTGTCTCTGGTTGCAGTCTGAGTGATGCCTCAGTCCAATGTGGTGCTCCTAATCTGGCAAATATCTGAGTTGTCAAAGTTTGGGATTTTGGGAACAGAGGGCAAATCAAAACAGACACAAGAATGGTTGTGGAGGAGTAGCATGCAGGTGTCTGCACAGCCAGCAGCACTGCAGGAGTCACATTGGGCTGGAAACAACAGGAGGGTGCTTTGGGTTGAGCATCCCCATCTACAAACTGGAAGAAACTGGTTAAGGTGTCTTATGCTGGGATTTTTTGTGCAAGAGATTATTTCTTCCTCCCTCAGCAGAAAATCTTGGTCAGTGTCGATCTTGCTGCCACTGGCTTGAGGAATTTGTATCCTTAACGTGGCTCAAATAGAGTCTATTTGCTTATATGTAAAACTCATACAGGTCTGGAGAATAATGGGATGGCTGTAAAGGAGTCTGCATTTCAGAGGCACTTGTACTGAAAAACACACAGTGTCAGGAGGCATTAGTGAAATGGAGCATCAGTGGCACTGCTTTGGGTTAGCAGTGAAGTGGTATCTTGTAGCATGTAGAACACTCTGTTATGTTCATTGTTCATTGAAAAAACACAGACCTTTTCCTCTTCCTAAACCAACATTTTTCATCTTACAAGAACATTACATTTCATTACATTAAAATGAGATGTTTAGCCTGGAGAAGACAAGGGACCTAACAGCAGCCTTCCAGTATTTAGAGGGGCTATCATACAGTGGTGTTTGATGGTAGGACAGGAGTCAATGGCCACAAATTGACACATTATGTTATGCTTATACTCAGACTGGAGATGAGGAAAAACTTTTTCTCTATGGGGACAATCTAGCTGCCTCAGCTTTTGGACATGGGAGGTAGACTGCACTCTGCATTGCTCTCACTCCTACTTTACATCTTGGTGCAAATGTCAGGTTTGTTTCTTAGGGGGGTGAGAAGTGTAAGGCTTCCAGCCTGGAGGAAGCATTGGCACCACACGATCATATTTGCTGTGTCTAACCGCAGGCTGCATCTGAGGTTGATCCCTCATGGAGAAGACTTCAGAGAGAGATGTGTGAGGGGAATGCCTGACTTCAGCTGTAACTTTGACAGTTTTTCTTCCAAATTCTATTTCGGGCAGGGTTTGTGATCTCTTACTTGGGTTTCCAAGCCAAAAACAAACTGCCAGCTGCTTCTACTTCCCATGGCAAGGAAAAGGACTTCATAATAATGCGTGTTTTCTTGCTTTTATGCCCCTTATTTCAGCCTAAGCCTGTAGCTGGAGTTGTTGCTAGAAAGAGTCCTGGCTTTCCATGCTGATAAATGACTGCAGCCACTCTGGTTCCTGCATTTCACCTGCACTCAGCAAGGCTTGACCACACTGCAGAAAGTTCCCCTTGTGTACAGTGTAGATTTCCCTGGGATCTTCCAGGACTGAAGCTTGCCATCCATCTGCCAGTCCTGTTTATTACACATTGTTATGGAAATTGTTCCCTTGTGGATTATTCCTTGAAGTGAGTGACAGTCAAGGCTGATTTTTCCATCCTGCATCGTGTTTATGGTGTTGTAGTGAATAACTTGATGCAGACTTGACAGGCCCAGGGAATTTAAAGATGCACAAAGCAGCAGGAGACTATTTCTTATGCTTCTTTTGCACAGCAAGAGCCAAACAGAATTATTCATGAAATCTTGACCTGCAGGTGTAAAGACTTTGGGCTTTCAGGAAGGGACAAACAGGTACCTGAGAAGCTTTTGTTCCTTGCCTTGTTCTGGAGACCTAACACAGCTATGGACATCTGCATCATATGAGTCCAGGCTTGATCCAACGACCTCTTCCAGGGTCCAGTGTCTCAAGCTGAAGAGCTGGGACCTCTTTGTGCATTTGCTGTCAGGGGTGGAAGGGAGGGAGAAGCAGTGGAAAATGCTGGTACCTGGACTCGTTCTGTGCAGAGATAGATTGATCTGAAAGTGGGTTCATGCCAGGAACCAGAGAGAGCACAGTGCGGGTGTTCAGCTGGAAGTTGGCATGAACATTTTCAGCACCAATTGCTGATGGAAATGAGATGCCATTTTAAGGGATAGTGCCAGCTGAAAAGAGGAGGGCAGACAGCTGAGAGGAGAGATAGCTTGAATATCCACATGATGCCTACCAAAGCCCTTAGCCTGGAGCATGAGCACCACTGTTCTTGGTAAGCATAAGGTTTCCAAATCCATGAGACTTGTTAATTACTCGGTTTTGTTATGGAATCTAATATATCAGATTTATTTTGCCGTTGAATTTGACTTTTTTTTTTTCCTGGAAATATGTTGTGGCCCTTATAGCTGCAAAAGTAATACTGCCTGTTTCATCAGGCAGCTTGTGATAGGGTAGATGCTTCCCTTCTTCATTGTAGTTGTGTTGTTTTATGTATGTGGGTAGATTACAGATGTAGAGACTAATTGCAACAGATTGTCATCTTGTCCCAGGAGCACCACTTGGCATTGGTAATAGGGCAATAGGAAGGTCTGTTGCACTTGAAAAGCACAGCATCTTGTGACATGGAGGGGAAACGAATGACGTTTGTGCAACCTGTTCCCGAAGCAAGGCATGGGATTTGTGGCTATACTAAAGTTTGCAAGGGAATGGCTATGGACAAAAGCTATCCATGGATCTCCGTGTTTCTTCAGCCCCTATACTAATAACAAGAGCAGAGCTTTTGTCCACAAATTGGAACCTAATCCCTGTCTCTAAAGGGGAGTTGCCATCAGATGGGTTGACACTATGGATTCCTTCTCATTATGTTAATCTCTACCCTAAATATAATTGCAGGTTTGATTCAAAGAGAGTGGTGCAGCAGCTGAGAGCTTGTGGAGTGCTGGAGACAATCCGCATCAGTGCAGCTGGCTTCCCATCCAGGTACTGTGGTTGGAGTTCAGTGTGGTGGTGTGCTGCTGGTGTGCTTTCCTCAGCAAGTCCCTTGTCTGGGGCAAGGAAGGGAGCAGAAGACACCATTTTTTCAGGACAAACAGGGTTTTATTTAGTTGGTTTATGTCCAAGATAGATTCTTGCCTTTTTTCTTTATTCTTTCATTTTGCAAAACCCCCATTAGGTTGTGAGCTCCTCAAATGAAAGACATTCATTACCAAGTGATGAGCTGCAAAGTGAGGCTGCCCTAGGTGTGTTCTTGTGTCCAGTGTTTCATCTGATCCATTCAGTTTGGTCCTGAGGAGTAATTTGCTGTGGTGAAATCTCTGAAAATTCTGGTACATGGCAGATACAGGAATTCAGCTTTGATCCCATATGGAAGTGGACAGCAAGTAGCAAAGCAGCGGCTCTATATCCTCTGCACTCCTCTTGCTTTGAAGCAAGTGTTACCCTGCTTGCCTGAAGCTCCCCATATAAAAGCTCCTTGCATTGTACAGTTTACTTTCCTTTTTTTTCCCCCATGCTGCAATAGTAATTTCATCAAAAAAAAGGAATTTGATTATACTTACAGAGAAAGAAAATAGGGTTGCAAGTTACTATCACAGACTTTCACACCGCACATCCGAAGCATACTGGGCTTCAAACACCTGCATCTTAAAAAGGAAAGGTTATGAGTGGCATGGCTCTTGCTGATTATGGTATGAAATTCAGAAGAGGTTTTTAGGGCCTCATAAATCAGAAAACATAAACTATAAATAAGCCTTGAAGATGACAAGGGCAAATAATTCTAAAAATGCATCAATTGCATTCTAGTGCCAAGCAGCTTTGTGTTAATGTCAGCATAGCCATCAGCCTTTTTTTATGGAACAAAGGAGTTATAAATATGCTCCGTAAAGAGTCAGCTAAGCGTGATGCTGAACACCATGAGAAACTCCCTGTCCCGGATTTTGGGGAGGAGTGTGCTGCCTTATTGGTTACTCACATCTTCTGCAAGGCAGCAAACAACAGTAACAACTGATGGTGACTCCTGCGTGATAAGGTGAAGTGGGTCTGATGCATTTAACCTCTGTTGGGCAGTGACCTCCATGGACAGGCAGAAACTGGTGAGTTCAAAACCCACCAAAACTGCTGAGCTCAGGTTCAGGAAGGAAAAAATTAAATCAGTTGTTCCACAGAACAGTTTTCTCTCTCCTCTGTCAGTACAGGAGGGTGGAAGAGGTACGTAGAGATTTGGGTCCTCCATGGGAGTTAGGGGACCCAGCACCACCCCATCTCTAAAGTCTTCAAGGCTTTTGTGGAAGTAACTAATAAAAACTTGCTCTTAAATTTCATGATCTGTAAGCCACAGAGAGGAATTAAAAATCAGCCCATGGGTTGGATCTTTTATTTTCTTCTTTGTTAAAGTCGCTGCAGGAACAAATCTGTCTGTCCTCTTGCAGTAAAAGCCCTAAAGCAGGGAAACAGCCCTGGTTTCATTTGGAGGAGGCCACAGAAAGGCAGTTTTGTGCTCACCAAGCAAGTACTCAAGCTCCCAGGTGCAGTCTGGGCTCCTGGCTCTGCAGCAGTGCATCCCAGGGGAGGACTGAGGAGCTCTGCTCTGGGGGCTGTCCATGGCTTTTGCTGCTGGTCTTAGCATAGCTGCAGGGAGAACCTGTACCTCCCCATTCATAATTTTCCTACAAACTTGCAGCCTTTTCCCACCTCTGCTCACTTAACTCTGTGGTTTAGGCCCTACAGCTCTAAAATTGATATATAATTAGTGACTGGGGAAAGGGAACAGATGAGAGAAACCACTGCAGCACTTGCAGGCCAGCCAAGATCTATTTATGACAAATAATTGACTGATGTGAAGCCCACTCCATCGTGAAAAACTCAAAAGTGATGCTTTCAGCTCTGTTTGCTTGCTTTTGGTTATGAGGTCTTTGTCTCGAGATACTAAGAATACAGAAATCTTCTATCACTGTAACTCATCAGATTTCGTCCTTCCTCCAGGGGAAAAAAAAAGGGTGCAAATAAGCTATTTCAGCTTTTCAGAATAACCTTCACTAGTTCAGTATTTGGGGTGCTTCAAGGGCAGAGTTTTGGTTTTGCTTTTTTTTTTTATGTTTCTAGAAAATAATTGGGAACAGGAACAGCTCTGTGCTAAATAAGATACTTGCTTTGGGTTCTGGTAGTGCTTCGCCCTCCTTGGTCATAAAGTTCCTGTCTTGAGAAAGCAGGAGTTGGACAGCATCATTGAAAGATTCTGAATAATCTGTATATTTGAATTGGTTTTATAAACCAGCTTGGCAAAAGCTGCTTCCACAGGATCTTATTCTGTGGGAAACGTAATAGATGTTTTAGTTCTTTCTGCACTTTTACAACCATGTGGTACTTCTCAGTTTTCATCACAGTAAACGTGGATTATTTTTTTCTCTTTCTTTTTGTTTTGAGGCTAAAACCAAAAAGGAGGGTCATTTCTTTAAATATTAACCCCGTGAGAAGGCTATACATTAAAACCACTTAGTAATAATGGAAAACTTGATCTTTGTGGGTTTTGCTTCCTTTGGGTGAAAGGAATTTACCTTTAGGGCAACAGGGATTTTTCAGGATGTTTTATCTCAAGAGAAGTTTTATTACAGAAACAGGGAAAAAATGTTTATTTTCATCCTGTAGTATTTACACCTGAATGTTTTCCAGCATACTGTCACAAGAGTGTCTTCTGAGGGTGATGTGGCCTTGGGTCAGAGATCTCTGGATAATTTATTTCACGCTTCTCCACTGTGGTTGCTTTATGGGTTTAAGAATTGAGTGTCTTGAGGCCTCAATAATTTTTTTCTACCTGGTTCCTTTAAGAAGAGAAGAAGTTTTAATGTCATTTGTAGTGTTCTTCAACCCCTGTAACTCATGGTATGCTCCCACTGAAAGATGAAGCCTTGCACTCCCCACGTTGGGTACGCCTGGCTTTATTTTATCATTTCCATGGTACGCTGCACTGTGCCTCTATCTCAAGTAAATTGGAAATGTATCATTTGCTTTTGAAATGTTACACAGCAGTTAAGAAATGTATTTGTTAGCATGTGCATAAATGACTGTGATGAATGGACTGTCTTAGATGCATAGATAGTAAATCTATCATCACCTTCTGCGGGTAAAGCATGGAAGATGTCTCTGTGCTATGAAACCATTCATCATCTTTATAGAAACTGGCTACATTGAGATTGGTCTGTAGAGAATTAATTGGTGCAGATTTCCATTAATAATGAAATACTCTTTTACAACAAGTTTTTAACTTGGATTTTGTCAAAACTACTTGCTGGTTCTTGTGGTTTCCAGTCAACGGTACAATGACAGTGGTCTCCCAGCATGCCATCACTCTGCATAACATTGTCATTGCAGTCTCCCTGAAATACTCGTTATTGTAGTTGTTATGTATGAAATTTACTGTTTAAGTACTCTTGGCATTTGGCTGCTTCCTCTGGTTGCTGGAGCTGGTTGTCAGACGCAGCATCTTTGTATCAATTCCGTATGAAATCACAGCTGCTAAACTCTATAAACATTAAACATTTACAATTGAAATGTATCATGAGCTTCCTTGGGTATAAAACCTTTTCTTTTATAATGTGCCTTTAGCTGTCATTTCAGGAAAACAAAACTTATAAATGACTTTGGCTACCAGCAGTTGTGTTTGCTCACTCGCCCCACTCCCAACAAAGGTGTAATATGTAAATAGAGGGTGTTTTTCCCCCTCATTCTTCTCTTTGAATATATTCCAGATAATTTCAAGCCATGCCAGCCTGCATGTTTTAGAGCTAATTGAAAGGCAAATCTGGTCTGCTGCAGTAAACAAAGCAAGAGAAATTTTCTTCCTGAACCACAGTTTCTAAAATAATTTCATGTCAGATCTTGGCTCAGATATTCAACTTGCTTGCCCCCAAACAGGCTTCAGCTCCTGTAGGAAGATCAATATAGTCCAGCTCCTTACTGCTTAAAATGTTGACCCCTATGAAGCATGGCTACACATGGGACTGGCAGGATTTCTTACACGAAGCTGGGACTTGGGTGAAGGGGAATAATTAATTATTTACCCTTAATAGAAATATTTTTGCATTCAGTTATTTTAGGCCACTGAAAGAAACCATATGATGGTTAAGTCATAAAAGCTTCGAGCTCTTATTATACTCTGTTTTGCTCTTCAGTGCTGCTGAATTAACATTGCTGTAATCACCCTAAACAATAGGTTGGAGGTATTTTGGGCAGTTGCTCACTCACTGGAGAGATGCTTTTAAGAGGCTTCCTCCTGGGAGTCAGAACTTCACCCCAATTTCTTACCTGAGCCCTCCCTTTAATTGCAAGGTTGCTGTCAATCCAGCTGACTCTGCAGCACGAGGGCTGCTCTCAGGTTCATCTCCCCATGATTTTGGGCAGGAGCAGCCCCTTTGCTTTGCACCCGGTTGTAGTTTTGTATGAAGCACTCAAATCTTGTTTGTTAAACAGCAGGTACAGGGGTTAATTTGTGGTGTGTCTTATGGGTTATTCTCTCTGTCTAATTCCTGTAGCTGAAAAAGATATTGCTGGGTTGACCAATTCTCCCACTCCTGGCTAAGCCCTCGTGCATTCTCCTTGTTGCTAAAGCCCAAGGAGGGTTGTGTTTTTCATAGGCATAAGTTATTTTACTGTGTCCTTACATTGCTTCTATTGCCTCTTCCCTTTAGTGACCTGTGCTGACTTCAAAGCAAAATTGTTATGTTTTGAGGTCAGCTGTGCTTGATCTCAGCCCTGAGATTATTATGTTTTTCCCTGGGAAAGTGAGTAATATCCATCTATTCCTTCATACCTCCTTCCCAGTTCTGCAGGTACCAAAATCCTCCTGGTCACAGCTCTTTGCCTGTACCACCTGTCTGAATCTTATCACTTGATAATTATAAGGAATGGTATTTATTGAGTTGCTGTTGGTTTCCAGCTCTTAGCAATGAGGTGTACAGTGCTGTGCACTGTGTGGCAGCATTCTGAAAGCCTGAGATCTGCTTGTAATTTAATACCTGTCAACAAGTCAAACTGAGGTATAACCTTCCCATAATCTCTCCTGACCTGCTAAGCTGTGCAGTAACATGGCACATCTTTTATCTCGTGCTGGGAATCGCTCTGTGGTCTAGCAGGAGGGAAAGAAATTTTCTCTTTTTCCCTTTTCTCAGATGTTGAATCTTAAAGGAAAGACATGTGTGCAGAAAAAATAAAAGGTCTGTGTTCACTAAAGCATGGAGCTTTGGTATTTCTGCACCAGAGAGATCTCCTATGTAGGGTTGTGGGATCATGTCTGTTTCTCTCAAAGCACATAGTTGTAAGGGAATTTTACACTGCTTTGAGCCTGAAGTGGTTTAACCAGGCATGTTACATTAAACCTGAGTGCTTTGATTGTTCCATTCTCTAGGGGCAGATCCTGTAACGGCACCTATGAGCCCCTGCAGCTTTCTTTTGCTGTGAACTGGGACTGCAGGTATTCCAGTGAAACTGCTGATGGATCACCAGAGCCCCATCGTGGCACAGCTTTTGTCTTGGTATCCTGTGGTCAATAATACAAGGAGTGTGATCTCAGGAGTGTCATCTCCTGCTAAATCAGTGAGGCTGGTGAGAGCAGCCTCACTGCAGCAAGGGTGAAACGTGCCATAGAGGTGTAGCATTGAGCTATGAACCGCTGGGAGATGTGGATAGAGGACTACAGGTGTCACCAGCCTGGCAAAGCAGTCAGTGAGCACATTTCCTGCTGCTTCCAATATCCCATGTGAGACTAATTCCTAACAAGTGAATTAGTTACACTACAGATGGAAGGAAGATCGTTTTTTACCACCTTGTGAAATGTAAAAGGCTCTGAAGAAAGACCTTTGTGTACAGTGACTTACGATTTATTGTCAAGGAATTTCTTGTTGGAAAGCAGTTGTAGGGTCTCTGTGTCTGTCTTGGTGCAGGAAGGTGATGGATTTTCCTGCTTTCTGCCCACCTTTGACCCATGTGTTGCCTCTTCTCCACTCGCTCTTTGCTGGAGGAGCCTGGGTGGCACCTGCAGATCATTTTGGCCTCCAAATAGCAGCATTTGATAACACCAGCCCCTGAACTGACTCTGGCCACTTAATGGGAATACTCCCTCCTTCCCTTTTCTCCCTTTCCAAGCTCTTCCTAGCTTGAGCAATACTAAAGCCAGGCAGGAGGTCTCCAGCATTGCGTGCTGGACTGTGTGCCTCGGGCATTGCATGCTCTGCTTCTCCTATCGGGTTTGATTTGGAGCTGTGGAAGCCTCAGATGTGCTGAAAGAGAAAATGGGTTTTATTCGCACAAAACAAAAGGATTTAGGTGTGGGTACAAAATGGGAACTGTAATTATAAAACAAAAACATCTAGAAAGCAAAGAGACAGCAAGTTTATGCTTAAACCCCACATGGCACAAGCCTGCAGTCTTGCTTGTACCTCACCCCGGTGAGAGCCTCCCATAGCAGGTGTCTTTGGGTTTTTTTCAAGTGATAATCCAGTACTTTTGGTTATTTGAAGGTGGGTAGCCTTGGCTGTTCAGCCTCTGAGCTAGTCCATGTAGACTGGTACGGGATCATCGCAATATCTGGGTAATCCAGAGCTAATCTGCCCATGGGCAATCCTCTCATCACAATTTCCTTCTTGCTTTTGTCTCTAGGAACCTTCCATCTTATCTTTTGCTTCAGGTGCAATGCTAACTACTTGATTTTTGCCATTCCCATGTTCTTTGCAAATGATGTCCTGGTTGCAGTGTGTCCATGAAGGAATTGTGTGACACTTTGGCACTTCCCAGTCCTTAGCAGTCCATTTATTTATATATTTATTTGCTTTTAAGCCTTCATTCTCTTTGTAAACATTTTCTTCCACTCTTCTAATTAGAGTATTGATTTTAATTAAAGTGGCATTCCTGTCCTTGTGCATTTTCTGAACTGATGTGAGACAGTGTTGGTCATGTATTTTGAAGTACACATTAAATTTTTGGTATGCCTATTTTACCAAATATCCTAGCTTTCAGGAAGTTTCAGTAGAGATTGTATCAGCAGTTGGACTTGATGACTGTTGTAAGTTACTTCCAACTGAACTATTCTATTCTATGAAGCATTTTATAGAGATGGCAGTCTTTGAACATGGGAGGAGCACAGGTGGAGGTGTGATGTCTCGCTCAGCCCCACCACTGCAAAGTGGCCAAGTGTAAGACCTGTTACAAGCATCACTCTGGCCCTTTGCAATGTATTTTGCCTTTCTTCCCCCCTCTCTTGATCTCTGGAAGTGGAAAAGCAAGAAGAGTTGGGTGTAATAATACAGGAAAAAAGATATGCATGGAGCAGCTGGGCAGAGGAGGAGATGTTTCTGTGTGGCTGCTCTTCATACTGTGTATTCTCATCTTGGCTGCCAGTATATCCATGTGGGTGAGGATCAGCTCGCAGATGGCTTTGTTGAGAGAGGGCAGAAATCAGAATCATTGTAATTCTCTCTCATCTTCCTTTTTTATGCATATATTTTTAAATGATGATGGTCATGCTTGACTTCGCTGGAAATGCCTAGTGTTTTAATTAAGCACTCAGGTTTTGAGGGGTCTGTAACTCACTGTGTTAATTTGGAGAAGGCAGAAACTTGGCAGATGCTGAACCAATTTCAGGACGCAGTCTGCAGGCTCTACGTCTAACAGCAGTGGCAGGGGATGGTATTTCCTAGCAGTAAGACGCAGTGCTCTAATTCCTGCTATTAGCATTGCATGTTTGAAACTTAACTGTTGGTGACAGCGAGGCATCTTCCCAGTGGCTGCTTTATCTTGTCAGAGTCTTAAGATTCTGTGTTTGTTTTTACAGTCTGGACCACAGACCTCAACATGGATTACTGAACTGATTAAAACTAACATTCAACAGAGTTTGGAAAAGCAAAATAAAGAAGAATTTCTATTTAATTCAGTGTCTAAGGTTGCATTTTTAACCATTTTTATATTTTGCTGAATCAAATCCATAGCGTCTTCAAAATGATCATATCCTTTCCAAAGGGAACAGTGTTGTTAAATTTGACTGGTAAAATGCAGCAGCTTGCAAAGCACATCAGGAGGAGGGAAAACATGGTGATTCATGGCCTTTGTGTCATGCTAGAAGTACGTAGATAAGGTCATTCAGTGGCAGAGGAGAGCTGAGATTTGGGATCAAGTTTGAGGCGACCTAACTAATGTGACTTTCGTCCTGAGGGTAGTGGTGAGTGATCCCTTGGTACATGAGTTTCATGTATTGAGTCATCTATGACTCCAAATGCCTTATTTTAAAGAAATTATGCCCAGCATGCAGACTAATCCTGTGTGTGCTTTGCTTTCAGATGGTCGTACCATGACTTTTTCAATAGGTATCGTGTTCTTATGAAAAAGAGAGACCTCTGTAACAGCGACAAGAAACAGATATGTCAGACCCTGTTGGAAGACCTCATTAAGGTGAGCTGTGACCAAACCTTTGGCAGTAACTTTTACAGCACAAATGCTCATGGCACTGATATGATCTGAAGTGCTCTTCCTGCTCCTACTTCACTTGATGCTTGTGCAGGTGCTTCTTCAGCCTGGTCAGCCTGGGGCTTTCTCCAGAATGAGATAGTCTCATAAGGAGGTAGCGAGAGCAGGTTTGATATGGGATCTCTTCATTGTGGTCAAGCTGAACATGCCATTTCAGTGCTGGTGAAGTCCAGAGTTTGCTGTCACCGGCTGGATGTGAACAACTGACCATGTCTAGAAAACTTGTCTCCTCAGCCCCTCATTTTAGTTTTGGATAGCCATAGCTGGAGCATATTTTAGAAGTTCAGCTTTGAACAGCACCATGAACCTTATTCAGTCATTAAATACCTCTTGCACAAATAAGTAAGAGAAAAATGCAGTAAATGCCCTGTATTGTGAGGGAGACTTTCAATAGCCACTAATATAGAGAGAAAGCATTCCAGACACTGAGACTCTTTTCCTTCAAGCAAATAAGAAGTTGTTGCCACCTTTCTTCACAAAACTGGGTTTTCTTCACAAAGCTGTGTCTGCCCCATCCCTGGGAGTGTTCAAGGCCAGGCTGGATGGGGCTTGGAGCAAGCTGCTCTAGTGGAAAAGGTGTCCCTGCCCGTGGCAGGGTTTGGAACTGGGTGGGCTGTGAGGTCCCTTCCAACCCAAACCAGTCTGGGATTCTAGGAATCTATGAGACTCATGTGAATTACTTTTAAATTGGAAATGTGAACACAGAGGTTTCTTCCTCTGGTCTTGCCATTGAGCAGCCCAGTGCACAGAGCTCCTTAGCCAGATTAGAATGTTTAATCTCTTGCTTTCCTCGTGGGATTTTGAGGAATTTACTCAATTGGGCTCCTCTCTGGAAAAAGCACTCTCCTCATGCACCAAGGGTTCCTTTAGCTGAAAGCCATTTGCAGTGCATACATGACTTTGCAGATGTAAGATAGAATCATAGAATAGTTAGGGTTGGAAAGGACCTTAAGATCATCCAGTTCCAACCCTCCTGCCATGGGCAGGGACACCTCACATGTAAAATGTATTCTTTTCAAAAAGAAATCCTTACTTGAAGTCCTCTGGTGTTGCATTTCTCTATTTAATTTAGAAACAAACCCTAAAAAAGTGAAAAAAAAAATCAGATTTTGTGTAAATATATGTAACTTAAGATTGAATCCTAGTGCTGCATTCCTCAATGGGTACATGGAAGCTCAAGCAGTTTACAGCCTAGTACCTTAATCACCCAATTAAGAATAAATGGGAGCTGACCTGATATAGATTCAAAGTGTAGGGGGTTTAAGCTGTATTTACTATTTTTACTAAAAATAAAAAAAAATGTTTGCCTTAATTAAATGTCGTTTCCTTTATGTTTTTGAAAAGGATCCAGACAAGTTCCACTTTGGGCGTACGAAGATCTTTTTCCGTGCAGGCCAGGTGGCTTATCTGGAGAAACTGCGAGCAGATAAGTTCAGAGCTGCCACAATCATGATTCAGAAGACAGTGCGGGGCTGGCTGCAGCGGGTCAGGTACAAAAAGCTCAGACAAGCTACAGTCATCATCCAGTGCTACGTACGTGGGCACCTGGCACGGAGGTGGGTCCTGGGGAGCCCTCTGAGGAAGGGCTGGCTGGGAGGTGCTTTGGGGCACTTGTATTTTCAATCTGTTCCATCTTATAGACCTTAAATGTGGGGATTTTATATAAGAAACATCGAAAATGCTCTGCATGAGGTGTTGCCTTTAAGCCCTGTGAAGACAAGACCCATATTGGGCATGTAGATGCCACTACAGTGAAAGCTTCTCTGCTGAAGTCACGACTCATTCCTGGCCTCTCTCTGTAGCTTTATTCAGGGTAAAGAGATCAAAATTCTTTACCTCAAACTGAATGATTTCATATCTATATAAATTTAATTTCTAGGTACCGAGCCAGTGCTATGGCATAGGCAGCTAGGTTATAAACAGATGACTGCAGTATTCTGAGAAATGTAGATGAGTGTTTCACAGAGCGGATATTTTTCTGAGTACCTCTGATAAAGGGCATTTGTGTCATTCAGTGAGTACTTTGCTGGTTGGTATGTGCTCCTCTTCTGCAGGTACTAGGTTTGTGCTTCCTGGTATTCAAGGGAAGTTCTCAGAATTGTTTTGCTGTATCATTTGCAGTGAGAAAGATCACTGCAAATCACTGGCAATGGGGCTATTTACAGTACAGAATAACAGAACTCAATGTTTAACTCTCTGTGTGCAAGAGCCTCATGTTGATGCCTTGCTGGGATTTCTGGGGTGTAGGTAACAATGTGCTGGAGAGTAAGCTGCTGGTAGCAGATGTGGGGTGGTTGTGAGGGAGCAGTAAAGCAATGTAATAGCATCCCAACACCCTGGCCACCTTGCATCTTGTGCCCCTTATTTACGTCAAACACTGCCACTGGCCTGTATTTAGCCAAGCTGGCTTCAGGGCTTTCGCAGATAGTAATGAGCAGTATATTTCGATCCTTTCAGGTTTATTTCCTTCTTTGTTTTCTCCTTAGAGAAGCTTTGTTATGTTGGCTGTGTTGTTTGGTTTTGGGCAGCAATGTTCTCTCCCTGGCTCTGAGTTAGCATCTGCCCACCAGTAGTATTGCTAATACACCTAACCTGCAGCCCAGTTGGCACTGTTTGCACTTGGGCAACATAAGATGCTGTCATTATGCCACAAGGTTCCTGCATAGTAATTTCCTCACTCCTGGTTGCTGGATGAATGTTGATTTCTAACAGTTATTGAGGGTACTAAAGGTGAAGAACTTCCGTGTTCTTTCCAAGCATTTCCTCTAATTCATACAATATCTCTATGATGTATTTTGGAAGAATGTCAGATGCTAACTGAATTTGTGGTGTTATTTGTGCTCATAAAAGGGATTTGCAACATGGAGAATCTGGGGATGAGAAGGTCGCCAATAAGCAAAGCTGGACAATTTGGTGACTTCTGTTTAAAACTGAGCACAGGTTCTTCTTGTCCTTAGAAGTCCACGTACATCTCTAGGCTCATAGCTGCAGTCTCAAGCCCACTTCAAGACAAGGCAAATGAGACTGAAGCAATAAGAGGAAGGTTAAGAGAAAGAGAGTCCATGATTAACTTCAGCCTCTCCAATGGGCTGCCCATGCACACCTACAGACTTGGACTCTATATTTGAGTTCACATCAGTCAACCATCCCTCTAAGGGGAAAGGAGGAATGCCTGGTGATGTTGAGGTGATGGGGTATGAGCTAAAGGAGAGGCTGGAAGCAGATGTGCCAAAACCACCTGCAGCAGTTCTTCAACATGATTTTTTGGGTCATCTGTTCATAGGGATGGATGTCATCTAAATAACTGCTTTCTTCTCTTTTGGAAATGGACTATCCCTTATCCTCTTTAATAAGCTCTGATTCAGTAGGTCCTAATGAGAAGGAGACTATATAAACCAGTCTGATATGTCTCTTGGTTTTGATATGCTTTTCACAAAACAAAGTAGATCAAATATCTATAAATTCTTACAATAAAGATCTATATAATGCTTCATGTAGACAGCAATAAATAATAAATTCAGCAAAATGAGCTAATTATAAAATTAAGTGGAGGTTTTATGGGCATTTATTAACCTCTATAACAGCAGATTGAACATGAATTCAGCTGGAGAATGAGAGCAGCATGCCACGGAGTTGAGCACATCCCTCATTATTTACTCTCTGTGAATTGCCTGGGGCTCTGCTCATGAATGTAGCTAAACCAGTGCGCACCAGTTTAAATGTCAAATCAGTTTGCTGCTGTTTTCTCTCAGTTGGTAGATACTCAGCACACTTGCTTTTTATAGTTAGGGAAGCAATGAAGCCAACCTGGACATTGATTGGCTCAAGTACTCAAGACAAAGAGCTCAAACCAAGGGAAAAGCTGGAAAATATTTGTTTTAAATGGTAGTTAGGAACCATGAGGCGTGTCAATTTCTAGTTCCAGTGCTCCTGGGTGCCATGGATGCTGTATGATTGCATGCATGTTCCTATTATTATAACAGAGACATGCTATCAGCTGCTCTTCTCTTAACCCTACTGCTGAATTGGTCTTTCTTGAATACCTCGAAGCTACTTTTGGATGAGAAGTTTTTCTCTGCCCAGTTTGGAATTTATTACAGAAGAAGGGGAGTTTAGTTTACTATTAACCTTTTTTTCCTGTGCTTTGCAGACTCGCTGAGCACCTGAGGAGGACAAGAGCTGCCATCATCTTCCAGAAGCAGTACCGAATGCTACGGACCCTCCAAGCTTACCAGAGGGTCCGCAGCGCAGCCATCACCATTCAGGCTTTTGCTCGGGGCATGATTGTCAGGAGGATTTATCACAAGGTACTGACTCCACGGAGTGGCATTAGGAGAGTAGGAAGAGCCTTACATCCACTGGCATAGCACGGTGATGTATTTATTGTGCCCACTTTGATGTTTTATGAAGCCGACAGCCTCTGGTGTTTCCGGAGAGCACATGGCGATGGCGAGCATTGCCATTTAAAGCTATGCAAGCAAACAAGATTTTGGCAGCAGCACTTCAGCAGAGCAGCTAAATGAAGTTAGTGATTTGGGTGCCAGAAGGCATTGTGGAAATCTGGAAATGTCATTCGATCTAACCCATACTCTGCAAAAACCTCCCTGGCAAGCTGAATTTGTATCTGAGCTGTGGTGCAGGTGCTGTTTCCAGAATGGAAGGAGGACCAGTTGGGTCAAGTAATTTATTGATATAAATCCCTCTTTAATTAATTATCTCCATTAGTAAACCAGGAGCTGGAAGCAAGGAAGTAAAGGCTTGATGGCACTAAGTGAGAAGTGGTAAATGCCCCATCCCTGGCAGTGGTCAAAGCCAGGTTGGACAGAGTCTTGGGTGACATGGTCTAGTGTGAGGTGTCCCTGCCCATGGCGGGGGGCTTTGGAACTGGATGATCTGAACGTCCTTTCCAACTCAAACCATTCTGTGATTCTATGAAACTAAGAACAACTCTGGGAAATCTTCAGTCTGCTCCTCAGGTCCAGCCTTAGTTTCATAGTCACCTGAATTTATGCCTAGTTGTGAGGATACTGGAATTCAAGTCAGAGGCATGATGAGCCAGCAGGGGAAATCTTGCTTTGGGAGTTGATGGAAGCCTACCAGAGAGGTCAATGATGTCCTCCGAAACGGAGCAGCTGGATGCTGGTGATCAGGAATTTATGCTGCCACTGCTTTATCAGCATCTATTTTTTGAATCAGAAGCCTCTACAGGAAAGGCAGCTGGTCCAGCATTCAAACTCTCTGAGTACCGAGATAACTCAAAATCTTAAGTTGTAGAAGTTGGCTCTGAAGGTCAGGCTTCTCAAAACTGAGCATCCTTTATCTCTGGAGCACCAGGATATAGGTGCTGGAGACAGGCATTGGTTCAAATGCACGCTTAGCAACAGATGCAGGACTACAGGTCCTCCATGAGGTCAGGCTGTTATAAGGCCTGTTGTAAGACCGGAGTAAGCCCCCAGGTCAATGCACTAGGGTTTCTTCTACCTGTTTGGGCACCCCCAGCCCAAACATCTGTAAGAGTGACAAGGCTGGAGATGTACAAAGCTCATTTCAGAGCAGCTCCTACTGCATCCTAAGTGCATACAATCTTTTTATTCTGAATTAAAATTTGCAAGTGCAAAGAAAGCCTTAGGGTGAAACAAAAGATTTGTAAGAGAAGCTCCTGTGGTATCTTTTCTGAGACAACTTATCCCCAGCTAATAACAGCAAAGTGTCTTGTAATCTTAAAATTCTCCTGCTATTTCTTTCCTCATAATACGACAGCATAGATCAACATAAGAATGTTATTAACAGCATGCTTTTATATCTCATATGTCAGCCTTCAGGTTTAGAGAAAGCAGTTGAACTGCCACCTACTGAAAACATAGTTGTAAATTTTGGGAGGGAAATTAAATCAAAAGTGCCAGAAGTTTCACAAAACTGGATACAAGTTCTCAGAAATTGAATCATGCAAGAGAACTGGCTGCAGACTGTACTGAGAGGACTCCAGGGTTTTATTTGAAGGTCATCCGCATGATAAGGAATCCCACCAGGACAGCATTTTATCTGCTGTATAAATTATCATAATGCAGGGGTGGAACACACAAAAAAATAATCTACAAACCTGTTCTGGTGCGAATTACATCTGATGCTGAGGGGACAGTAGGTTTGTTGCTAAGTGTTGGTGTGTCTGTTAATGGGTATTTATTCTGCTAGCTGTGGATCTCTTGTATCTGAGTACTGTTCCAGGGTGGTCCATAAACACATAGAACCAGCTAAGTTGGAAAAGACCTTTAAGATCATCAAGTCCAACCTTTACCCCAGCACTGCCAAGGCCACTACTAACACATGTCACTAAGGGCCTTGTCTGCATGGTGTGTGAACACTTCCATGGATGGTGATCCCACCACTGCCCTGGGAATCCTGGAAGTGGTGAGGTCTCACTTGAGCTCTGATGTTCCCAGTCCCCATCAAGTCTCCTACCTACTGGACAGGATCATACCCCTCATTGCACTGGCTAAGCAAGACTTGACCTTCTTAAGTGAGCAGCATGGCTCCTAAGAGAGGACTGGATGTGTCCTGCCTGCATCAGTTGAGCTCAGAGATTGGAGAACTCCCCCCAGGAGGGGTGATTGAAGTACCCCTTCCCATCTATGAAAGAGGATGCAAAATAACAGCTTCTATCTCCAGCCATCACCCTCTACACTGCTCCTTGGAGGAGAATCCTGTTCCAAGGCAGATTAGGAACTGCTGAGTGCTGTGTTGCACCAGATGAGGGCTGTTGCTACCTTTACAGTGACTTTTCCCCTGTGACTGTTCTGTAGATCCTGGTGGAGCACAAAGCCATCACTCTCCAGAAGTACACCCGGGGCTGGCTGGCCCGCACTCGGTTCCGCCGTGTCAGGGCTGCCACCATTGTCCTGCAGTGCTACTACCGGCGCATGAAGGCCAGGCAGCAGCTGAAGGCACTGAAGATCGAGGCCCGCTCAGCAGAACACCTAAAGAAGCTCAATGTTGGCATGGAGAACAAGGTGGTCCAGCTCCAGAGGAAGATCGACGAGCAGGTATGTCCTGAGCTGTGCTGATCCTCTGCTGCTTTGCCTGTCTGCTGTTGTCCTTCCTCGAAAGGATTTTGTTTTTCTGTGGTGTCTGGGAAGGATGCCATGGTGGTGACAGCCTTCTGCTACTGCTGGCTATAGATCTGGGACACTACCATGGAAGAGCAGATGCACTTGGATCTTGGGTCTCCAGCAGGCTCTATGAAGAGCTTGCTTGGTAAGCTGGAAAAGCTGCACTGTCACTGTTGTGAGAACTGCCCAGAAGGACCCGGGGGTGGAGGACAAAATGGTAATTTTGAAAGCTGTTGTTTGAAAACCCAAGCCAGCTCCATGTGAAATCCCCATGTCCCAAAGGACTGGATTGTTCCATTGCACTTCCTGCTTTGTAAGCACTAAGAATGCAGACTGCCTGCCTCAGTTTGTTGTACTGAACCATATGTCACGAGTCTTGTTACCTAGAAGGTAAACAGTAAATTGGGTAAATACTTCACTAAGTAGTTTGAGCATGTTCTTGTGTTACTGGACGTAACGTGCTCAGAGGTAAGATCATGATGAGGGATGAGATGGCACAGTATGGTAGATGCCTGTGTGGATGACTTGATGGTCTTACACAGAGTTCTTTACCAGTTGCCACTTGTCATTAATGATCTGCAGAATATTAGTTTGATTACACACTTAGGAGGAGAGTTTTCCCCGCCTACTCACATGTCTGCAAGTTACTCTGGTAAATACTCTCTATGTTGCTTCCCAGTACTGTGCAAGATTTTCAGGGGTGATTATAAGAAATGGACCCAGTTGCATCAGCTGCTATGAGCAGGGAAATTCATATCCACCTATATCCTTAACCAGCCTTTTCACAGGCAGAAGAAACATTCTGTATAAGTCAGGATACCTACTTACTGCAGCACCAACTATTAGTAGTTGCAGTTTATCATTCTGTTAGGATGTTAACAGGGATCTGTACGTCACACACAGTTTTTTTTATGGCCTTAAATCACTCCCATCCCTGCAGGACGTGAGAGGTCCTGTGATGAAGAAAATGAGAAATGACTCTGCGTTGGCTCAGATGCCGCGGAGTCAAGACACCCAGGGATTTGCGTTACTGCAGGCCACTTCCATTGCTGTATTAATTGGCTTGCACCGCAGTAGAGTCTGACTTTTAAACTGTGGTGTTTAACTCAAAAATGCCTGCTTGCACACTTGGATTTTGCAGACAAACCATAGCTTTTTTAAGGTTTTCTATGTATTTGTATAGAATCATAGAATCACAGCCTGGTTTGGGTTGGAAAGGACCTTAACATCATCGAGTTCCAATCCCCCTGCCATGGGCAAGGACACTTCACCCTAGACCAGGGAAATGTCAGAAACCTGTTAGATATGACCCTTCATCTGGAGGGTAAACGGTGTAATTAATTAGGATGAGTCCATATATTTGGGCAGAACTTGTGCAATGAGCATGTGTTAGGTCTGCTGAGCTACTGGACTCGGCAGTGGAGTGGAAGTATACATTTTTGTTATCCCCCCCCCCCCCCCCCCCCCCCCCAGGCTCCAGCCCATTTAGTGCTAGGAAAGGTGTGGGGGTGGAACAATAAAGGAAAAACAGTCTCTGGTTAATGTCAGCTTTCCCTTTGTAGATTGTGAAAGCAGCAGAAATGTCTAGTTTAGGGAAGGAGACATGGAGAGCTTTTAAGTAGGCAGAAATAATGGGATGGAGCTTGTCTTGATCGGCCTCGGTCCCCACACAGAACATTTTAGAGTTGCTTTGATGCCTTCTACGTAGCTTTTGCAGTAAAGAATTGCTCTGTATTATTATGTAGTCTGTCCAGAGACCAGATTTTAACCACCGTTTCAGGACTCACAGGATTCCCTGGGATGCTTTAGAAGTGTTAATGAGCACTGTTCCAGTGGACATGTTTTCTGGCAGCAGCGAGTTTGTTGCACAATTGTTTCCCTGAAGTATCTTGATTTCAGTCCTTGCTAATCTATAAAGATGAGCTTTAAAAATGCCAATTAACTGTTTAAGGAAAAAAAAAATACTTATGGGTTACCTCGAGAGCTGCATTAGTATCATTTTCCAGCTAGTGTGATGCAAAATGTTTTTATTGCTGCTACTTTAGCTCATGAATGAATAGAGATGCAATAGTCCATGCACTCCTGAGGAAGAGAAGACCTTTCTCTGAAAACATTAAAACCTGTTATATGTCAGCCTCAGCTCACATCCTCTAGCATCCATTATTGGGGCCTATTTAATTCAGTCTCAAAATCAGGTGAGGGATTTTTTTTTTTCCACACACAATAAAGATTTAAGTCTGTTTTGCTGTGAAATATCCGGACTGGACCACTTCTTTCTACCCACATTGGACCACTTCTTGTTTGGGGTTCTTTTTAAGTTACTTGACTTTCTTTAAATGTACGCACTTTTTAAGGCTGTTGCTTAATTTAGTGTTACGTGTTCATGCAGCCAATATTTAGGCTTACTGTGAGCTCCTAGCACTGTTAACGCAAAGGGCAGTATCTCTGTGAGCATTGATTGTGAATAAAGCTTGCTTGGGTAACAGCAGTGGTGAAGTTGTCTCTGCTGTTGGTAGCAAAATAAACCCTAGATTGGTTCGCAGGGCCTGGATTGAAACCAAGCTGATCACAGCCCTGCTGGGCTGGATAATGGTTTAAAATAAACCAAGTTCAAGTTTAACAGGGTCTTTTGAGCAATCTCTTATTGCAGCAGGGACCAGTTGTTTTGATACAGGGGAGGAAATGTTCTCTCATGGCTTTAGTAGCTAATAACAAGAAAAAGCATTCCTGTGCATTTATCTTGTATATGGATTGAAATCTTAGTTGGCTGCTGTGCAAAATTCACAGAATCCCAGACTGGTTTATGTTGAAGGGATCTTAAAGCTCATTCAGCTCCAGCCCCGTGCCATGGACAGGGACACCTTCCTCTAGAGCAGCTTGCTCCAAGCCCCTGTGTCCAACCTGGCCTTGAACACTGCCAGGGATGGGGCAGCCACAGCTTCTCTGGGCACCCTGTGCCAGCGCCTCAGCACCCTCACAGCAAAGAGCTTCTGCCTAAGAGCTCATCTCAGTCTCCCCTCTTTCTGTTCAAATCATATATGTAAACCTTGGGATGCAAAGCCATGAAATGCTGTGCGTCAGAGAACAAGCAAAGGCTGGGAGAAGCAGCAGAGATTTGTGAACCAGAGTAGTCACTGCCATTCCCTGCAAAGCTTTCCTTAAGTAAATAAGTAATTTCCTCAACACCACAAGAGCACTGAATTTTGCTGTTCACTAATAATTCATTACAAGGAAGTGAAGGAAAAGATGATGTCCCCTGTTTACTTGGTTTTCCACTGGAGATATGTCTTAATCTTGCTTCAGAGAGCTGAGGTTGCAGCAAGAGAGAGGTGCTTTGGGAATTCACCTAGGGAGGGACCAAAAGGATAACCAGAGCAATGGTAGAAGAAGTGATCCTATGAGCCAGTTTGGGAATCCAGGAGATGAATCTGAAGTATGGCTGCAGGTTTCCAGTATTCAGCAGCTCGCCATGCATTTGTCCAGGGCTTGTCTGCTCCAGAAGAACCTGTGTAGACCTAGAAGATGAAACTCTACTTTCCTGAATGGATCGTTGTGGTTTTTTTTTCTTCTTTTCTAGGTTATAAAGTTCTTTGAAAACCAGCTATTGTACAGGAATTATTATGGGCCTTTGGCCCTGTTACAGAGATAGGTGTCCCATCCCCGGCAGTGTTCAAGGCCAGGCAGGCTGGATAGGGCTTGGAGCAAGCTGCTCTAGTGGAAGGTGTCCCTGCGTGTGGCAGGGGTTGGAACTGGATGAGCCTTAAGGTCCCTTCAACCCAAACCGTTCATTCCATGATCACGCTTTTTTTTGCATTGAAGTTTTTTTTTTCTTGCTTATTTGACTCGGGTGAGAATCTAAATGAATTTGCATCTCAGGATCTGTGACTTTACGCCTTTACTGTTTACCCTGACTGTATCAGGACTTCTTTAGTCCATTGACTTTTCAAATGTTACATTTGTGTCTTTAAAGACTTCTGTCTTCTGGCTGCTTCACATCAAGCTTATCATGCCTCTACATCAAGTAAAAACTTCCCGAGTTTCTCATGAGCTGGTGTCACACTGCGGGTGATTGAAGCTCTGAGAAACAGCAGAAAGCTAAATTGCAAAACACTCATCTGGTCTGGACAGCGATGTTTTCCAGCAGGACCAGGAAGGGCCAAAACTGATATTTCTGATAAGAGAAATATCCGTCAAAGCCCTGTTTAAGAAAGCAATGCTTTTTGGATCTGTTGTACATGATGTGAGCCCAGATCTTTGCAGCTGTATTGAAAGTTTTCAAGAAGAAAAACCCAGACTATACTTTAAATTTTGCTCTCATGATTATCGACCTGTTGTTAGCAAACCTGTGTGGTAGGTTCTTCACTGAAGCTCTCGATCTGTTGTGAATTCATTGTCCTTTCTGGGCCTAGATAATATCGACGGTGTTTTATTAGTCACTGACTAATCACTGACTTTGATTTTAACCATGAAAATGAAATGAGGCTGCTGAATTTTCAGGTTTTAAAAACTTGGGGCAAATCATTGCTAAATGCTTTAAAAAGAGAAAATTTGAGCAAATAAAGACAGTTGAGCTGGCACATGACTAAAACCTGGGGTTTAGGGAGCTCTTTGTGCTCAAAGCTGCAATTATGCTACCGTGTGTTGTCACCCCTGGTTCCTGTGGGCATAGGAGTAGGCATAAAAGGATAAACTGCAAACCCAATATTACAGACATTAACAAAAGGACAAACCAATTGCATTAAGCAACATTGTTTGGAAGCTGTAATGAAAGTGTAGGTTTTTGTTTTGGTTGCCAGTGCTACCAAGTGTTGTTTGCTTTCACTTCAAGAGTAACCATCAATTTAACAAAAGCTTGTATAATCATTATCAAAATATTGAGATTTTTGTCACAGTTTTGAAATTGCCTTTAGCTCTGTGAGCTTTATTGACATATGCATGGGAATATTCATTATAGCAAGTTTATTACCCACCATGCTCAAGGATTTCTAATGGTTACTTCTGTAGTGCATCTGTGCATGCATCAGTCCCAGTTACGGTCTTACTTTCTTCTTTTTGGGACGCTACAGAACAAGGAATACAAACTTCTGCATGAGCAGCTCTCAACGCTTACGTCAGCCCACTCCTCTGAGGTGGAAAAGTTGAAGAAGGAGCTGTTGCGGTATCAGCAGAGCCACCAGGGTGATGGCAACCAGCTTGTCAGCTTGCAAGAAGAGATGGAGCACCTCCGGCTGGAGCTTGAAAAGACTCATAGTGAGAGGAAGGTCATGGAAGACAGCTACTTTAAGGAGAAAGACTTACTGAGAAAGGTAGGTCCCTCTGTCACATCTCATATGTAGGTCTCCTGCAGGTGGCCGTACTGGTGAAAGCTCACTCCTTAAGTCCGAAAGGTAAAGTATTTGGTTTTTAGTTAAGACCTTTTCTCTTTGTCACTGAAACCCCCTGCAATTTGCCTTTTAACCAGGTCATGGGGCAGGAAGGGCAGGTGGACATCCCCAAAGGAGCAGTGACTCCGTCATGTCAGGAGGACACCCTATCTTGATGCCTTTGGCTCTGCCAACCAAGAAGAAACTCCCCAAACCCAGACCTGTCTGGAAATAAGGGCTCTTAATCATATAGGCTGAACAGCAATTCGTCATGGCATGTAATGCAAAATATTATAGAAGGCTGTTGCTGATGCTGAATATATTAGGAGGATGTCCTTCCTCAGCCTAGACTGATACGGAAAATGAGGGTTCAGTATCTGCCATGCAGTACATGGCCATTGCAGCTGGTCATAGGGGTTGGTGTTGTGGGCACATTGAAGAGTGGGACCTGTGTGGTGACCAGTGGGTCCCTCCCAAGCAAAGGCTTTGCTCCAGCGCAAGCTAGCGTGGTTGTTCCAACCCTTTGTAGAGTTTGGAGCTATGATGTAGACTAACCATTTTTAAATTTCTCTTCCTTCATGCAAACTCCTATGCTTTCTGATTTTCTTGAGGTGTAGACGGTCCAACACTGCAACCATTGTACAAGAAAGACTTCAGATGTAGATGGTTTTTGCAAATAGTAAAGATGGACCTTTTTCCCTGATTTTTTTGCTGGTCAGGCTCATTCTGAGTAACCTTCACACCCATTTTCATAACCTAAGGTACTAAGGTTTAGTTTCCTGCTGTGAATGCTTGCGACTGCTCAGGTTAAATCTGTGATCTTTCTTCTGCATTTGACAATTGAAGTGATTTTCTTTGATCATGCTATTGGAAAGAATTTAGGGCTTTTTTACTCTACTTGTGTAGAAAAAGCTGTTTTGCAGCTACAATAGTGCTTTGTGTGTGACAACCTGAAGAGAAGACACTTTGGGAGATTAAAAAACCCCAAAGGTCTGGGAATAGCTGTGGGTTTATTATGATGGAAGACTGCTTGGATGGAGCTCTTTTAGGGCACATCCCCGGGCCAACCTCCCCTTGTGAACAAGGCCTCAGATGGTGGGTTTGGGTGAGAAGCTGTGGGGACTGTGTAGGGACTGTGTGGTCAGGATAACTTACTCTGATCAGCAAGCGTAGCTGAAATACACCTTTGGCAGTTCTTTTCAAGAGCGTGTTCAGCCTTTACACGTGTTGCCTCCTGGCTGGACCAGCAAAAAAGCAGTTGCTCTGCTCTTTGCTCATGTATTGCACCCACACAGGATGTATGAAATTAGTGATTTTCTTCTCTCCAGCATCAAATTAGAAGATCCTTTTTGGCACAGGGCTCAGTTCATTAGATGGCTGAGGCACAGGCTTTTAAAACCCTGAAAAGATGCTTTATTTTAAAGGTGATACATCTGGGGAAAAACTGTTTCTCTTTGTTCTTGTTTGCAAATCAGAAGAAAGGTTGATTTAATGACCGAAGGAATGATTTCAAAAAGCCTGAAAGCAAAGCAAAAGCTTCCCCTTGTTGTAGAAGTGCCTACAGCATAACAAATACTGTGCACTTTACCATTACAACGAATGATTTCATTTTAAAATGTTTTTACTGAGCAGTGCAGGCTGCCGTTTCTGACATTATTTTTCAATCACTCCCTTTGATTCCTTGTCAGTGGGAAGATAAAGACCTGTTTCCTTCCTGGAAACGATGGTTCAGCCAAAACACTTTCTAAGAAAAATTCTGATAGAGGTTTCTGAGTTCTCATAGCTGCCAAAAGGGTGGGGACTGTCATGAAACTGAATTTAGGTGGGAAGCACTTTATACCTTCATTATCAAGATTACACCATGGCCATGGTTGTGATGGGATGGATTTGTCCTGGAGGTGATTCCTAAAATCATTAGACACTTTAGAATCTGAAATGAGAGCCTTAATCTCATTGACATTAGCTGGGGTTCCATATTAGCTATGATGATGATACCAAAAAAATATCCTTTAGTCTCTTCCTTATAGCTTTTCTCCCCAGCTCCTTAAATTTTAGGATAGGTTTTCTTATTTGAATTTGAGATAAAGTTTAAAACATCAGATGTGGGTGAGTTCTAACTTCCTCGGGATTTTGGTAGTACCTAATCTTCTCACTTGGTGAGCTAGGATGATTCAAAGCCTGGCCAGGAATTTTATTATGAAAATCCTAAATGCCATTATCATTCCTCAAAAGATTAGGGGAGGACAAGAGACAGATCTCATGAGCAGGTGCTTCCAGTGTAACAGTGAAATAAGGACTGAAGCCATTACGAGTGCTCACTGCTGAATATCTTCCATATAAATCCTTCAAAGCGGGTGCTGTTTGAAGCATCTTCAAAGATCTGATTCCTATAGAAAGAAAAGCGAGAAGTACAAAAGGTACCAATGTAGGTACCAGAGATACAGAATTTGTGCTGCTTGGCCAGTGTGTAACCCACTCTGCTTGCCTCTACCTGTGTTCAGTGGAGTGTTTTTTATTCTTATTGGGTTTCTTTTAAACACAAGACAAATTTTGGATTCCAGCTAATTTATGTCTCCAGTGGAAACAGGAATGTGATAAACAAGTCCAGTCACTGAAGATCATATCCTAAAACTATGTATACCCAATCTTTGTTGCCTTCTATGATGGGGCTACAGAACTGATGGACAGGGGTAGAGCAGTTGATGTCATCTACCTGGATTGTGTAAAGCATTCAACACTGTCCCACACGACATCCTTGTCTCTAAGTTGGGGAGACATCAATTTGATGGATGGACCACTGGGTGGATAAAGAACTGGCTGGATGGCCGCACACAAAGAGTTGTGGTCAATGGCTCAATGTCCGGCTGGAGACCAGTAACGAGTGGGGTCCCTCAGGGATCGGGGTTGGGACCGGTCTTGTTCAACATCTTTGTCATTGACATGGACAGTGGGATTGAGTGCGCCCTCAGCAAGTTTGCTGATGACACCGAGCTGTGTGGTTCGGTTGATACCCTGGAGGAAAGGAATGCCATCCAGAGGGACCTTGACACGCTTGTGAGCTGGGCTGATGCCAACCTCATGAAGTTTAACCATGCCAAGTGCAAGGTCCTACACCTGGGTCGGAGCAATCCCAGGCACAGCTACAGGTTGGGCAGAGAAGAGATTCAGAGCAGCCCAAGGAGAAGGACTTGGGGGTGTTGGTTGATGAGAAACTGAACATGAGCTGGCTTCAGTGTGCACTCACAGCCCAGAAAGCAACCGTATCCTGGGCTGCATCAGAAGGAGCGTGACCAGCAGGTCGAAGGAGGTGATCCTGCCCCTCTACTCTGCTCTTGTAAGACCTCACTTGGAGCACTGTGTGCAGTTCTGGTGTCCTCAACATAAAAAGGACATGGAGCTGTTGGAACAAGTCAAGAGGAGGCCTCGAGGATGATCAGGGGACTGGAGCACCTCCCATATGAAGACAGGCTGAGAAAGTTGGGGCTGTTCAGGCTGGAGAAGAGAAGGCTGCGTGGAGACCTCATAGCAGCCTTCCAGTATCTGAAGGGGACCTAAAAGGGTACTGGGAAGGGACTCTTCATTAGGGACTGTAGTGACAGGACAAAGGGTAACGGGTTCAAACTTAAGCAGGGGAAGTTTAGATTGGATATAAGGAGGAAATTCTTTCCTGTTAGGGTGGTGAGGCACTGGAATGGGTTGCCCAGGGAAGTTGTGACTGCTCCATCCCTGGCGGTGTTCAAGGCCAGGTTGGACAGAGCCTTGGGTGACATGGTTTAGTGTGAGGTGCCCCTGCCCTGTTGCCTAGCCTGCTCCCTAGCTTCCCAGACAACATCCCTGTATTCTTCCCAGGCCACCTGTCCTTGCTTCCACCTTTTATAAGCCTCTTTTTTTCCCCTCTAATTTTCCTCAGGAGCTCCTTATCCATCCAAGGGGGTCTCCTGGCCCTCCTGCTGCACTTCCTTCTGTTTGGGATGCAACACTGCTTAGCTTGTAGCAGGTGATCCTTGAATATCAACCAACAGTCTTGGGCCCCCCTGCCCTCTAGGGCTGTATCCCATGGAACCTTACTAAGCAGGATCCTGAAGAGGCCAAAGTCTGCTCTTTTGAAGTCCAGGGCAGTGAGCTTGCTGCAAGCTGTCCTCACTGTCCTGAGGATCTTGAACTCGACCATATCATGATCTCTACAAGCACGCCTGCCCTGGAGTGTCACATTTCCAACGAGCCCTTCCCTGTTGGTGAGCACGAGGTCAGGCATGACACCTCTCCTTGTTGGCTCCTCTATTACTTACAGAAGGAAGTTGTCCTCTACACAATCGAGGAACCTCCTGGATTGCTTGTGCTGGGTCATACCATCCCTCCAACAGATATCAGGGTGGTTGAAGTCCCCCATGAGGACAAGGGCCTGCGACCCATGAGGTTGTTCCTATCTGTCTATGGAGTGCTTTGATTTGAGCATGAAGTCTGTGCTAGGAATGTGTGACAGCTGAGCTGCCTACAAACTTTATCTAGTGGTGACAGCAAAATTATTATCCTTGGGCACAGAAAACTTTTATTATGGTGTGTACAGTGCTGTTTATCTTTGGCATCTTGAGATTCTTCTGCTGTCTGTAGCTGTTTCCTAAGCTGTGGCTAGAGGATGAGATGGAGGAGGTAGATGGAATGACATTATGCTGGGATGATATGTCAGTTTTTTTCTCCTACCTGACAGCAGCAGAACCATCCTGCTTAACTGTAGCAGCATATTGCACTTGATAACCTGATATTTTTGTGTTGAATACATCAAAATTCCTGAGGATGAACAGAATTACAGGATCAGTTGCTCTCAGCATCAGCACAGCCTTGTAGTTGTGACAAGTTGTTTTGCTTCCCTTCGTTTTTAATAAAGAGATAGTAAAAAAAACCTCAAACACCAGTATTTTTCAGGATTTAGTTTCTGTTTTCATTATTTTTTTGTATTTATTGCTATATATGCTCCCTTTCTATTACTAAAAGCCCGGGTACATGTCGTGCATCCCTTTACTTGAGGTTCTGTAGCAGCATGAAGCATTAAAGTGACTGTTACTTGAACTGTATACAGTACACATGAAGTTAAAAAAGCCTGAATTATTTAGTTTTAGTGCCCAGATTCACTGTGTCGATCTTATGTAATTAAGTCCTACATTGCTTGAAACAATCAGCAGAATTTCAGCCCCCCCCCCCCCAACAGCAACCAGTTCTTGAAGACTTGAAGATAATGATGAAGTCCATTGAGAAGTGGAAATAAACGTCTGGTTTATTGACTTGATCACTTATAAGCATTTCACTCCTGTAGATCCTGGTCACCAATTTCAGTATTTTGTAAGTTTCTGCTGAAAACATTAATTTAAGGGAAAAATGCACTCAGGAAAAGTTAGTCTCTGTTCTTGCAGTGCACTTCCTGTACACTCCAACTCCTCATATGCTTTGCCAGTTATCCTGTGTGCAAGGAGATGGATCTTTTAAACAGCAAAGAAAGGCTGAACAAAGCTGCCTAGCTCCAGTCAGGTGAAATGTAATCCCTTTGCAGAGGCTCTGACCTGCAGTAAGGCTCTGACCTGCAGTAAGTAAGATTCTTTGCCTTGTTTCGTAGCACATATTTGACTTGGAAGAGGAAAATACTTTCCTGAAGCAGGAAAAAGAGGAGCTTAACAGCAGGATCCTGTGTCAATCTGAAGGTAAGAAAAAAAACTCTTATAGCATTATAATGCCTCTACTAAATGAGGAGCTCCATTGTTCTCCCCATAACTTGTTTTTTTTCCTGTGTGCTTTTCTACCTTAAAAAGTGCTAATCTTCCCACAGCCTTTTCCTGGTGGTTTTTGTCGTTGTTTTGTTGTGCAGGTAGTTCAGTTTGTGCTGTCCTACTGGTGGGTGGTAAAACACAGGCTGGTTTAATTGGCGAAATATGGAATAAAGTACCTAAAAAGGCTTTTTAGTTTGGTTATGTTGCAGCGTTTACTGTGGGTAATGTGGGAGGCAGCAAGGCTGCTGGGGTGGAGGGCAGAGCATAACAGCATCCAAGATTGATGAAAAAAGGATCCACAGAACAGCACAGTTAACGAGATTGAGCTGTGACAAAGGGTTTCTCTAATGTGATGGGAGTCTGTGAGTGTTTTTAAAGCAGAGACCTACATGGTACTTAGAGGAAAGCAGTCTGGGAAAGTCGCAAGCCACAAAAGAAACTCTCATGCTTGTATTGAGATTTTTTTACTTTTTATCACAATTTTCAGCTTTGATTTTATTGTAGAATTTACAAAGAGCATCATGCATCATTCTGTGGCTGTATCTATCATTGCCTCACAGTACTTACGAAGTATCTTCTGCTTTCAGCCTGATGCAAAATAAAGGAATGAATGTGTTAAAAAGAAACTTGCTGCAAGTATTTCTTCACCTCTTAAAGGATGTTTTCAGAGCATCAAATCTTGGGGAAAGCTGGTGAAGGGAGTTTGGTGTTCACTCATCTTAAAAGGATATATCAAGTGTATTTGCCTGGTCTCTCAGAAAGAGGGACCAGATTTGTTTCCAAAAAGGCGGTCTTGGCAAATAAATAAATTTATTTAGATCTAAAATACTTTCAGCCACCAGAGTCTTAGCATGGTAAATGGTTGATGATGACAAGAGAAAGAGATGCTGCTGTTGATGTGGTGGTGGGAAGCAGGCAAATAAGTCTTTAAGTACAGCAAGTACCACTTCTTAAACATGACTGAATTCCGTACTGAGCTGGTCTTTAACCGAGTGGGTTTATGGCTGGCCCATGGGAACTGAAGCTGGAACGGTTCAGTGTAATTAGATCTGATGGTTTATAGGTGCTGGAGAGTTTTCTTGAACGCAAATGGTAGAGGACTCTGCTCTCTGAGCAGAAGACTTCAAGCTGTTTGTCCTGGGTTTAGCAGTAGCAGTCATTTTTAGTCCTTCTTAGTATCTGGTGCAGTGCTGTGTTTTTGACTTTTGGCCTGGGAACAGTGCTGATAACACCAATGTTTTTAGTTACTGCTCAAATGTTTGGATTGACCAAGGACTTTGTGAGCCTCATGCTCTGCCAGGGAGGAAGCAGAGACAGGACACCTGACCCAGACTAACCAAAGAAGTATTCCATACTACAACACGTCATGCCCAGGATGTAACTGAGAGTTAACTGGAAGGGATAGGGACTGAGGGGTTGGACTAGGCATCAGTCGGTGCTTGGTCGGGCAGGGTGGGGTGAGTTATCAGTAGGCGGGTGGTGAAGTGCTGCATTCTCTTCCCTTGTTATTTCCTTTAGCAGCCTTCCAGTATCTGAAGGGGGGCTATACAGATGCTGGGGATGGACTCTTCATTAGGGACTGTAGTGACAGGACAAGGGGTAACGGGTTAAAACTGAAACAGGGGAAGTTTAGATTGGATCTAAGGAGGAAATTCTTTCCTGTGAGGGTGGTGAGGAACTGGAATGGGTTGCTCAGGGAGGTTGTGAATGCTCCATCCCCAGCAGTATTCAAGGCCAGGTTGGGCGAAGCCTTGGGTGACATGGTTTAGTGTGAGGTGTCCTTGCCCATGGCAGTGGGGTTGGAACTGTATGATCTTAAGGTCCTTTCCAACCCTAACTATCCTACGATTCTATAATTCTATGATTATTATTGGTGGTAGCAGCAGTGATTTGTGTTATACCTTAGTTAATAAACTGTTCTTATCTCAAACCATGGGAGTTACATTCTTTTGATTCTCCTCCCCATAACTCTGGGAGCAGGGGTAGGGCAAGAAGTGAGGGGAGTGAGAGAGCAACTGCATGATTTATGGCTGACTGGGTTTAAACCATGACACTGTTCCAAATAGCAAGGAGACAGATATAGATATTGCAACAGTCTCTAAATATTAGAGAATCCCAGACTGGTTTGGGTTGAAGGAACCTTAAATATCGTCCAGTCGCAGCCCCCTGCCACACGCAGGGACACCTTCCACTAGAGCAGGTTCCTCCAAGCCCCTGTGTCCAACCTGGTGTTGAACGCTGCCAGGGACGGGGCAGCCACAGCTTCTCTGGGCACTCTGTGCCAGTGCCTCAGCACCCTCACAGGGAAGAATCCTTGTATTCTAAAGGCTCTTGGCAGAGAGTATTTTGTTAATTAGTCATTGTTTCTGCACATATTTACAAGAAGTTCATTTTGGAGATGAAGATCACAATTAGTTTGTTTTTTTTTCTTCTTATTGTAAAGATGAATTTGCACGAATCGCAGTTGAGGAAAATATCCAGATGAAGAAAGAGCTGGAAGAAGAGAGAGCTCGTTATCAGAACCTGGTAAAAGAGTATTCAAGGCTGGAGCAGAGATATGACAATTTGCGGGATGAAATTACTATTATGAAGGTAACAAAACTGAAATTATCCTTATTCTGTTATGTCCTGGTCCCGATATTGGTGGGTGGACAATGTGACTCACTAGAACTTACTACTAGACCTGACATTATTGTGCAGTTTGTGTTTGATATTTCTAAGACTGAACTTCTACACTGAAGCCAAACCATATGTGTGCCTTCAAGAAGGAGTCTAGTCATTCACACTTCTCTCTTAATTGGTTAGAGATCTCTGTGAATCTCAAAAGCTGGTTCATGCTTCTTGTTTTGCTTTTTGTTTCAGTGATGTTCATGTGTAGGTGTTGGGTTAAAAACAAAACAAAAAACCCAACAACATGGCTTCAGGATTTCAAAAGCTAACATTTTTTGATTCAGTTTTGCTGAACTGTTGAGAAAGTGTTGAAAATTAGATAACAGTGCTGCTGGATTAGGTGGATGGTTGAGTATTTAAAGAAAGCCCTGGAGCTTGCTGTGAACAGCATAATCTTGAGCTAAGATTTGCGTGTTCACACTTACTGGGCAGTTGGTGTCATGAAGAGCCTTTAATACAAGAAGGGTTTTGAAACTGAGCTTTGGTATCACTTCATATTTTGAAGTATTCCCTTGTGTAGACATGAATATTATGGTAGGGCATAGGAACTAGAAAATGGAATTTGCTATAAGGTGGCAGTCAAGCCTTTTCTAAGGGTAACCTTAATATATAGACAAATGTTTGCTCTAAGAAACAATGCTTCATGAAGAATCTGTCTTTAAACCCTCAAGGCTTTACGTATCTGCATTGATCCTTGCCAGCAGGCACCTGGGCACAGAAGAAACCCATCCAACCAGAGCAGTTTGGAGTCCGATTCCAATTACCCATCCATCTCAGCCTCTGAGATAGGAGACACCGAAGACATAATGCCACAGGTGGAGGTACAGTAAATTGGGCAGGCTCAGGGGTAGGAGGAGAGCCTTGATTGACATGGATCTTGGAGCACATGGGAGGAATGCAGGTTGGACTGTAAGGTGTGATGGATGAAATTGATTTTTGTGTTACAGAATTGCATCGTTAATTGTGTGAGAGGGATTGTAGGGTTGCAGTGCAATGGCAAATGCTTAATTGTTTGTAACATCAGGCTTAAATGGGGCTCTAAAATGATAGTGTTGCCTTTTGGGAATACCAGCTTAAAGACTGATGAAAATTCATCAGCGTGGTCAGCATTGCTACATGGAATTATTCCTAGCACTGAAGGCAATGGCTGTATAGTGATCCTTCTCTGCAAGGATGCTGGAACTGATTATCCCCTTGCTCTGAGTGTTTTCATTCCAATGCATCTTCACGGGTGTTTGCTGGCCAGCACAGTCCCTTTAATCAACAGTCTCTTAATGCAGAAAAAAGCAGCATAAATTATTCTCTAGCTATTAAGAATCATATGGGAAAGGGAAGTGTGTATTTTGCTTACATTTCTGGGAATAGGCTGCTTTTTAAACTCCATTTTCATGACAGAAAAGCATGTATGGATGATGAATGTTCCTAGAATCAGCCACCTCACTGGCTGGACCCTATTTTGTGTCTATATATACCGGGCCTGCAGAACCCTCCACTTCCCTTTGCTGCCTGCTGTGTTACGTTGCTTTAGTATTTCTGAACTGGTCTGAAAGCATTTGCTGAAGTCAAAGTAATCAGTGTTGAACATGCTCTAATATAAAGTATTCCAGGTGAAGCCAACTGAAAAACAATTAATGAATACTTGGCTAGAAGGGACACAGCAGGGTGTTTTCAATGTTCTTAGCTGTGGCCCTAATCAACCCATTGATCTATTTGGCTGCTAAACATTCAGTGATTTATTAAACACGTTGACTGTTTATTGACATTAAAATAGGTGTTCAAAATGGAGGTTTGGTCTTTGAAAGTACACCCATTTCTTGGGGTGCTCCTGTTGTTGTCTGCGGCTGGAGTTGGTGCTGATGTACAGTCAGGGTGTATCTGGACTGTGTGTGGTTATACAGCTTGACTGAGGTCTCTTCTTTTTCTTCTGCTCTCTTGTTGCTCTCCAGGAGGTTGGGATGGAGGAAGCAGCCATGGACATGACCCTCTTCCTGAAGCTACAGAAGCGAGTGAGGGAGCTCGAGCAGGAGAGGAAGAAGCTCCAAACCCAGCTGAAGAAAAAGGAGGAAGAGAGCAAGAAACCCCAGGTAAGAGATAAGTTTTCATTGGTACTAGTATTTCATGTTGGTATCTGGCTTTCCTTGACTGCCTGAGGAAGCACAATGCAGGGTTTGGGGTTTGAGCATGGCAATAATTCCGCAGGCAACCCTTGCACTTGGCAAATGGTAAGTGATACTGAACAGGGAGTGGAGAGAAGACACCATGCATGACAAGGCCTGTAATCTCTGCAGGTGCTGGAACGTGAAGATGCCATGTACTGACAAACCAACTTGCAGCTGATAAACAAGGGTTGGTAAAGTGAGAGAATTTTACATCAAAATATGTGTGATTAGAGCCTCCCAAGCTCCATACTATTTAGTTGAAAAGTTGAAACTTGTATTACTGTGAAAGAGCCTGAACAGATACAAGAGACTCTTAAAGGGTCATGGGACCTGAAAAACAACACTACTTTATGAGCAGTCCAGAGGAGATGCTGCGAGGGCTGGAGCAGCTCTGCTCTGGACCAGCCAGGCTGAGAGAGCTGGGCTGGGGCAGCCTGGAGAAGAGAAGGCTCCTGAAGGGGAGACCTGAGAGCAGCTCCAGTGCCTGAAGGGGCTGCAGGAAAGCTGGAGAGGGGCTTGGGACAAGGGATGTAGGGACAGGCCAAGGGCAATGGCTTTAACCTGCCCGAGGGGAGACTGAGATGAGCTCTTAGGCAGAAGCTCTTTGCTGTGAGGGTGCTGAGGCGCTGGCACAGGGTGCCCAGAGAAGCTGTGGCTGCCCCATCCCTGGCAGTGTTCAAGGCCAGGTTGGACACAGGGGCTTGGAGCAAGCTGCTCTAGTGGAAGGTGTCCCTGCCCATGGCAGGGGGTTGAAACTGGATGAGCTTTAAGGTCCGTTCAATTCAAACCATTGCATGACTTGATGATTAGTTAGTATGTGGTTTCACGAGTCAGCACAATATGGTAAGGGTTTCCTTTTGATGAACTACCCTCATTATAATCTAATTTCAATACTAAAAACTCACGCCCGCAAATCAAAAGACCCTTGCTCAAGAAGACCCTTCCCTAAGCATGTGTAGTAAAGCAGTAAGTTAAGTAACTTTATGCAAATTACTTGATCATTGGTAGAAGGTGGGATGGTTAGTGGGAGCTACTGATCTGAATTAAATTATATGAATATGTAGAATAGGGGTGGAATTAAGGAAGACTTTATCGTAACTACTGGGCTCAGTTGTCAGGCTTAACCTGTCCTCTCCTCCCCCATAGGGACACCTATTGGGTAAGAGCTGTACTCTGTGCATTTAATGATTGCTTTTTAGCTGGCTTAGTATGTTATTTTCACAATTGTGTATTATATTGTCAGCGTCAATCTTCAAACCTTAAGTGTCACAAAATCATATAGTAAAAAATCTCAGCTGAAATGTATTTTGTGTGAGTACACACATCTCCAGCAGCCCTTGCTTTCAGTCCATTTGAGTTATTCAAGCATTTCTTTGCAGTCCTGGCTTCCACTCTACCCAGCAGTGTGGTGTGAGCGGATAAGCACTTTGTAGACATGTCAGTCAGTGTTCTGTCCTCAGTTTGGTATTGTTATGATCTGTGTGGTTTGGTGTTTTGGGGGGGTTTCTTTTCCTCCAGTAATTATCATCTAAGAATGTAGCTGAAAAAAATGGTGTAGTAAATCAGAAATAGCAAGACAGATGTTAGGAGAATGGGTTCTCCTTTTGCAGGGCAGGGATATTCCTTTGATATATAATCTTTCTTCCTTGTGGGGGGAAAAAAAAACCCAAACCCACTGACTGTGTTGGAAGGGACCTTAAAGCTCATCCAGTTCCACCCACCTGCCACAGGCAGTGACACCTTCTAGCAGATCAGATTGCTCCAAGCCCTGTCCAACCTGGTCTTCTTCCTAAGGATTCCTACAGTTTGGGTCATTTGCTTGGAAGCAGTTTAAAACCCAAATACTGATAAAAATCAAGATTCCTAACAGTCTAATGGTAACTTAAGAGGCAGGAGCCCATGCAGGCTTGCAACTGGAGCCTGAAAACACAGCTTTCTAGTCTCAGTGAGCTGATGTTTGGCATAGGAGACTTTTAATAGCAGATCTCTTGTATAGATTTAACCCTGACAACTGTAACTGAGACTTTGTGGCTTGATCAGACACCAGAGTATGGGTTATTATGCATGTGGTGAAACAGCAGCGCTGTGTGCATGGTGTCTTAAAGCAGTAAAGATGCTCTTACATGAAATGCTGAGCAAATGCCATGACTCTTTGGTTTCATATTTGTAATTTCTGGGGCTTCTGTTGTTTTGTTTGGGAATTATTTTGTTACCCTCTGGTGTGAGATCTATGGATCTTTTGACAAAAGCAATAAGAGACCAAATAAAATCATCAGCAGTAACTACTTGCTTCAGCAGATATTCTTACTGATCACCTCTGGCAGTTTGCAGGAATCATGAAAGAGGAGACTGCCCCAGCACCTCTCCTTAGTACAGAGGCAGATTAAAAACCTGTTCTCCAGCTGCTATGTTGAAGATCATTCCCCTAATGACTGTCATTGTTTGGAAGCTGCAGTGAGCCACAGTTGTCAAGATGTTAATGAGAGATTAATCCATTTGCTCTTGAAGTGGCTCCTGCCCCACTACCTGTTGCTGGGACTCGGTGAAATGGCAATTAATAACATTATTATGGTTGAGCTGGCCGGCAGCTCTGCAGCAGCTGTTGATGGAGACTTGCCTAGCCATCCTGTGATGCAAGCCAGTACCTCTGGCTGCTTTTAGATATAAACTTATCTCTTTAATCCATGCAGGTGACAGAAGTGAAGACTGAAGTGACTTCAGAGCACGAGGATTTTGCATACAACAGTCTGAAGGTGAGTGAGAAGCTCCTGCTCAGTGTTGCAACCTGTTGGATGGCTCCAACAGCCCTAAACAAATTGTCTGAATGTGTTAATAACCTGGCTCTGGCTCTTTGACATGTAGTTGGAAAACTGCAGTTCTCCATCAGCTCCTGGGCCTGGTGTGGGCTCACAGACATTTCTCTGCAGCAACATCTGCTCGTCTGCTTGTTTCTGAGTCATCCATGGCAGTAACAAGCCCATTTATGCCAAAAGGTGCTTCTTCCACTGCACTTATTCCCACTGGGACTGTCTTTTGTTTCCTTTGATGTGACACTGCAGTAGGTGTGAATTAGTTAGTGCTTGGGTACCCCTTTCACACCTCCATAATGCTGTACTTGTTCGGACAAGTGTGAGTTCATGTTCTGGATGTTCTGGCTGTATAATTTGGTAAATAAATAGGTGTACTGGACTGTGCTGAAGAAATGGCACAAGTAAAAATCTCTCTTTCCCCATTCAAAGCTTTTTATTCTGGCTTCTATCCTGCCATCACTGATGCTGATGCAAAAAGGGTGTATGGGCAGGAGACAGTGGTTGTCTTGCCCATGTCTATATATATATATATATATTTTACTATTGCTCCACAAAATCCAGTGAGAAAGGAGTAGGGAATGAATTTAAATGTAACCTCTGAATAGAGCCCAGGACATGAGCTCTTGGAGCAGGGTTGTTGATAACTGCTTTCTTTCCTCATCTTCCTGGCTTCACTTCTAACCAGAGCACAGCTTGATATGACCAGTCCATGGAGCTAGCAGTGTGGCTGACCCATTTTGGAATAAAAAAAAAAGAGACAGAAGAACAGAAAAAGAAGGAGGAGGAGGGGAAAGAAAAAGCAGGGGGTTTACCCAGCAAATAACAAAAATCACAGAAGCTGTTTGTGTAGAAAAGCATGCAATTGCTTTCATCTTACCTTTAACCTGCCTCTGAGCTTGATCAGAAAAGAGTGGAAAGCAAGCTGATGCTTTAACCACATAGCAAGAAGAGTTAAACCCAGTGTGGTATCAATTTCCCACAGTGCACACACTTTCCACTCTCTTGTTTTAAAACAGTTACAGAAAAGCCATTGTCTCACACACTCCCTCTGCTGAGCTGTGATTAATGTGGCTGTGGAGGAATTTCTGGATCTAATGCATTTCTTGCTCTTTTTCTTTCTGTGTGTTTTCTTTTTTTAATGACAGATGGCATAAAAGTACCTAAATATGCTCTGTTACTGATTATGTTGGTTCAGCTAGGAGTATGCCGGCTGTCCAGATGCCAAATCAGCTATTCTGTTCACACCTCTGCTGTGATAAGGCATGCTATTTATAATTTGTAAGGATTTATAATTGTAACACCCGTTTCCTATGGAAACGAGGTTTACACAGCTGTGCTAGCTACACGTTGTATGAATTGTATGAATTGGTCGCATCCCCCTATCCCCAGCCATTTTTTGAGTCGTTAGCTCACCTCAGCCAAAGCAGATAATGAAGCAGATATCCCACAGGTAAAGAGGGGTTGTGTGAGAAAGGTGTGGAAAGGGTCAAACAGCCTCAGGAGAGAGAAGCGCTTGGATCTAAGTGGTGAAGGAGCTTGTGCTGTTGTAGACATAAGAAAATGCACATGGATGAAAGTCTGTCCCTAGGAAGCAGCTGATCCCAAATCAGTCAGACACCAGGCTTTGTCTTTAGATGTCTTAGGGTTTGCTGTGTTGTAGCTGGATATGGATTCCATTGGGTTTAGGTGAGGTGTAAGAGGTCTGGGTGCATGAGGGAGCAATCCTGAGTGCCACACTGCAGCAGCTGGTGATGGAGGATCTGGTGCAAAGAGAAGGTGGGTTGTTGGGATTTGGGCTGTGAGCAGGACCCCAGGAGTCTGTCTCCCTCCCTGTCTATGACTCATAGCAAGAACTCCCCATCCACAGGAGCAGAGCTGCTCTTGACCCAGCTGGGATGCTCCAGATAGGTTTTGGATGCTGGCTAAGAGCTGCCAGAGGTGTTGTTATCACCTGCAAACAAAGCCTCATGGTGAGATACTGAAATAAAGTCTGTCTTAGCTGCTGGAGTTTTATTCTTCTTTCTTTTACTGTCATGCAAAAGCAAATAAGTCCTTCAATTGTCTCTGGAAACACGGTGAAGCTCGTTCATCATTATTCAGGAGAAGCTGTTGGTGTCAAACTTGTACAGCATTGCCCCTGCCTGTCAAGTGCCAGCAACTGACAAGATGTCAGAGTGAGAAATCCTCCAACTGCAAACATTGCACTGGGACAGGGGAATTACAAAGTGTGTGAGAAAAGAAGCTGTAGTGGGAATTCATGCAGCCCTAGCTCAGCTAACGGGATGTCTGTCATGATGAAGGGTCATGTAAATTGACATCTTCCAGCTTACCTAATGAATACGAAAGATGAACTAAACGTTGTGGAGCTGGTCGTGATTCCTAGATTGAGAAGGAAAAAGGAGTGGAGGAGAAACAAACATGTTTGGCTTCTCTAATGGCTTGCTTTAGTGTTTAAAACCAAAGTCAACAAATAAAAAAAAATCACCTGTGTCACCCTGTAGTGCTCTTATTAAATAGCAACAGGCTGCTGGTTACAGCAAAAATCTTTTCTGAACCACACATGGCTGGTCAGGCAGCAAAAAACAGATCCTGGCATGAACTGATCTTTCAGTGATCATTGGTAACGGAGTTATCTCAGAAAAGGAGGAGGCAATGCAAGACAGTTTATCTAAACTGGTTAATGGCTTGGTATTTTCCAGAGGCAAGAGCTGGAGTCGGAGAACAAGAAGTTGAAGAATGAGCTTAATGAGCTGAGGAAAGCTATCGCAGACAAAGCAACCCAGAACAACTCATCCAACGATATTCAGGACAGTTATAACCTGTTACTGAACCAGCTGAAATTGGCCAATGAGGAGTTGGAAGTGAGGAAAGAAGAGGTACTCATCCTGAGGACACAAATTATGAAGGCAGCCCAGCAAAAGGAGATAGGGAAAAACGTGGTAATGGATTTTCTTTTCCTTTTCCGATTCTGTTGCTGGAAATTCTCTTACTGCCTGTGCAATGCAGTTTCTGCTTTGGTAGGCTCCGGGTGGCAGGATGGAGCTGGGAGATTGTAGCAGGTTCTGCAGGGTTATAGGATGTTCTGCCTGTGGATAAGATACAGTCCATGACATCAGGCAGCTCAGGATGATATGTCCCATGGTGGTCTGTACTGTTTGTTGTAAGGTGCTTGACCCCATACTTGATGAGGTCTGGCCAGACCACACAAAGGAAGAGTTTCTCCAACCCCGCACCAGGGTGTGATGGTCTGAAATGCTCCTAGTGACGTTTTGTGACAACTGGCTTATTCTGCAAGGAAATGGGATGGGGAAAAAGAGCTTCTGGACCAGATTCTGCTCATTGGATGTGGTGCAGCTGTAATGTTTCAGCTATTTCTGCTGGTGCGTAGGAAAGAAGGGAGCCTGTCCCATCACAGTCATTTGACAGCTTTTTGTTTAGAGCCTGTTCCAATGAAGAGATCATTTTCTGAACATCCTCTACTTCAGCTTTTTAATTCACTGCCTTATTATTCCTTGAGGTTTTGCTATGTTTTGTATTTCAGTCCATGCCACCTCTCTTATCTCCCTCCCAGGTTCACTGTATCCTCCTTCCATCTCGTGATCTTTGCTACTGTCTGTTTGCCTGCATGTGAATTCATAGAAACTTTCTAGTCTGATGGAGTCCACAGAGAAGTTTCAGTATTGGTAACTTTGAAACACAGGAAGAGACGTGCAGGATGTCATGATGCTCTGTTTTGCTGTTGAATTTAGGAGAGCATCGCCAGTGACACCAGATGGCCGAACAGTGACAAGCACATTGATCAGGAGGACGCGATTGAAGCCTACCAGGGGATGTGCAAGACAAACCAGTAAGTGTGGACCACTTTGCAGCAGCAGGAGGGGCTGACAGAAGGAGCAAAGTATGAGAGGTGGGATCCAGACCAAAATCAACAACGTGTTTTAGAGTTACCGGTTTTTGGATTGTATTCTGCACCGTGAGTCAAGGATGGGTCATAAAGGACCAGACACACACATACTGTAATGGGTGAGGAGCCCAGCTTGGTGAGGCGGTGTATCCCCAAAGGAAGGGAGATACTGGTCAGGCAGAAAAGACAGCATAGAAGTGAGCAGAACAGGGTTTTGAGTTTGCTTCCACTACATAAATAGCAGAAGACTAGGATTTGGAATATACTTAAGAATTACTTCATAGATTCACAGATTTGCAGACTGGTTTGAATTAGAAGGGATCTGAAAACTCATCCAGCTCCAACCCCCTGCCATGGGCAGGGACCCCTTCCACTAGAGCAGCGTGCTCCAAGCCCCTGTGTCCAACCTGGCCTTGAACACTGCCAGGGATGGGGCAGCCACAGCTTCTCTGGGCACCCTGTGCCAGTGCCTCAGCACCCTCACAGCAAAGAGCTTCTGCCTAAGAGCTCATCTCAGTCTCCCCTCGGGCAGGTTAAAGCCATTGCCCTTGGCCTGTCCCTACATCCCTTGTCCCAAGCCCCTCTCCAGCTTTCCTGCAGCCCCTTCAGGCACTGGAGCTGCTCTCAGGTCTCCCCTTCAGGAGCCTTCTCTTCCCCAGGCTGCCCCAGCCCAGCTCTCTCAGCCTGGCTCCAGAGCAGAGCTGCTCCAGCCCTCACAGCATCCCCATGGCCTCCTCTGGCCTCGCTCCAACAGCTCCACGTCCCTCTTGTGCTGCTGCCCCAGAGCTGGATCAGGACTGCAGGGGGGTCTCCCCAGAGTGCAGCAGAGGGGCATCCCTGGCAGTGTTCAAGGCCAGGTTGGACACAGGGGCTTGGAGCAAGCTGCTCCAGTGGAAGGGGTCCCTGCCCGTGGCAGGGGTTGGAACTGGATGAGCTTTTAAGCTCCCTTGTAACCAAACCATTCCATGAGTCTATGATTCTATATAGCTGTGCAGTCAACTTTGGCATAGTGTCTGTGCTGTATGTCCCTCAAAGTTTCTGTCATAGTATGGGCTGGATTTTCTGAATATGCATCTACTTTGCTGCTTGCGAAAGCCATGGGAGAACCTGTGGAAATCTAGTGTGTGAGTACAGAGATGGGCTTGCTGGAAGGATTGGGTTCCACTCACGTTGTGTTTAAACATACGTGGAAAACCTGATGGCTTGAATTGAGGCTCTGCCCACACTAGTTCTGCCACCTTTCTCTTTGGGCTGGAGACCTGGAGGAGTTGGGATTGTTGGGGTCTAGGACTCCTGTGACAAGGATTTCTCACCTGGACATTATGTCTGGCTGGATCAGGATCAGGGTTTGGATTTTTTTCCAGTTTGTTGCCATTGCATATTTATTTTCCTGAAGTAAACTTCCTGATGAAATTTCTGCACCTCTTGCAGCAAAAGTGATGAGATTGATTTAAACATCACCGTTTTGTCAGTAAATCACTGGGGCTTGGTGTGCTTCTACTGTGAGGTATGTTTTTTGGTCACTTTTCCTTCAAAATTTATCCTGGAGGTGTAGGCACTGATATGGGATGTGAAATCCCATTATCAAGCACAGCCTTCATTATTCCCTAAACTGCATTTTCCAGTATGACATGTGTAGGGATGGTTAGTCTGTGCCCAGGCTTTGGTGAAGGAGTTTGAGTCAAAGTAAGAGTTGATGCTTTTGTAGAGCATGTGCCTGACCAGGTTGTATCGTTGTTCCCCAGCATTCATTGATATAGTATGTGTTGTCTGATTTCACTCAGCCTGCCAAGAGACTTCAGTCCTTGAAACTAGATGGTTGTTAAGGTCCCTTCCAACACAAACCATTATATGGTTCTATGATTCTTTGGCTGCTCTGGTTTCGAGACTTAAAAACTTCTGCAGGGAGGATTGAATCAAGCATGTAAATCATCAGAAATGCTGCAATGATCTAATTTACCACAGGAATACAAATCTCTTTCCTTGCAATGGGACAGGTGAGCTGCAATTTAAGAAGTTTGTGTGATCAGGTCTTGGTGGTTTTTTGGCCTCTTAAAATCTGGTAAGGGAAATCTGCTACCTCCAGGCTCAGTTTCTTATTATTCCTCTTGTTTACCTCTCATATGAAGGTTGGCTGGAGCTAGGCTCATATAATTCAGTAGCAGCAGCTCTATGTATATCACCCTGATTTCTGTAGTGATTTATCCAGTGGCTGATTAATCACAGCCAGCTTCCCAGTTATATGGTTCCCTGTGCATTTGTTTGTATATTGAGCTGATTTTTAAACTGTAGGCTGGAGTCAATGGCAATAAAATAGATGAAAACAAAAGCTCAGGGAGCATGGATTATTGTATTCATGGATATAAATTATATCTCTTCCACCCAGCACTAATTCACATTCATACTCTAGAGTCAAGTGTGGCAGCATGAGAAATAAAACTGTTTTCTCTTTCTAATCTTGATTCATAGATTGAGATTATGATGGACAGTTTAATGGACAGCTTTCCTGGTGGGATTGCAATTCTCAAGTGGGACTAATAAGCAAGAAGCATTTCTATTTCTCTTTACCCTGGTCCCTCTCAATCTGAGGGCAGTTTCTAACTGCGGTGGATTCTCTTCCACCAGTCCAGTCTGACTGATGTGGTAAAGCCATGGTCCGCCTAACTTGCGATGGTCACTCCTAGCTTGAAGTCACATTTTAGCTATATAGGCTGTGGATGGAGCATGGCTTTACCTTGGTGGGAGATAGACCTTTTATTCACTCTATGTCTATATAATGCAGGAGTTTTAAATACAGCAGGAGGAAAACAGGAAAAACTGCCAGGTGCTGCTAACCCTGCCCATGCAGCAGTTCTTTCTCCAGCCTGCTCTCAGGGTAAAGCCCTTTGATGCCAGGTCAAGGGGAAGTTTGAGTTAAAAAACAGCCCCTTAATAAATGCAGTGAGCTCAGCTTTTTATTTTTTTTTTTAAATTTTTATTTCCCCCCCCCTCCTTTTTTTTTTCCTGACTTTCAACTGCAAAAAAGCATCAAGTTAGTTGCCAGCTAATTTTCTGCTTCAATAACAAAAGTAAAGCTAAGTTGTTTCCTGTTTCAGTTCTCGGGATCTTTCTTTCAAGCCTGTTTTGATCTTGGTGGAAAGTTAGAGCCAACAAAAGATGAGGTGATGATGTTAGAGATAATAACCTGGCAGCTCAAAGCGGATCGGGCTTAGTCTTTGAAATTAACTTCTGTGATAACTTCCAAGTGATTTCTGTAGAATACATGGCTCTTTATTTTCTTCTGGGTAACTCCCACCTGCAGCTGCAGTGCTAAGTCAAGGGCTTCATGTGGAGGATGCTTTTGCAGCTGGAAGAGGCCATCCCATGGGAAAGGGTTCATATCTCTGCTTACCACTCTCCAATGTGCTGCTTTTTATCACTGCTTCTCATTCTGTCCTGTATCTAATCTGTGATGTGCATTAGTTTTCCACTTAATTAAAAAAAAAAACAACAACCACATCTGTGTTTGAACATCAAATATGCTTTCTTCTTTGTTGAGAGATGATAATGATCTGAAGATGATAAAAGTAACATCTCTGGGGTTGGGTGTATGTGCACCTCCTTTAAGTCACTTGCACAAGGCTACATGGAGGAGGAGAGGGAGGCAGCAGGCAGGAATTTGTCTCCTTTCATGTCTCCTTTCATGAAGGCAGTTTGCAAACTGCAAGGTCACCAGCTGCACTCTCAGGCCCAAACCTCCAAGACAGGGAAATAAAGGAGAAATGAGTATTTGTAAACCATGTCATTTCAGCTCCTTTCGGCCATATTTCTGAGAAGGATGGATTTACCCAGCATTTTACAAAATTATTTTAGCATATACCAATTACTCTAATTAGCTTGAAAGGACTCGTGTTGACTTTTAATGTATTGGTCAGTATGACCTTCTGGGTAAGGGGATCTCGGTGATTTCTGAATCCATGCTGGCTGATGGACATGGACTGAATGCTGATTTCTCAGGGCAGTTTTATCTTGGTATAATGGCACCCTGTTGAGCTGCTTTCCTCATTTACCTCAACACGGATGATTAAAAGAAGCAGGAGAGCTGTTCCAAGAAGATGCATGTCTTAAAAACGCTGCTCGTTTTGTGAGATTTTCCATATTACTGACATAAATAAATAGTGAGGATCCTTCCTGGGCTTTTTCTTGAGTTTCAGTGCCAAAGCACATGTTCTGTTAAGATTACCTGAACCCCCCAAAAACGCCTTACTAACAAATAAGTCCAAATCAGACCAATAAACCTCCCTGTATCAGTCAGCCAATGTACTCTTTTGGAAACTTGCTACGCATGAGGTGAGAAGAAGACTTCAATTTAAATTCATGATGAATTTTCCAGATGTTAATGCCTGAAATATTTGCTAGTTTTGAGAAATGCTGTGCTCATACACTAAAATAGATGTACAAGCTGTCTGCAGTGGTGAGACACCTCTTGAATCCTTTCATGGTGGTGCTCCAGCATCATATTTCTCACTGCTTTCCTTGTGTGAAAATTTGCTGTGGAAAGTTTTGTGTTGTTCTTTTGCACTTAAATATGCAGAGCTTTGTTTGCTGGGGAATGGCATCTGCTGCACCTCTTTTCAAAACAGGAGATGCATGTTGACTTAGTTCTTTTATTCTTGGTCTGAAAGTTTAATGATATATTAAATGATTTTTTGTTGTTGTTGTTATTTATTTTTTTTATTATTTCCAGAAAGAAAAACTGTTTCTAAACTGACATCAAAACTAAGTAAAATCTGGCTGTAGCAAATGTTCCTGGTCAGGTTGACCAGCTTATATCACTCTTTGTCATGTGTTCAACACCTCATTAAAAAAGACGAATGAGTTTCCTGCCTTTTAGACCTTAAAAAAAACACAAAACACGAAAAAAATCAACAAAAACTCAACTGTTAAAAGGAATCTTTTAGTATTTAAGTGACAAGAGACATGAGGCATTTTTCTGCCTGGATTGGGTATAGGAGAGATTTGATATAAAGATCCTTCTACCTAAGATATAAGGAAGCAAATGCCCAAGGGCTGTTTGGACCAAAGTTTGCTCTGAGGAAGGGCTGATGGTTTTGACTTGATGATTGATCCTGCTAAAGTACAAGGAAGAAAATTTATTTAGTAGAAAGATCAGTGCAAGTATTATTTAGATCAGTGCAAGCTGCTGCAAAAGGAATGAAATGGAGAAACTCATTTTTAAAATGTCTTATTAGTGAGATGTGCCAGAGGATAGAAGGTCTGGAAGAGAAGTAAGCTGTTCCAAGTGATCAGTAAGCAATAAAATAGGGGGTTGTGTTGTGTTTGCACTGTAGGTTGGAAGTGCTTGCAGGCTGTTCCAGCTTAAATTTTGGGACAGGGAGCAGCCTGTTGGGAGCTGCTAAGGATCATTCTGTGCCTTTAATTTTACCCTGTCTGTGTTTGGGCAGCAATTCCTTACCCCTTGTGCTGACTTCTGCTCTCTGATTTATCCCTCACAGTCCTTGTTTCCTCCTCCCTGGTTTTAAAGCCAGCTGGTGTGATGTGGGCTTCCCAAATTTTCTTTGCAGTCATATGGAAACAGTTTAGTCATACAGAAAGAAAAACTCAGGCTCTGAAATCCAGGAGTCAGGCTTTTTGGTAAAAGTAGTAACATCCCAGGAATGATGGTAACCTGCTATAAGGCTGGACTGGGTGATCTGCGATGATCCTTTCCAACCCAAATGATGTTGGGTTCCCATATTAACTGCAGTGGGTTGGGCAGGAAGGGAATGCACAAGGACATGTTTTATAGTTGGGGAGGAAGGAAAAGCTTCACCAACCAGGGGTGTCATATGGAGCACAGGCAGGGCATGTTTCTCCTTCAGCAGGGTGGAAAAGGAAATACAGTGTAATGAAAGTGTGGTTTAAAAACTAAATTAATACGGGTTCTGCACCTTTTTCCCTTCTATTGCAATTGACCTTTTGTCTTTCTCTGTCCTTCTTGTTTCCTTTCTCTGTCCGTTATTTCTAGCATGACTGAGGACTGGGGGTATCTCAATGAAGATGGAGAGCTCGGCTTGGCTTATCAAGGTTTAAAGCAAGTTGCCAGGTCAAACACTTTCTCTTTCCCCCTGCTGCTTCTCCCCTCTCCCCCTTTCACTTGCCTTTTTGTTTCTTTCCCTTCCTCTGCTGTTGTCCTGTTGTCCTCTATAGGAAACTGTTGTCCTCTTTGGGAGCAGCCAGAGGTAGGAATCTGGAGGAAATGAGACCCTCCTCTAATTTTCAGAGGAGTTGTGTTTCTAATTGGGCATTGCTGCTGGTGGCTGTTGCCATTAATGCCTGATCTGTGGTTCAGTGAGAATTCTATTACATTAATGGGAAGTAGTGAGATAAAGGTGTTGGGAAGCTGTAATATCCACGATGCCAAAGAAAACCCAGCCCCTTTTTAGATGGAATTTGTTTGGGTTTTTTTGCAAATTGCATTAAGACATGACACCTCCTGAAAATGCTTTCTCCCCATTCTTGACATGTCAGAAGTAGAGTCCCCGCGCTTGTATTGCGATGCTGTCTGCTTTGCATGATTGTGTGCTCCCATCCGTGCATTGCCTGTAGGTATAAGGAGGAAGGTGGACGCCCAGTGCCATCCTTCCCATGTCTGGATCTAGTGAGCAAATATCCAGCGGGATACACAGGGGCAGTACCTGCAAATTCCGTATCTCCTGGGGATGATGCTTGCTCTGTAATGATCTCTCACCTCCAAGTTAATGAAGGTTTAGAAATACAGCTAGGCAGAAGGACCCCTGGATTCTTCTCCTGGCTCAACCTGGTGCTTGGAATAGCTGATAATTAAATGTTAATTAATCTGTGCTCTTCTACAGGGTGATTATGAGGCTCAAATATATATATATATATTCAAATATATATATAAAAGGTGAAATGAGGTGATTAAGGACATTATAGAGAGGGAAACAAACCTTTTGTAGAAGTAGTCTAAAGTGGTCTGATATATAGGTATCAGAGTAAAACCAAACAATAACAGGAACAATAAGAGGGATGATTCATCTGTTTTCCAAAGCAATACAGGAAATTCATAGAAGGGGGATGTTTTTCTGCAGGCAGCTCACTGTTAATCTGAACCTATGTGAAGAAATAAAATGGAAATTAAGTACTTAATATTAATTTCATGGTGGGCCTGTATTTTCCAAGCCTATTAAGAATATAACTCCTGACATGATTACGAGACTCCATGCATTATTGACAAGGTTTCTACAGCAGGAAAACATGATTTTCTGTCTTTGCTGGATATGCTGGTTTTGGCTGGGATAGAGAAAATAGGAGTAGAGATTGGGTTATTTAGATCTTCCAATAACAATAACAAACCCCATGCTCTCGGAGCATGATTAATACCTCTTATGCAGAGATCTTTCGTAGAAAGTATATGTTCTTTTATACAGGCTTTAAAAAACAAAACAGTAAAAATAGTCCATGCTTAATTGTTCCTGCAGGGGAACTGCTCTCAGGTGTGAATTTCCATGAGTTTCCTAGTTTCTCCATGAGTTTCCCAGAGTTGTAGCTTTTTCCCACTGGCACAGCTCCATGTCTGTGTGTGTCTTGAGTGAATGTGAAGCTGTCAACACCAGTTTTCCTCATCTTTGGGGATTTCCATTTTCATCAGTGTCACAAAGACACAAAGCCCATGAGCCTGGGGTGTAGTGTCTGTAGCTCTGCCCAGAAGAGCACATCAATGAGCTACAGGAAGGACAACGACTTGGTTATCCCTCTCTGTCAATCTTCCTCATTGCCACCATCACCCTGTGTAATGTGACTAATTAGTCTCTGTGTTTGGGACTAGTATTTTGCGTTTGCTGGCCCTTCATTAGAGTCCTCATAGCTTCTGGAGTCACTTTCTTTGGTCTTCTTGAAAGAGCTGGGGGACTGATGGGGAGATTTCCATTTACCAGAGGGCAGGGAATACGCTTTACGATGTCACTTGGTGGGTTTATCAACATTCCCATCAGGTGTGTACAGAGGGGAGTTAACATCCAAGCAATGAATCATTCTTCCCTTGGATTAATGGTTTTAAGAAATAGCTGGTTAATGCATTCACTAAATAGCATACTTTAGTTCGCCATTTTCCTGCCCAAGTTTGTCCTTGTGCACAGGCTCAGGGCACGGCTAGAAGGAGACCTGGAGTAGGGGAAGAGGGAGTAGGAAAGTTTGGCAGGACAAATTATTAAAGTCTGGTACCCACCTAAAAGTGGGAGAAGGGCTGGTTTTCATGGCTTCTGTCAGGTGTGTGTCATGGAGGTAGAATTTGTTATGGAGTAGAAGTCTTTTTTCTCCCTGCTGAAGGGTCCAGGCAAAGTCAGTAGCAATGTTGAAAGCAGGAACTGATGAAGATGACAGAAAATCAACAGAGAAGCTGTGGCTGCCTCATCTCTGGCAGTGTTCAAGGCCAGGTTGGACACAGGGGCTTGGAGCAAGCTGCTCTAGTGGAAGGTGCCCCTGCCCATGGCAGAGGGTTGGAACTGGATGAGCTTTAAGCTCCCTTCCAACCCAAACCAGTCTGGGATTCTCTTAATATTTAGAGACTACTACAGGAGTAAAGAACCAAAGTTTGAAAGGAAATGAGCACAAAAACAAATGCCCTTCAAGCTGAGCTTTTGCAAAAAGATCATACGTGTTGATCTGCATGGATTTCTTGCCATGCATTTGCTTTTTGCTAATGGAAAGAGTAAAGGAACTCAAATTTGTGATACTGTTACAGCTCTTGGAATTGTTGGGGTTTTTGTACTTCCTTTAAAAAAAAAAAAAAAAGCCAGACTTTTGATCTCATTACTCTTAATTTCACAAGTATTTGATCTTCAGTATAGCAATGACAGACAATTTTCAGACAAATGTACCAGTGATAGCCACAGCACCCCTTTAGAATCATAGAGTCATAGAATAGTTAGGGTTGGAAAGGATCTTAAGATCATAAAGTTCCAATACCCCTGCCATGGGCAGGGACACCTCACACTAAACCAGGCCAACCCAAGGCTCTGTCCAACCTGGCCTTGAACACTGACATGAATGGAGCATTCACAACTTCCCTGGGCAACCCATTCCAGTGCCTCAGCACCCTAACAGTAAATAATTTCTTCCTTATATCCCATCTTGTGTCAGTTTTATTGGAATTTGACTGGGAACATCTCCCAAGTTGGCCAGCTTTGAAGGATGTAAATGGTGGTTACAACCACAATGCTGAAAACACAGGCTGATAGGTGTGGTCCTTTTCTTAGGTTGCTGGAAGCACAGCTACAGGATCAGAGAAGAGAACATGAAGAGGAGGTGGAAGATTTGAAGAACCAGATGGACGCAATGAAAGAAGAGATGGAGAAGCAGCAGGAGTCTTTCCTGCAGACCCTGCAGCTCTCTCCAGAGGTTCAGGTGGAGTTTGGACTCCAGCGAGAAATTACACGTCTCACCAATGAGAATCTGGTAAGAGGCTGTACTAAAAACACAGCCTAAGGAAGAAGAAAAAAAAAGCTATGCTGAGAGAAAGGAGATAGGTACCATGAATAGGAAGAAAGGCACTGGGGTCACTTTCACACCTCCTGAACTCTGCAGAATCCTTCAGCATCTCCCACTGGAGCATTGGGGAGTGTTGGTACTTGGCCTTGGACTATTGTTCAATGGCTGTATGACTTTTGTAACTTCCTAGGTGCTTTATTTTTATTTTTCATCTTCTTTAAGCCTGTCCACTTTGTGGCACTGCCTAACAAATGAGATCACTGTAACGTGTAGTTATGCACACAGATAACACAATCCTTCTTCTTACTTGCATTTATTGGGAGTGTGGAAGGGCAGTTGTTAACTCCAAAAACTTGGCCTTGGCTGGTCATAAATCTTTCCTATCTCACCTCCTGTATCTGGAGTGAACATTGGTCACTTCTGAGTTCAGGTGAGGACTTCTTGCCTTTCTAAACTCTAGTATGTAAGTAGTGTTGGAACTGTTTACATGATTAAAAGTCAGGAGTAAAATGCTCTGGGTGGTGTGTTGCAAGTATCGCCTGCTGCAAACTCCCCATTAGAGTTGTTCTTGGGCTTAATGTTTTATTTTAAACCCAATGCATCTTCTGTTTTTCAGGATCTTAAAGAATTGCTAGAGAAGTTGGAAAAGAATGAGAAGAAGCTGAAGAAGGAGCTGAAGGTTTATATAAAGAAGGTCCAAGATTTTCAAGGTGACTTGGCCGTTAGTAGACATTGGGGTGCAGGAGCAGCAGTCTGGTTTTGCTTCTTTGGTTGGCCTTGGTTGGTCCCTGCAGGTTTTGGTTGGCCTTTGGTTGGTCCCTGCAGGTTTTGTAAGATTTTGTTCATTCTGGCACTGAACTAGGAGCAAGCACTGAGCTAATTGCTGGCGTGACAGCAGGGAACCGAATGTCCAAATGGTGCTCCTGGGTCATGCTTAGGCTGCCTTCGAGCAAGTACAGCTGCACTGCTATAGCTTTAGCTTGTTAACATTGTTGAACATGGTAAACTTTGAAGTGGGCCCAGGAAGTGATGGGGGACGAGCGCTTGGTGGAGATGATGGTCTGACACTTGGTGTATCAGGGTTTGGAGGGTATTTAAAGGAACCTTTTTGCTTTCATTGCTGTTGATGATGTGACCCACGAGGAGATGGAGAGAGGATACCAATGGTTAGCAGGCAAGTGTGCTGATATGGCAATTTTAAGGAGGAATTAAAACCACTTAGGATTAAAATCTATGCATATATTCTGCTTGATCAGAAAACATCTCAGATGTGACATCTGTGTTGTATAGAAGGACCTTCCCATTCTCTGGAGATGCCATGATTAGTCAGAGATCCCCATTCTCATGAGCTAATTTTTGAAAACTAGGCATTAAGTGAAATTAAGCTGAATAACTGGAGAGCTTCCATAGCTCACACAGCTGGTCTCTGTCACTGTAATTTGCATGCAGCAGGCTGCTGTTTCCTGCAGTACTTGTGTGCTGGTCCTTTCTCTTTTATTAAGCTTTTATGGAAGCACAGTGTTTAATGGTGTGCCACCATGGTTCTTCAGCTTTACAGCCAGCCAGGAGATGCGATGTTTCAGTGTATTTTCATTGTCTGGCTATTTTTTTTCCTCTCTGTGAAAGCCATACACTAAAAAGTTTCCCACAGAGTTATTACTTTCTAGCCTGTGGTTCCTTAGAAAATAAAAATTACTTCATCTTTCCCTCCTTAAATCCAGCTTTTGTGCTCTTTCTTTCATTCAGAGTCAGAACTACTGCTGACTGGTAATTCAAGATCTGGTCCTTTATATCTCTATAAGTCTGTTGAAGATAATGACATTATTGGAAACAATATATAACTTTTTTGTCCTGGTGTCTGCTCTAGGGCTGTGGAGGAACTGAAAAGTTCTCAATTGCCAGGTACCACCTTTCATGCTCTTTCCTCTTCACAGCATTCCAGACTGTGGTACCAGCAGAGAGAAGGCAGCGTGAATGTCACATGCAAGTTGCAGTTCAGAGGAAGGAGAAAAATTTTCAGGGCATGTTGGAATATTATAAGGAAGATGAGCCACTTCTCATCCAAAACCTCATTACAGGTGAGGAGCTTGCTTGTTTCCTTCTTCTCTTGAGTGGGAGAGTTTGTAAACTTGAGATCTCAAGGTAGACAAATAGATCTTCTTAAATTAATCCTTTCTGAGGGCTGCATGTTTGTGGTGACAGCAGTTTTGGTAGGCGGATCAGTGCAGCACTAAGTAGGTAGACCAGCATGGATATAATCCTTAGGAATAGGAAAAAAAAATATCAAAAAAGGAGGCTGTAGGGCAGGCAGTAACTTGCTGAACTACATACAGTGTGGTAATTGATAGGGAGGGGATAGCAAAGGATAGACCCTGTGGATTTTGTGCAGCAATGGAACAGAAGTAGTTTGGTTTATGAGATGATAATGATAAATAACAGATAATAAACTTGGGAGCTCCTTTGTGCTTGAAGGTCTGATCGGAATTGCTGTAGCATCCCCTTATTCAATGCTGTTAGGGAAGTTGTGCTAAAGTGTTAGTATTTACCATCCCTCTCTAACCCCAGAAGAAACCAGTAAGGATATAAAAAGTGTTCAAAGAGCAGTGCTAGCCCATTGCTGTGGTCTTTGAAGTTCCCCTAATCAAACAGGCTTTTTCTTTAGAAGCTGCAAATTCCCTAAGCTGCCATTAGGATTCAGTATCATAAAGGAAAGGATTTACTACGTCATGAGTTCAGTGGTGGGGGTTATACTCTGCAGGAGAAAGTCCTAAAAGCCTTAGGAGGCTTTTCTAAGGTTGTTTGTGTGCCTCTTGGGTAGGCTTTTATATGGTTAAGTAAGATCTAATGCTACCTATGCATCCATAAGGTGAAACGGGACGCTGTCAAAAACTTCAATGCAGACAAGGCTACTCTCCTGAGGCGTAGTGTTGCAACTTTTCTGCTTTGCCAGGCTCCAGCAGGTCCATCTGTCCTGCAGTTGTACCTCTGGTTCTGCGTCCATGTTGCAGAGAGGGATGCAAGTCACAGAGCCAAACTCTAGCCCTCCCAGGGTTGGGGCAGACAGGTTTGCCAGGTTACAAGTACAGCTCAGGTGCTCACTGTTTCCCTGCTAGTTGGTGAATTTTGAGAGGATTTACAAACAAAAAAAACCCTCACTAAACCTTCTAGATCTCAAGCCCCAGGCGGTGTCTGCTACTGTTCCTTGCCTTCCTGCCTATATCCTTTACATGTGCATCAGACATGCGGATTACATCAATGATGACCAGAAAGTGCACTCCTTGCTCACCTCCACCATCAATGGCATTAAGAGAGTGCTGAAGGTAGGTATCCATTTTCTCTTGTCCTGGGGTTGAGATGATCTAAGCTGGTAATAAGCATGTCAAAAGGTGTGATATTCAGCTCTCATAGTGATTTTCAAACCATATTACTCTTATGGCTTCCTTTTTTAAAAGAACAAGGAGAATTAATATTCTAGCAATATAATTGTTTGCACTTACAGATTAAAAATAGAATGTTTGCAGGGAACAAATGGCTAATATTGCCCATCTGCAGAGAGAGAGCTTTATGATTCTAAATGAGGAAACTCAAAATGATTTTGTTTTGCTATGCCAGCATCCCCCACTGAAGGAGGGGAGTCTCACATTCCTTTAATTTTGCTCCTCCAGAAACACAGTAATGATTTTGAGATGACATCGTTTTGGCTGGCGAATACACGTCGCCTCCTGCACTGTTTAAAGCAGTACAGCGGAGATGCGGTAAGAAACTCATCATTGATCTTGAGTTTGTTGGTATTCCTCCAGGAAGGTTTGTCAGGTCTCCTGGGTCTAGTGGCTTCCCTCTAGTCAGGGATCATCTCTGACTTCACTCTTTGGTTAATTTGGATATAACATGAGGCAGTTTCTAGAATCACAGAATCCCAGACTAATTTGGGTTGGACAGGAGCTTAAAGCTCATCCAGTTCCAAGCCCCTGCCACGGGCAGGGACACCTTCCGCTAGAGCAGCTTGCTCCAAGCCCCTGTGTCCAACCTGGCCTTGAACACTGCCAGGGATGGGGCAGCCACAGCTTCTCTGGGCAATCACCGTCATGGTGAAACATTTCTCCCTTCTGTGTAGTCTGAAGTGGACCAAATGTTCATGAGGCATTGCACTGATATTTGATCTCAACATTTGAGACCTGAAGGCACAAACCCTACATCACATGCAACAGAACAGTTTAAATTTCATAGCCAACCATGCACTTTGATTTGTCCAAACAGGGGATTCCCTTCTGGTAGGGTGTTTTGAAGGCTGATCTCCTAGTTCTAGTAGGTCCTGCAGCTTTTCATTAACCATGACTTTTAGGCGGGGAAAATTGTCCCAAATTTTGCAATTTTTTTTTTTAACGTTTCTACTGATAGTTTTTTTCCTGTTCTGTTCAACTAGATCAAAATAACCACACTTTGAGAGGGCAAAAATGAAAATCATAATGTAAGCTTTTGGAAATAAATCCTCTCATTTCTTGCCACCTTAGTAATATTTCATAAGTGAAATAAGTTTTATTATAGCTGATCTGAGAAAATCGGATCGTAATAGTCCTCTTAGTACATCACACACTGCCATCCTTATAGCCATATGTTCTGGGTATTAAGATTTTCAACAGAGCTAAATACGTCATTTCTCATTTAGTTTTGGTTTGTGTTAGATATATTAAGCAATGAAGCTTTTAAGAATAAATGAAAAAAAAATCATAGAATCAAATTAACTATTCAGGTCATTCACAAGATAATGACTGGTGTGTAAAACTCAGTGTTGGACTTCCAAGATTTAAATTAAAAAGAAAATTAATTTAGATGATAATTACTCATTGTTTAGCTCCTGTTCGCCCTCTTCTGCCTGGATAAGAACATTACATTTCAGGAAAATCCCCAGAAAACCAGCAGGGTAGGAAAAAAAGGGAACCCAAACTTAAATTTCAGATTCTTTGCTATAATTTACTATGTTAAGTGAACCACTATTTGCAAGTTAAGTTGATAATTTGGTGGAAAAGCAAAGGGGAAAAATAATTCTGAACAGTTTTCAAAATGCTGCTCTTTCATCTGAAATCCAACCTATCTGAAAGGAAACAGGTTTGAAAGGAAATCCCAAGCTAAATGCAGTCTGGCAATGCAAATAGAATTTTTCAGAAAAATGGAGAAATTCTGAAGTCAACTCAAATTGTACATGTTGTATTTTTATATCTTACTAGTCAGCAAACAACAGAAAAAGTTTCATAGCTATCAATTGGTGTCAAAACAAGAAAACGATATGAACAGGCAATTAAAGTGGCTGTGCTGATTACAGAATTAAGTTAGATCACATTTGCTTCTGGCAGCAAAACTAGCACTAATGTCTGAGCCCAGAACTTGTGGCTACAGCATCCATGGCAGGATCAGAGGTCAGCTGCTGCTTCAGCAAAAGGCAGGGAATAAATTCAGTTACTTGGAGAGATTTCCACACTTCAGATCTTTAAAAATATTGTCAAAGCATACAGCATGTGGGTTAAATTTCTTTAAATTATTTCCTAAACTATCAATCTCAAAATACTTGGTTTCCCATAAATAATTGTGACTTACAGGGATAAATAGCTAGAAAAAGTTTCTCAGTGACTGAAATGTCATTTTCTAGTTCATATATATATTGCAGTTAATACAGATGTTGCTCCTTGCTAAAGCTAAAATGGCAGACTTCTCACTTAATGGTACTTTTCTTCAAAAAGCAGACCTGTAGTAATAATTTATGAACAAATGGCTGAGTAAATCAAAGGTGATTTATGAGTCTAGATCTTTCCTATAATAGAGTAACAATGTCCTTTGGTAACATCTCTGGATATATTGTACTGTAAGGGTTTGTTTGTTTGTTGCTTTTTTTTTTAATAGAGTGGTTTACTGGACTATAAATAGGTGGAATAATGAAACTAGGTGTTTTAATCTCTCATTCAGGGTTTCATGACACAAAATACGCCTAAACAGAACGAGCACTGTCTGAAGAACTTTGACCTGACTGAATACCGCCAGGTGCTGGACCACCTCTCCATCCAGATCTACCAGCAGCTCATTAAGATAGCAGAGGGCACATTCCATCACATGATTGGTAAATTCACATTAGCCTTTAGGAGGGTGTTTTTTTTTTCACTGTAGTTATCTACTCTGAGGGCTTTTCAGACCTTTGTATGGTGCTAGAATGACCTCACCACAAAGGAAAAGCCTGTAGTTGGTCAGAAGGCATATGTTACAAAACATAAGGGCTTGGTTTGGAGGAGGTCCTTGTGTTAGCAGTGACCTGGAGTTAGGGAGGCAGACCTGGATGAATTTATATTTTCCCCTATGATAGAAACTAATAGAGATGAGGGATCCCCCCTCCCACCCCCCAGTGATAAATTATACCCCCTTCATTTCTATTGGAGAGGTGGTGACAGAGGTGAGGTGGTGCTGGTGGGTCTGTAGGAGCACAGTTCTCCTCCATATCATGTTCACAGTTAAGCTTTTTATGGGTGGAAATGCACATTATGAGGGAGGAGAGAATTGGGAAGAGAAAAAAAGAGACTAATAAAGCCCTTGTTTTGCCAGGGTGAGCCAGTATGAGAAGAATTGCCTCCCCATCTACATTAGTCCTCCTCATCGCTAAGCTAATTGAGGGGTTGTTCTCAGTGCTTTATATTTTCTAGCTACTAGTGTTTTTCTTGAGCTCCCAGCCTGGTCCCTTCTGTATCTGGGACTCTTTCCCTTTACCCTCCAAAAGTCCTTGCACAAATTCTGGCTATACCAGATGGCATCACTGCCTACCATCACTGCATGTACCTCCTGCTTGTTGTAGAAATTTGTCCTGTTCCTCTATCAGTTAGTCAGGCTGTTATTACTTCTAATCTATCTTCATTTCTTCCAATCTTTTGAGCCAATTAATCACTTTAACTGCAGAATTTAAGGCTCTGTGGTGGATATACAGAGAGAACTGATTACAGCTCAAAAGAGAGCTGTTGCCTGTTTCTGCAGCATCTTAAGTGATTTCTGTGTAATAACACCAAGGAAAAAAAAAGTGTGACCTTATAGATATATTTTTGTGCTTTAACTATTTTGTATTATCATAGTAAACTAGCAATTCATGGATCTGTCCTGCTTTCAGACCTCACAGCATCCATCATGTTGCATTACTGAGACTGCTGCATGTTTGGAACTGCTCATGGAGGGATCAGTTCTTGCCTCTAGTGACTAAAAGGTGGATAGAAGTGCTTTTAGCTCATTTTCCCCCCTTTTTCAGTGTCTGCGGTGTTGGAAAATGAGAGTATCCAAGGGCTTTCTGGTGTCAAACCAATGGGCTACAGAAATCGCTCCTCCAGCATGGCAGAGGGTGACAGCTCCTACAGCCTAGATGAAATCATTCGCCAGCTGAACGCATTCCACACCATCATGTGTGACCAGGGTATGGACCCAGAGATCGTGCAGCAGGTCTTCAAGCAGCTGTTCTACATGATCAATGCAGTTGCCCTGAACAACCTCCTATTAAGGAAGGATGTCTGCTCGTGGAGCACGGGCATGCAGCTAAGGTGGGACAGTGAGTTGGGGCAGGGATGTACCTACTTAAGGAAGCCTTGTTAATTTTATAAGGTAGTGGAAAATAGGAAAATAAAATGCAATGGTGTAAGTAAGGAGGGAAACTGGATTCAGCAGAGGACTGATGCAGTTAAATCTAACCCCCATTGTGTAATGCCTGTGTGATGAAGTTTACTGTGCCACTTGTGAATTAAATATATGTTATACTAATTTTCTCTGGGGTATGCTTTCCCCACCTTTCTCTCACCAAGACTGAGCAGGTGATGTAGGACAGGTTGGACACTGGGATGGAGAAGTCTCTGGTTCTCTCCTTCTGCCATGTCTCTGATTTTTGTATGTTGTAGTGTCAAAGACTCCAGCCTTAAAGATGTTAACCCCTGTTCCTGTGTGCAGTGCCTCCAGCTTCTCATGAACTGCAGAGAAGTGGCAGCAAAGGATCTGCTGGGCTGGGATGAGAGGCCTACATTCCCCATTGCTGTCTTAGCATAGTGGTGTAATAAGGGTTGAAATCTGAAAAGGCATCTAGTGCAAACCTGCCACAAAGGGGCCATGAATGTTTATCAGCCCTGGCATAAATCTATCAACTTCTTTCGTAGTGAAAGTGATTTAAACCTTTTTTTTTTTTTTTTGCTACCCTCTCTCCTTCCCACAGTGGATCTTTTGCATGTTCCCCATCCGCCTGGGAGTGGACACAGGCACAGGCAATTTTTTGTGTAAATATTTTCAAAGATACTTGTGTATCTTGCAGGATTTTGTTATCATTTGAAAGCTTGTCAAAAGCTTAATTGACTTTTGAATCTGAACAAACATAAAGGCTGTACAAAAGCACAGCCCTTGTGCTTTTCTTGTGCTCAGCTGTTACATAGCTCATCTATTTCTAAGGTACCTAGAATATAGATTTTGCTTTGAGTTGTTGAGTATTAAGCTTTGGTCTGGTTCTGTCTTGTCATGTGTATCACAAATATGAATCACAAAAAGTCACATCTACCAGCACTGCAGCATACCTTGAGTCATGTAGAGGATTTTTCAGATGTTATGTCTTATCTCTGCGCTGTCAGCTTATGTCTTATCTTGGTTGCTTACCCAGGTTTAACATAAGCCAGCTGGAGGAATGGATCCGTGCGAAAAATCTGCAGGAGAGTGGAGCAGCACAAACTTTGGAGCCCTTGATTCAGGCAGCACAGCTTCTGCAGCTGAAAAAGAAAACTTCAGAAGATGCTGAGGCCATCTGCTCCTTGTGCACATCACTCACGACCCAGCAGGTAAGGAGCAGGGCAGAGATTTACACCACAGGATAACCAAAGGAATGGGAAAGGGTGGTGTCCTGGTGCCAGCTCTTCAGTGCCTGGACTCAGCATGCCATTCCAGGGGTGGGGGCACCTTGTCCTTTTGAGGACTACTGGTAAGTACTAACCCCTGTCAGTGGTGGTCTCCGCAATGGTTCCTCTCCTACAGTGGCACTGATGACACTGGAGCTCCAGAAACATGCAAAGTTGAAACCCAGCCCCAAAGACTTCATGATATAAGTCAGACACTTGGAATTTTAAACCCACACATTGCCATTTCCCAGGGTCTAACCTGGCTAGGTCTGCAGGATGCCCACCAAAGATTCATATTTGGGGCAGGAAGTTGATAACTACCCATGTAAGCTGGCAGGCTCTGACCTTAAACTATAAGACTCCATTCCAGAAGGATATGAACTCATGTTTTTTGCTGCTGGATTGCCTGGTCCTCATTTGATAATGGTGTAGGAGGAAAGAAGTGAGAGGTGTGAGCTGATCTCCAGTGCTTGGAGATCCTTTCTCCTGTATTTCTGTCTCCTTGTCTTGAACATGTGTTCTTGAGAAGCCAATGGGTGGTAGTGGAGGAGCAGAAGTGAGGAAGCTTCAGAAGTGTTGCAGAGGTGACATCAGAAGTACTGGGAAGTGGTCACCTGTGTCACTGTGTCAACTGAACGGAGTCCCTGTGTAAATCTGTTGTTCAAGTGTATTCCCAGATGACCATCTTTGCCATAAGAAGTGGCTTTTATAGGCCTGTAAAGGCTCTCCATAGCTTAGAGTGAGCAAAGAAACACCAGGATGATATCTGTGCTACTTCTGCTTCTCAGTAGTGTCATGGGAGACTTGTTATCATAGAATCAGAGAATGGTTTGGGTTGGAAGAGACCTTAAAGATCATCTAGATCCTCCCTGACACCTTCCACTAGACACGGTTGCTCAAAGCCCTGTCTAACCTGTCCTTGGTTATGGCTATAACAAGACAAGCTTTTAGTGGTGTTTTGTATTCTGGAAAAGTTTGGTTTCTCGTGATTGTCTGTAATCCTATTTTGTTTTCAACAGATTGTAAAGATACTTAATCTCTACACTCCGGTGAATGAGTTTGAAGAGCGCGTGACAGTAGCTTTCATTCGAGACATACAGGTAAATTTCAAGGGCTTTAAAATGGAGGAGATAGTACTAATGACTGTATTAAGTACTAATCTGTATTAAGTCATTACCAACTCGGATGTTTTGTAATAGGCATGCTGCTGCATGTTGTCCCAAATTTAGTGCAAGTAAGCATGTGCACATGCTTACTTGCAACATACAGCTGCAGGGATAAGTGGCCTGTTAATCACAATGAGCAATAATCACCCATTTTCCCAGCTCAGCTATTCCAAAGCTCTTCAGTAGCAACACAACACAGAAATAAGGTTGCAGGAGTCAGCGAAGCATCAGTGAAATAGAGTTACTTCAGAGATAGAAGATAGAAAATGGTAACAAAGGAGAAATAAATAAATGAAACACGAATACCTTTTAATGCTCACAAGGAGGAGGCAGGAAAAGGAAATGGAAATAATGTTCAGCTACTCCTAGAATATGTCTCTGTCACCAAGTAGCTGAATCAAAGATGGTCTGCAGGTAACATGCAGTGCTGCTGCTGCTGTACAAGGGGGTCATGTTGTTTCCAAGCCCTGTATCTTGCTTTGTGTTCATGCACAAAATGTATCTGGGTTCTTCTGAAGCAGTGTTTCCTACAGTCACTGTAGAAGTTGCTGTAGATATTTGCTGAAAAGATGGCTGTGGCATTAAAGAACAAAAGAATTCTCACTTTTTTTTTTCTGCGGTATCTCTAGAATTGTGTACATTCTCAAACTTTTGTGATATTAAACATGACAAATGCAAAGAAAAGGCAACAACTAAATTAATTTTTTTTCTCCTACACTTCCTATAGATGCACTTGCAAGAGCGAAATGACCCTCCGCAGCTGCTGTTAGACTTCAAGCACATGTTCCCAGTTTTGTTCCCGTTCAACCCATCCTCCATAACCATGGACTCTATCGATCTCCCTGCTTCTCTCAACTTGGAATTTCTCAATAAAGTCTGAAGACAGTACAATTAAGCCCACCTCTCATACCCAGAGATCTCCAGCAAGGAAAGAAAAATCCTGAAAGGCATTTAAGGAGCTCTTTAAATACAGACCAAACAGGCTTGTAGACAAATGAATACATAGTGATAATTGGATGCTAAACTACACAGTTAAAAACAGACTGATCTGTATGTGATGTTGGGGTTTTTTTTTAGTAATTTGCAGCTCAGAAATAATGACATTTGAAATGTAGATTTATTTCTTACTGTTTGATTTTACACTCAAAGCCCATAATCATCTCCAAAAGACACTAACAAAAAAGAACGGGGAGTGAGATCCCCCCTGGTTTCCATAGGTGTCTAGGAAGAAATGAGAGTTAAATCCAGACCAAAATCTGAGACATGCTTGCCTCCTTTAAAGACATGTAATTTGTCTGATAGCCAGGTGATTTTATAGGTATTAATCATGTGACAAGCAATCCTGCCTCCTGTTCTTGCTAGTAACCCTATCACAACAGTGAGTTGAGAAAGTCAATTGCAGAAAGTGCAAGTACGTATTTATCATGCTGGTTAAGGTTATGGGCTTGGACACTGCTTGTTTCCACTGACACAGAATTTGTGCCAAATTCTATGTTTAAGAAATGCTATTGCTCCTCCTAAATGCATCCAGTGAATCTGCTTCATGGGAAATGGCATGTTTGGATTTTCTTCTGTTACCAAATTTACATTAGTGACTTGCAAGGGTTTTGTTCTCATGAAATTATCTTAAGACTGTCTTAGGCTTCCTGGGTTTAGTATACACAAGCTGCACCCTGATATCTGCTATTGCCTTTTCCCTGTGTTTTTGAAAGTCAGAAACTTTTCATCCAGTGGCTATCGAGGTTCATATACTTACATGGCCTGTGTCAGAATCTCATGTGTAGATAAGATGTGCTAACACAGCCCGATTTAATCATCAGGTCTTCACTTTGGTTCAGTGGGTTACTCCTAGCTGTAGCAGGACTGTGGAAAAACTATTCAGTCTGACAGACATCTGGAATTTTACCAGCTGTGCAAATACAGTGGTTATATAAATGAAGAATACATAGTTCTAAAATAAAGGGAGTGGATAAGCAATGAAATGTTTCTGTGTAACACAAAAAAAAATGTCAGTGTGTTAGTAATGTATTTCTCTAACAGTGAGCATGAACTCTTTGTCTACAACAAAATTCAATGAACAACTGCAATCAGTTCAAATTGTTAGGCGCTTTTTTTAACCTGACTTATAAATTAAAATGGACCAACCCCCTGATCTCACTATGCAGACACTGTAAGGGGCCAGCTCCTCACAGCAGAAGTCATTTATTTTTCTCAGTACGTACCATGATGTGGTGAATAATCGGTTTCTACGGAGCCACTTTTCTCACTGAGATGGGGAAAAGCCATGGCTGAGTGATGTGCTGCAGTGATCCTAATAGTGATGGGTCTGCAAAGTGGTCAGTGGCTATCCTTCTACTGGAGCTCAGCATGCCAAAATGCAGCAAAAGCCCCTCTCTTCTCATCACCTTGAGTGGTTTCCATAGTGCTCTTGTCTAAGTCTATCTGAACTTTGTGGTTGTGGTTCCTGCAAAAAAAACCCACAAACTTCTTATTATCTGACTGCTTTTAGTTGGTGTAAATCAGATCCAAATAGCAAATTTTATCACCAGGTACCCTACCTGCTCAGAGGATTAAAGTAGGTGAAATCTTGTAAAGATACACTAAATCCTGCCACGCTGCAGTCACATTTTTAGATAAGCATTGTGTTTTGATTTAAACATCATGTATATAATCAATGTATATACAAACTGTAATAGGTCCTGTATGTACTATATATGTATATTGCTATCCAAAAAGCACATTTTTAAAGAGAAAGATGAGTGCTGTGAAGAATTATATTGGTCTGTGCCGGTGAATAAATAACCCTGCTTCAAACAGACCATGGTTTAGCGTGGCTGTTACCAGTGAAGGACCAATTTAAGGCCGAGAAATTATCTTTGCCCCTGTCACCCAACTAATTATAGAAGAAAACCGATTTCTTGTGTGGCACCAACACTACCTCCAAAAGACAGTCTTCGAGCATTGCATCTACTGCTTACATTCAGTAGTGCCTTCATCTCCCCTTCGTATATATAAGGGTAATGCCACTGTCTTGTGGTCTATGCCCAGTGAACCCATGCTCTTCTGTCACCCACTCATCTACCATACTTTTATTTCTTACACCTACCTCTCGCCACATTTCCAAATGAATGTTTTTGCAATGCTCTCAATTTAATTTTTTAATTGTATCTTACTCCTTTCTCCCCCCACCCCATAGTGGTAATCACCTAAAAATTACAGAAAAAATCATTCAGAGCAGCATTCAGTCTTTCTGTAAAACTGTTTAAACAGAGCTATTTTTCAGAATTCATCTTAGGCCAACAGTTTCCTCTTGGGCTCTTCAGGTCTCTACCTCTCTCTGATGTAAAGTGTTCAGAGTATAATTAACAACAGATTGACTAAAGCAATGGTTGGCATGCAGACGAAATGACAGGTTGCTGCAGAACCCACTTCTGCAACAATTTTGTTGCTGATTGCAACTGTGAAGTGTGGTTAATGGCCTTCTAGGGGATAATGGTCTTTCACTGGCATTTTCAGGATCATAATTTATACATACAGTATAAATACTTAAAATACTTTAAAACTCTAGGTAGTGCAGATGGGAACTGGGATTTAATGCCTTGGTTGGTGATAATGATGTTTATCAATTAAAATCCGTCTTGAAGAGGACTGTCTATGAAATATCTTTAATATATGTTATCTTTTCTGACAGCTATTTGTTTTCAAATGTGAATTTTGTTAAATTGCTATGCTCAAGCATGCCTTTCTTTCCTCAGATTGGCACTTCTTTATTTAAAGAGCAAATCTAACACCAAGCATGGCTTTGAGAAAGCTGGCTGTTATCTGGATCTGTTTTTATGTTTAAATATTAAGTTGAGCATTTTCCCGCTGTGTGCCTTTAGCTGTTACTAAGGTAACTGACTTCTCAACCACTGTTTCTCCGAAACAAGCATTAAAATGTGGGGATATTTTTATTGTTCTCTCATAAAAAGTTGTCTGTGGATTTATAAGTAAGCCAATAAAGTCTCACTCTGCAGAGGTCTACAAAGATGCTTTTTTCCTAGTAAGTTCCTAGTAAGAAAACAATACTGACCAGTACTGGGGTTTTTCACATGTATAATGTATCTCAGAAAAGTGCTATTAGGAATAAAAACCACAAAACAAAACCACACCCAAAAATGAAACCCTCAAAAAAAAAAAAACCAAACAAACAAAAACAACCCACAAAAAAAAACAAAAACAAAAACAAAAAAACACAAATCACACCAAGCACCACCACTACAAACCCACCATTTCAAATGTGAGGTTCAGGCTGTGCTGTCTGACATCCAGGGCAACATACATGTTACATTTTCACCAGGAACTTGCTTTGAAATACTGAATTTATGCATCACAAATGTTTTTTTTCCTCATGTGGTTTATTCTACAGTCTCTAAAATGACTTGTGTCAGTGAAAAAGTAATGGGGGGCATGTTTAAGAGTTTTAAGCGCAGTGGCTACTTATCCGGATACTTCAACTGAAACACTGTGATGACACCACTACGGAAAGACTTCTCCAGAGGTGACCCTCCCATTGTGTGATATGCAAAAGACAAAATTGGAAAAGATGCATTTGAAGCAACTATTCATTTTCCTCCATTTTCAACAGCAAGTGAACAAAACTGTGCAAACGTACTCTTTCTGACCGTATTCAACTGAAGAATTAGCATTTTACCATTGCATGGAAATAAAATGGAATCACAACATGGTTTGTACTGAAGGGACCCTAAAGCTCCTCCAGCTCCAACCCCTGCCACAGGCAGGGACACCTTCCACCAGAGCAGCTTGCTCCAAGCCCCTGTGTCCAACCTGGCCTTGAACACTGCCAGGGATGGGGCAGCCACAGCTTCTCTGGGCACCCTGTGCCAGCGCCTCAGCACCCTCACAGGGAAAGAGTTTCTGGCTTATATCCAACCTAAATCTCCCTTGTTTCAGTTTAAACCATTACCCCTTGTCCCATCACTACAGTCCGTGACGAAGAGTCCTTCTGAAGACCGTGAAGCAAGTCCTACTCTCGTCAGAACTAAAGGTGGGAAACAGGAGCGGCCGGGCCACCAAACCTCCATTAAACCCCAGTGTTCGGGGGGTGGGCGGGGGTCACCTCACCCCATCGCGGACGTCGCTGCCCTCAGGGCTACCCCAGCCGCCTCTGGGAGTCTCAGGTGCCTTCCTCAGCGGTCCCGCGGATCTCGGCGTGCTCAGCGGCGACTCGTTCCGGACCGGGAGGGAGGTACGGAGGGAGCAGGCCCGCGCCTCCCATCGCCGTTGCCAGGGCAACACCTCAGGGTCCGGTTCCTCCGATTCGTCAAAGCCTTTTCCAGGAGTGGGGCGCGGAGAATGGATTAGAGGAGAAAGAAATCAAATCAACTCGAAATGAAATAAAATAAGATTAATTAATTAATTAATTAAACGTTCTCTCTAGGCGTGCCCGCCCGCTCCGCCCCCAGCGTGGCGAATGTGCGGCGGGTGAGGTGGGCGCGGCGGACGTCGGAGCAGCCCGGAGTGGAGTGGAGCGGTGCGGCCATGGCTCTGCTGCGGGGTGAGGGCCGGTCAGCCCGCCCCACCTAGGGGCGGTCGGGGTTGGGGGTCTGACTCTTCTTCTGAGGGGGGAGCGGGGCCCGGTCTGGTTCTATGGGGAGGGAGGGGGTGTGTGTGTGTGTGTGTGTGTGTGTGTGTGTGTGTGTGTGTGTGTGTGTGTGGCGCGGCTGTCCCGACTGTTGTACCGGGGGTAGTGGGGGGTGCCTCCAACATGGAGCCTCTGGAGCCCCTTTTGGTCCCCTCCCCTGTTCCCCCCCCGCACTTCCCGTGGTGATTTTCCTTCCCGTTGTGTCAGCATAAACAGCTGGAAATAGAGGCGACCCTCAAAAAACACAGCTGGAAACGGTGCGGGTAGCAGTCCTCTCTTTTTTGAGCTCCATTTTACTCAACGGAATAGGCTGTGTTTGACTTCCTGTGGCGTTTAAGGCAGTTGCGGTACAAACTCACCTCTAGCAAAGGGTGAGAATGTGTGTCCCGTGTTAACGGGCAGTGAGTAAAAGTCATTAGAAGTGACGCTTATAGTGGCAGCGACTGCCGGGTTCTTTAGTTCCATCCACCTCTTGCTTGTGTTTGTTAGCATGAACAGTGCGGGATAAACTCAGAGTGTCAGCAGTTCCTCAAAGTGCTTTCTGCTCTACCTTGGGCCTCTTAAAATTAGATAAACACGCCCTTTAATGCTTGATTTGTTTAGAAGTAACATTGAACTGTATTGAAATGGGGCTTTTTGTCTATTTAATGGTGCCTTGCTACTTGACAGACTGCACTTAAATAATGACATACCTGTAAGTTGTGGTTTGAGGTTTCAGTCCCAGCAGCCTGTCAGGTCAGCGCAGCAGTAATTCTGTATTGCTTTACTGAGCTGTAGCAGCTTTGCTCGTAATACTTGCTTGATGTTGCTTTTCTGTGCCTGTTTCATGATCTTACCTCTTGCCACAGTATTTTTCAGAAGCTGTTTTTGCTCCTTAACTTTTGGGAGCAACTGATTGTTTTTTAGGTCTTTGGAATAAGACTTGACAAGTATTTTCATACCAAGTGCATTTGAGAAATGTTGGAGGGTTGGAGAATGTTGCAGGCCTATAACAGCAGATCACCATTTGGCAGCAAAGCAGATTTAAAAGGTGTCTTGAATTGTTTGGTAAGGATTCAGACTGTCCTTTGCTTTCTTGCCCCAACATTTACAGATTCCTGTGCATTTTGTAATATTCTGCTCTCATCCAATGTTTGTCACCTTGGAAAACTGCAGATGTTGCAAGTCTTTCTGTGGTAATGCAGGACAGTACTAATTAATGGAGACTTAAGAGCTGGGCACAGAACTGATCCGAATGAAAACTAGCCCCTCATTTTCCACCATCTCTGGGTTAGTCTTCAGGTGTCTTGGTTCTGTGATCTGCTTTGGTTTATGTGTTGGCTCTGTAGTGCTGTTGAGAAGTGGGCAGCAGTGAGTAACCTCGATGAAAGACTTTGTTATCGTGAAAGGATGGTGTAAGAGCAAAGTTCCATCCTTGCCCCCATACTGTTTGTAAGGCAACAGTGTTGTGTGTGTGATTCAGCAAATAATGTGGATTACCAGCAACCTGGCCAAAAGGGAGGAAATCAAGTTCATTTAGCTTGACCAGTTCCCTGAGCTGATATACCGCAAACCTGTGTAATGAGCTTGGATGGCACAATTTTGGGGGACTGAGGGAGGGATGTGGAAGGATGATTGTCAAAAGTCTGCTTTGTCACAAGGAAGATAAATTTAGAAATGTGAGATAACCCTTAAAAGAGCAAAGGGTCTTTATTTTACCAATGTTATTAACATTTAACGAAGACTCAAACTTAACAATCCATAAATTATTGTTAATACAAGACATCTTGGATAGTTAACTGAAAACTATTAGTATAAATTTACATCTTTCACCTTATTACTTGGGAGAGTCCAGGGGCTAATTCTACATGACTGTGTTGATCACAGTGGTTTTCCATAGACAGAAACCAGTTAAAGCATCCTCACCCTTGTTAAAAAATCTTGTAGGGGCTCACACTTTGTCTCTGTTAGTAGTTTTCTTCAGGGTTTTTTGTTGTTTGTTTTTAGTATGTGCAACCAAAGTAAAACATGCTCAGTCAATGGATTAAGAATTGTTTGGGATTAAATTAAATTACTTGCTCTCAGTTGCATGATGATAAATTATGAGTGAAAACTGACAATTGATGTAGCGTACACCATGTGGACGAGGAGTCAGTTCTGAGCATTCCTTGCAAGCCTGGGTACAGAACCTTCCCTGCAATACCAGTTTTGTTACTTTTCAGACCTCTGAATATGCAGAGGCCTCTGCAATGACTGTGGTGTTCCCTCTGTGTTTAAAAAACCTGAAGAGTGGGCTGTTTGGAGGTGTAGTATCTATTTATTCCTTTGAGGAAATGAATTTTGCTTCTCTCAGGTTTTGAATAGTTACCCTGTCAGCACTGCATTTTAAGGGAGCAGCAGTAGTGTCTTTAGCAAAGATTTCTTTCTAAGTTCTTTGGGGTATCCCAGAAAGAAGCCCCTGGGCAGCATCAGGGTGTGAGGGTGACACACTAGTTTTGCTGTCTATGTGTCTTTGAAAGCGACATTTCATGTTCATCCCTATCCTTGAAGCTTCATTACTTGCTTAGTCCACTTCGGGGTACTTCCCAGATGATCTTAAGTGTAGTACTTATTCCATGTTTTAGATCCTGACATTGTGTTCAAGCCCTTGTCAGTGGGACAAGCTTGACCTTCACCAGTTTGGAAAGTCCTTTTCTAGAAATGCTGCCTGGGCTCCAGATATGTGAGAAGCAGAGCACTCTGTCACTGACAAAACAGGCAAAGAATGTGGATCCTGCAGCCTCTAACAGCCTGAAAACAGTGTTCATGAGTAGCTTAATGAACATTTTCATTTGCCTTCATTCTTTCATCAATATGTATCTTTCCAGCGTTACTTAAAATAACTCGTGGCAGCTGTAGAAAAGGGAGGTGTGAGCTCTGTTGTTCAACTGGGGGAAAGTTCACAGGCTGCCTCCTGCTTGTTGGTGCACATGAAAGCAGAGACACGCAGTCAGTAATATTTGGTTTGGTTCAGAGACATCTTTTCCCAAGCCAAAATTCACATAGACTGCTTCTGGCCAATGCCTCAGTACACAGGTGCTTGCATGTGCTCTCCTATCTGTTGAAAGGGAGGGGATTCTTCCCTTCTGTCTGCAGTCCTAAGTCCAGCTCTGGGGCAGCAACACAAGAGGGATGTGGAGCTCTCGGAGCGAGTCCAGAGGCCACGGGGATAGGTGGATTTAGATGAGCTCGTAGGCAGAAGCTCTCCCTATGAGAGTGCTGAGGCGCTGGCACAGGGTGCTCAGAGAAGCTGTGCCTGCCCCATCCCTGGCAGTGTTCAAGGCCTGGTTGGACACAGGGGCTTGGAGCAAGCTGCTCTAGTGGAAGGTGTCCCTGCCTGAGGCAGGGGCTGGAGCTGGAAGAGCCTTAGGGTCCCTTCCAACATGAAATCATTCTAGGATTCTATGAAAACTCTGAAATTCTTCTCTGAAACTGGAAGGCTGATTCTAATACAGTTTAGATGGCCTGTATAATTCTGGAAATAGCACAAAGTTTTTGAGTAGAGAAGGTTTTTCCTCCTAAGTTAAAGGAGTCAAAGTTAAAATGCATATAAAAAGTTTGGGTTTTTTTTCTTTTCTTTCTGAAAACTGTTTCAGGGTATAAGCCTGATTTTTCTAGGATAGGGGAATGGCCTCCTTATTTTTCAAAAGACCTGTTCCTCACCTGACTATTTCAGGGGTGCCCACTGTGGGATTCCATGGATGTTACTTTCATCCTTTCAGTATGCTAGCGCTGATGTCTGATGTGGTGCGGCAGCCTCCTTTGTTCAGCGGTATCCAAACTGTGTTGTTCTTTCTGAAAACTCTTTGTGTAAAGGAGGTATTTCTAGAATCTTCCCAGCTTTCCTTTCTGACCATTAATTCTACATACCTCCCCTGTCTAAAGTATTGCTATATCCTATACCTTATCTTGAACTGTGTACATTCACATTGCCTATATTTATGAAGTTGCTTGTGAATGTAGGATGTCGAGGCTGACTTGGTGAGGTTTTGTTTGTTAGCTTCTGCACATCTGGATAATTCTTGCTTGTCTTGCAGGTGTGTTCATTGTTGCAGCAAAGAGAACTCCTTTTGGGACTTATGGAGGTTTGCTGAAGGACTTCACAGCCACTGACCTAACAGAACATGCTGCTCGAGCTGCACTGGCTGCTGGCAAGGTCTCTCCCGAGATCATCGACAGTGTTGTTGTAGGCAGTGTTATGCAGGTTGGTAGCATGGAAAATCTGCTGGTTGGTGACGACTTCAGTTGTCTCCTTCAGTATGGTCCTATAGATAGTTACCTCTGTTTTGCAGCCAAAAATAAACCAAAGGGTTGGAAATGAAGTGACACTTATAGTGTAGTATTTCCTATTCATGTTTAAGGGACATACCCCACATGATTTGTGATATTATTGGGAGCAAGTCTTAGCTTTCTTTTTTAGTATGAAAGGTAGTTTAAACTAGGACAAGCTTATCTTCTAAAAAATGTGCAGTCTTCAAATGGTTAATTGGCAATCCCTGGTACATTTCTGCTATTTTATTGACGAGCTCTGCAACTCAGCTCTGTGACTGTGTGACAGTAACTGTGTAACAGTGATTTTTCACTGGATTTAAAATCTCCTGTCTTTCTTGAGACTGTAATTTATGAGTCCATTTCCCTTGAATTTTCTATAGATATTTTTTTTTTTACTCAATATGAGCTTATTTTGAGCTGAAAGCATACATGCCTTGATTGGCAGAGGCATCTAGACAATCATGTCTTTTCCAAAGAGCTTGTGGTGCAGATGCTGTTGTATGCAGGGCATCAGCATTGCAAAACTGCAGTTATCCATATATCTAGGTGAGAGTCTTTGTTTTAGGCAGGACAGCAAAGAGCATTTTTGGTTTGTTTTTTATTCTGACTTCACCTTTGTTAAGGGTAGCACTCTTTATTTTGCACTGTTTGAAGGGTGCAGAAGAAACAAAATCCTGAGAACTTTCATGATAACAAGCATGCAGTACTCCTTCTTAAGGATTTTCATCCTAAAGAGTAGCTTTTGATTATTCTGTCTCCTATAGCTACCATCTCAGCTTCTTTTATTCAACTTTTTAGATTTTGTAAGAACTGTTTGGGGCCAAGAAAAATGATATTGCTGCATCCAAATCTCTTGTAATGCTTTCATGTGAAAAAAATACAGTTTTCCTAATAAAATGTCTTTTCATGTTGAAATTTTTTTCCTTTGCATCATACTCCCCCATCCCAGTAGATTTTCTTTTTTTAGTCCTGTATTGCTTTTAAGTATTATTTGATGAAGTTTAAATATTTATGAATCTGTGAACATTTTAAACTCCCCTTCTTCAGCAGAAGTGGCTCGATTAATTTTTATATTTTTTTTTTCTGAACTTGTATTGGCACATAGCATTAGGCACAGATTTTTTTTTGTATTTATAAAGCCTATTAACCTAGGACATGATCCCCAAGAGCATGTGTTCTCTCTGGAAAAAGATCCATTGCAAACCTATAGCAGTACTGTTAGAATTTTTTTATGCTGTACCTGTGCTCATCATCATCTGCTGACTCAGTAGCTGTAATACAGTAACCTAATTGTTTTTGTTTCATGTTGGAGCCTGGTTTATTAAAGGAGTGGGTTCTGAAGTGTTCTGTTTGCAGTATTTTGCTTTTGAAATAGAAATGTGGTAGAACTGTCTTTGAAAAGCTTCAGAGGAACAAGATTTCATGTTAGATCAGGCCAGTGTCCAGTTAGAGCGCAGTTGCGAAATTTCTCCAAGTGGACATGAAGCAGCAATGTCATCTCTGCATTTTCCACACTGGCTGGTTTTTGGCACCCTTCCCCCTCTTAGTCTGGGCAATTTTAATTTACCTTAAAATAATTTTTCCTTGCCAGGCAGGCTCTGCTCTTAAGTCTGTTGTGTGTATGCTGTTTTAAAAATAAGGGATAAGTGAAAACATAAGACTCTGAAACTGCTGACTTCAGTATCAACATCTGAAGGCCCATTTTTGGCCTGATATCTCACTTTTGCAACACAGTTTCTTTAAAAAGCATGTTAAGACATTGGCCCTTTTTGATCATATAGGATGATGTCTTTTTGATTAGCAGGATTTCTGCTGTACACTGTTGTGTTTTTTAATGTTCTGACTTTTTGTCAGGACTTTTACTCCAAAGAAATTAGAGTGTAACAAAACCTGTTTGTTCTGTCCACAGAGCTCCGCAGATGCAATTTATATTGCAAGGCATGTTGGTCTGCGTGTGGGGGTTCCTGTCCCAGTTCCAGCCCTCACTGTCAACAGACTTTGTGGCTCTGGTTTCCAATCCATTGCCAATGGATGTCAGGTATAAAGCTCTGTATTTCTGCATTAGTTGTAACCTTTATCAGTTTGTTACATCAGACAGTTAATGAGAGAAGAGGCTTGCGTAGAAATGTGGACTTTGTGCTTGGGATGAGTAATTACTATTATCCCATAACCCAGACAGGTTGCCCAGAGAACCTGTGGCTGCCCCATCCCTGGCAGAATTAAAGATCAGGTTGGATGAGAATTGGAGCAACCTGGTCTTGTGAAAGGTGTCCGTGCCCATGGCAGGATGATTGAAACTAGATGATCTTAATGGTGCTTTCCAACCCAAACCATAATATTATATGATTCTATGATTTTTGGCTACCACTATTAGAAAATTCCTATTGCCCTGCATGGTCCTGTGGAAGAGTTCAGCCTCTGCAGATTCTTTGTGGCTGGATTTAAAGATCATCATTACAGCTATTTTGAGTTTAACATAAGGAATGCAGCTGGTGTTAGCCAGTGAAATAGTGTTCAGCTGTGTAGTAGTTGCATTCTGTGATCCTGTTTGTACAAATTGGAATTACTGGCCATCAGAACCACAACAGGAGGCTTTCACCCTTTGATCATTGTACGGAATCTCACCTACTAGCTATGTTAGGAGCATACTGTGTTTTTTGTGTGTTTTTGTTCAAAGATCCAAAACATCTGATGGGTTAGGTAATTTGTAGAGTCGCTTCTTCTAAAACAGAAGAAAATCAACTTCTCTTTGAATGGCTGGCCAAGACCACTGAGTACTGAGCAGGATGATATAGTGGTATGGTGATTTTTATTTCATTTATTCATACAGACCAGTGGTCTGTGACACTAGCAGTGGTCTAGACTTTACAAAATTAAAGGGTATTTTGTAGCTTTTTGAGCAGCCACAGAGTTGGCTTTTGTTTGGGTGGTGGTTTTTTGTTGTTGATTTTTTTTTTTTTTTTATTTCTGAAAGTTCCCAATGGCTAGAGAATCATTTTAGGTCTGATCCTCTCCAGGAAAATATGTGAAAGACAATGTAAACTTAAGGTTACATGTTTACAATAATATCCACTTGACTGTTTTTGATAGTGCTTTCTGCAAAGGCTATGTATGTGTTGGTCTTCACTGAAAAAGGTCTATTGGAGAATTTGACCACTTACATTGGAAGTGTGGTTGTGAGGTCTTTTCCAAAGATGGCATTTCATCAGTGCACCTAATGCTTTTGTATTTCCCTGGCACAGAACAAAGCTATAGCTTCTGTTCTGAGCTGCTCAAACATGCACAAAGTTTTTAGTAACTATAGGAAGCATCTTGGAAGAATCTCATTTGTATGACTACAAAGCAATCACGCTGATTACTAAGTAGTTATCTGAAATGCTTATGAAGATCACTTCATCTGCTTCCATTCCAGTACACAAACCACCTTAACTGCCCACCTGACTGAACCGATTTTAAAGAAGCATAATTTTTGGGTGGACTTACGGTGTGTTTAGTAATTGGGACTTTTAGGTTGTGTTGAATTAATGTGTTTTAGGGGGTTATTTTGGCAGCTTGCATGTCTAATGTTTTATAAAATGATGTCCCTTATTTTTTAGGTTTGTAAGGTCTGGTTTCAGGCTTCATGGTTTAATTTGTGTTCCTTTTGAGAAGATTGGGAGTGCAAAAAGAAAGAGCTCAACCATCTGTGAACCGATCCACACAAGCATGCAGATGCTTAATGGCTTTGTTCCTCCATCCTGTCATTTGTGTGCACCCATATTCTCTTCCTTCATCATTGGTATAATCATTCCTTACTGAAAGGAGGAAGAAAGAGCATGTCAGGAAAGAGACAGACCCTAATCTTAATAGAAGGGTGAACCCTTCATAAATGTACATGTGACAAAGCTTGAATGCATTCTCTGTTTGTGGCTCTGTAGGCAGTGAGGTCTTTTTCTAAAACATTTCTTACTGTCTTACAAAACCAGTCCTAGATCTGTTTTGTTTTTCTGTTAACAGGAAATTTGCCTTAATGAATCAGAAGTTGTTCTATGTGGTGGAGCTGAAAATATGAGCCAAGCACCGTACGCAGTTCGAAACATTCGATTTGGAACTAGATTGGGAGCAGACCTCAAGGTCTAGTACCTTTTTTTTTTTCACCTGTTGGTTTGTTTGTTTTGTTGTGTTTTTTTTTTCTCTGAACAAAGTCATGTTTACAGAGCAACATAAAGTATCAGGCTTGTCGATACTATATCCTTGCAAATTAAAGTACTTGAGATTAGATCCAGATTTAGTTCTTCAAGGCATGAATCAAGTATTCAGACATTATCATAACAGTAGGTTGAGGCAATTTTGTTAGGCATGCCAATTTTCCAGCTTTCCCAAGCCCATGTTTGAATTCCTGTCCCATGTTAAATGTATCAATAAACTCTTCGACACAAAACTTACTTCACTTGGTACATCCCATCGAGTTACTGTATAGAGCATAAAACCTTGTCAAAGGCTGTTAAGTAGAGGCATACGGTTTAGGTAAAGCTCGTAACGCTAGCAGTGGGTGGATAAACTGGTAAAGAACATGTGTATCTCCAAGTTTTAATCATCTCTCAATTTTTAAAGGGGAAACTTGATTTTAAATACATTGATAGATAACTTATTTTTGCATTTTCTTCTGAAGACAAAAATCCTTAGTGAATACTGTGGGAAATTTGCAGCTGGATCCAGCTCTCCTCTGATATTTTCGATTTACTCAGTGGGTTGTAACCAACATCAAAATGCTGAATTAGGGTATTTTAGTCTTTCAGTCCTTAGGGGTTTTTTGCTATATTTCTGTTATGAAGGTTGAGAATCTGAAATACCAACTCTGTTCAGTGAGTCTTGTGTGGCACTGTGACTAAGTCTCAGATCCTACAAAGAAAACCTTCACAAGGTTGCTGATGTACTGAGTCTCCTTAGGTGCCACTGGGTTCTTATCATGAAGATAATTGACTTACACAGTTGCAGGTGAATGAGTGATTGATCTTGCAGAACTTTGCTGGTCACGGATAGATGGCAAAACCTGTCTGGACTGACTGGGCTTGCCTTTGTCAGGTTAAGTGAAGTTAAACTTGGGTGTTTCCTCACCGGAGAGGTTTTCCCTACAGGAATCTTTGGGTCCCAGTAAGGTGATTTTGCCTGATAGCAGAGAAAGACCTGAAGAATCAGTAGGCTGCTGTGCCTTTTCATAGTTCCTCATCTTTCCCTTTTGGTAACCAGAAAGACAGGCATGTGTTCTCATAGGTCTCTAATAAATAATTCATGCAGCAGTAAAATACACTGAAATGCTAAGACTTGTAGGCTTTTCTCAGATCTCTCAAGGCCACATGTGAGTAGAAAGAACCGTGCTAGAGCACAATGTCTATTAACTGAAATAGCACACAAGAACCTGCAGACTGTTTGGACTATTTTCTAATTTAAATAAAGTATCCACAGGTAACCTGAGTTAATTTTACAAAGAGGCGTTCATTTTCAAGAGGCTACTGAATAATTAGAAACTGTCGATAATAAATGTTAATACTGCTGTGCTTTATAATTTTCTTACGTTCTGCGCAGCTGGAAGACACACTGTGGGCAGCTCTAACAGATACACATGTTAAAATACCTATGGCAATTACAGCTGAAAATCTGGCTGCAAAGTACAACATCACGCGAGAAGACTGTGACCGATATGCTTTCAAAACGCAACAGAGATGCAAAGCTGGTTAGTAAATTTAGGAATTGAAGTGTTTATATGATACTAGTTTCAAATCTAGAGGTTTTAGAGTCAATTAAAAGTATTTTTAATTTTTTTTGTAGCTTATGCATCTTGGTGTAATTTGTCTTCTGATTTTCAGATGATATTCAAGCCCTCTGATCTAAATCCTTTTACTTTCTTTTGCAAACCTTGAACAGTTAGAGCAGATGGAATCTGAAGAGGGGATACTTGTTCGGGACCTGTTTAAAAACTGTTCTCTAGGTGGTTTCATGGCCAAAGCCATAATTTAGAGTCATTTGGTTCCTGTAAATTTGATTAATAATGTAAGGAGGATGGTAGACCAAAAGCCAGTAGAATGTGTAGTGATCGTACTGGGACCTCAAAATGCATTGCAACCTGAAGGTGAACCTAAGAAGGAAAGACTTTGGTATACTTTTAGATTCTAATGATGCTGCTTTTTAACAGCTGCTAGTCTCAAAGGAAGATTTTAAATTTTTACGGCGTGTGCAGCAGTGCCTTTTGTAACTTTTCTTAGTCATACGTTGCATTTCCTGTTCATCTTGTTAGCTAAATCCTGCCATTCCTCCAGCTTTTGCTACAAACTCTGCCCCTGAAGGGGGCTTTTGCTTCTTTCTTGTTTTCAAGGATTCTGCCTTGCTGTTTTCATGTCTGCTTGTTATGACTAGTTAATCTTATTCCACACTAAAGAGAGAGTCTTGTGGTTAATCAGGAAAGAAAAAGATTATGTAGAACTAACTGTGAGAAGTTCAGAAGCTAAACAACATTAGACATGGCAATTTCACTGTCATAGTTCTAAATCCCTTAGAGTTGCATTTGTGGAATGATTTGAAGAGGCTGGCAGTCTTGGTTTAGTTTTGGGAGGTAGGAATTGTTTTGCTTTTAAATCTGTGTGTTCGTATCAACCGTGTGAATATGAAAAGTGGTGTTTTGATGCCTGAATATTGGCCCCTAGTGTCGTCTTAGGTGATGTGGCCCTCTTGTGGGCATTTTAGGTAGCTACAATGTCTTAAATTATTTCAGGTTGCTTAGGCAGCTGAATTCCATTCTAAGATTATGACTTGAGTTGAGATACTGTGGGGGTGCCCCTTGGACAGGATTTTAATTGATATACAATAGCTTATGCTGGTTGTCAACAGAGAAGATGTGGCTTAGGATTTTTTCCCCATTCCTCTCTGAGTGGGACTTACAGCTTCTTGCCTTCTGGTGAATGACAGAGCTGTAGAATAAAGCAACAATAAAGGGGAATGTGTATAAAAAAAATCTAGGTATTAAAACAGAGGAAGGAAGAAGAGTTCACTTATTGAAAGCTGAAATATAACTTCAATATTTGAGACTTCCTTTGGAGAATTTTGAGAATGTATTTTTAGAGTTTTTGCCCAGTTTCTAAAAGAAAAACCTGAACAAGCAATAAAGCACCAACCAGCCTATTTAAGCAAAATAAAGCATAAACAGTACTGTCCCTGAACTCTTGGTTAAAATAGAGCAAAAGTTGTGTGCGTATGAAAATAGGATTATTGGTCATGCTGTGCAATCAGCTTGATATTTATATCAGACTCCTTTTATTTTCCTTTTTGTGGTTGCAGCTCATGATGCTGGTTACTTTAATGCTGAGATGGCACCAATTGAAGTGAAAACCAAAAAGGGGAAAGAAAGTATGCAAAAGGACGAGCATCCCAAACCCCAGACCACTCTGGAACAATTGGCAAAACTCCCAACTGTCTTTAAAAAGGATGGAACAGTCACTGCTGGGAATGCTTCAGTGAGTACGTCAAAGCCTTGGGTTGTGAAAGTGTCACCTTTAAGGTTCTCCAAATTTAGTGTCACTGTATTTATGTCTCAGTGAGCCGCCTTTGGCTATCAGTGGTGTCTCGTGACAAAAATGATTTCTAATTCTGCAATGGAATGCCTCTGCTTGAATGCTTCAGCCCCAAGATGGCAGGTGATCCTTCAGTCTGCTCCTGTGTCCTAAAATTTGGTTCTTTGGATTGCTGTGTTCTTTTAGTGGGGCATGGACACTTCCTCATCAGGCTTGAGTTACACAGCTGGTACCTGCGGTGGCTGTGTACAGGCACCTTCTTTTCTTTGTACTTTTTTTGGTGGCAGTGATTACTGAATATTTGTTTTACAAATTATGCATTATGTTAGGTGGGTCTGTTGCTGATGATCATCTTTGTACCACAATTAGTATCCTCTAGTCCAAACCACATTTTGTTCTTATGCAGAGTAGACTGGGTGCTTAGCAACATGTTATTACAGACTGTTCCTCTTACAGTCATTATCTTAACCAAGTGATTAATGATCTTTAGGCCAGAAGGACCACTGTGATCATATAATCTGATTTCCTGCCTAAAATAGATCATAGCCACTGTGTCTGTAAAGCATCTTTTATAATTTCTAATACATGTATTATACAATATTAACACTGTTCTTGCCAGTCAACAGAACAATGGTTCCAACATAAGGGAGACTTTAAGTGGCAAAAATGTATTTTACTTTTCTAAAACACTGAAATTAATTAAACATCTCTATTTAACTTTTTATCACAGTCCACAGAATAGATTGTGGTTTGTTGTTTTGAATAAACAATAATACAATTGTCTGCTAAATGTTGATACTGGTGACTTGGACACAAGTTTTTTCTGAGGGGTATACTTAGTGTAGTGGACTTTTTGTTTGTTTTTTGGTTTGTTGTTTTTTTTTCCTCCACTAAGAATGCTTTTCTCTCTTGTTGCAAGGGGGTATGTGATGGGGCTGGTGCAGTCATCATTGCCAGTGAATCGGCGCTTAAAAAACACAGTCTTACTCCTCTGGCAAGAATAGTAGCATATCACTCATCTGGCTGTGATCCTTCCATAATGGGCATTGGTAAGTTGCAATAAAGCACATTATTTTATAGGATCAAGCAGCACTAAAATATTCTTGTATTGGGCATTCTGTGGAAAGAAAGAGAGACTGCAGTGTGCTCAGTCTGGAGGCTCTGAAGATGCTCATGTAGTTTACTGACTGTCCATTCCTCTGCATCACTCCACCCCTCTTACTCAGAGGGAGTGACTTACTCCTCAATTTGGCTGGAAGGGTATGTGCACTGCCTGACTTACAGCATTAACACTGAACTATAGTCTCCCAGGCACCCTTTTTTTCCTCCTTTTTTCCTCTCTCTGTTACTCAAAAAAAAAGATATTTCCTTAATGTTTTTTAAAACCCATTTCCTCCTGAAATTCACTTTAGTTTCCCAGTTTTGAAGCTTTAAATCCCATTATTTAAATAGGCTACTATGAGTTGCCTTTTCCACCTCTTACTGAAGGAGTATTGGTTGAAAAGTGCACACTTTTCAGCAGTTACTTAGTTGCTCAACCTAAGGTGGGATTCCAGGATACACATCTGTTCAGATATTATTTTGGCAAACCAAATCTTTTTTTCAGTCACGTATTTTACGCTCCTTAATCAAGTAGCTGTTAACACAAACCCTCAAAGCCAGTCCAGACATACCAGGATTTTCCCTTCTGTTTAGTTTGTAGACAGTGTTGTATCCTGGCATCTTTTCCTTTCTGACATCCTGTTCAGAGAAGTCATTGTTGGCTGGTTCCATGTGTCAGTAGAAATGCAAATGAAGCATTGTCAGATTTGTTTTCTCGATCAGACTATCCAACTAACACAACCTTCAAAGCAAATGTAGAGGGAGGATTTCTTTCGCTAGACTTCATGCTGTCATTGTGCTTTCTAAACTAGCCCATTCTTTCAAAGTCAGGCAACTCTTTTAGCTTGTTTAAAAACTTCATAAATCATATGGAGAAGCATTTAGTATCCCAGCTTCTTAACGCCAGAGCTTGTCCCCAGCATCTCAAAAAGACCAGAGGAGATTCATCGACATGACAGCAACAGATCTGAGAACAGGAGCTCAGTCTAAGCAACTGCTCTTTCACATACTGATAGTGATGAGGAGTCCTGCTTCACAATGTCTAGTGAGAGAATTCATTGTTTTTAAAGAAAAGAGAAAAAGAGAGAGAGGGAAAAATGTCTGCTTGGCTGTCATTAATGGTCTTTGTATTGTACACATGAGACCCACCCGTTACTCTCACGGGTAACTGGCATACTAAAATCTGTAATGAGATGCATTTAGTTCAGTATTAAGCAGCCTGAGGCTTTCTGATAATTCACTGAGCTTTGAACTGGGCCCCTACTTTTAATTTTTCTGTCTTTTCTGTCATTTACTTATTTTTATGGTTTTTATTCTTTGAACTGTGAGTTTTCATCACCAGTTTTTGATACTGAGATAGAATTTAGGCTTGTTAATGTTCTAGGATTGGGGTTTTTTGTCTAATAACCAAAATGGCCATCTAAGATCTCAGTATCTTTGTCGTACAAGCACATATCTAATTAACCCTTTCAAATTCTCTTTGAGTGTCTCTTTCCTTAGGTAGCTGAGAGATTCATCTCCTCTAGTGGATTATGCTAGGTCATAGGTGTCAGCTTTCTTATTGAAACAGTTTTATGGCCAAATTCTGTAATATTCCCAGAAAAAATCTTAACTGTCTTCAGTAGCTGAGACCTGGGTCCAAGTGAGCATTTTATTCTTGGGGACTTTTACTAGAAGATTTTCAGATAAATAATATTAAGAAAATCAAACAACAATACCCATAACTAAGCACATGACCAGCAAACTCCAGAACACCCTGCCTTTTTCTTTTTTGTATACCTGGAGGCTGCAAGTTGTGAAGAAAGAGTAAGCTGAGCCAAGAGTACAGGGAAAGAGAAAACCTCAAAACTGCCATGAAGTTGTTCTGTTTGGCTGGGGACTGTCAGTTCTCTTGACTTGAAAGCTATGTCTGTGTTTACCAGCTGTGCAGCAGTAGTGACACTCCTGACTTTCCCTGGCAGTGTGTGGAGAAGGCTGCCAAATAGTTTTGAGATTTAGGAGTTCTGTTACTACCTAATAAAGCAGGTGAGTGGCATATCCAGAATTCATTGGCTGCAGAGAAGCTCATGGGAGGAAATCTGATGAGGCTTTTATGAAACTATCCTATGTATGTCATGTTTATAAGCTTTTATTTAGTTAATTTTTCATTTAAGTAACTGCGCATACAATTTCAAACTAGGCCCTGTACCTGCAATTACTGAGGTTCTGAAGAAAGCAGGATTGACCCTGAAGGACATGGATTTAGTAGAGGTAAGGAGTTTTAATATGAACAGTAAGGTTACTCCTGATCTTTTTAGCAGAAACATTCCATTCATACGTGTAGCCCGCCATCACAAAGTAGGTGTTTCTTCATGTCTGGAGCCTGCCTGACCTCTTTCCATCTAGTTTCTACAACAGTTGCGCAGTTGTTAAAATAAAAAACATAAAAAAAAAAAAACAACCTTAGGCATGTGGATGTGGAAATGGCATGATAGAATTCCATGGAAAAAATCCTCATGTGACATGAAGTTTTACTCTGCTGGCTGGATTGTTAATGTTTAAGGTTAGTCACACTTCTCCATTTGTGACCAAGGCCATTTTTAATCAGAGCAGAGGATTCTTTATGAGCACACTGCATCAGAATACAACATGCCTTTCTTTTTTTTTAAATGCACTGCATACGAACTTTGTATCACATGTGCCAGGAGGTTTTGAATTTACATTGGCTTGGCCTGACAATTCGTATGTTGTCTGAGTATGCTTTTATATGTTTAATATTTTTCTCTGTCAAAATGACCTGGACAATAAATGAGGTGCACTTCATCTTGTGTGCACACATACTACTGAAGGCTTGTGTGGCAAGTCAGACATGAACAGTTTGTATTGTTCCTCTGGTGTTTTAGGTGAATGAGGCATTTGCACCGCAATACCTAGCTGTTGAAAAGGTTTTGGGCCTTGACCCTGAAAAAACCAATGTCAATGGAGGTGCCATTGCGATAGGTCATCCTTTGGGAGCATCAGGCTCACGGATCACAGCTCATCTGGTTCATGAGTTGAGGTATGTACATAGCCGATAGCTTCTGGTAGTGAATGCAGTGCTGATGTGTTTACCCATGCAAAAGATTTTCGGCGTGGATGCTGTGTGACTAAAATCTTCCAGTTGACTGGATTAGAACTCTACTAACTGAAGTACACTTTGTTACCTTTGTGCACTAGTCCAGGTCCTGCAGCTTGCCTCGTATTCCATTCTGGTCTCATTGCAGGGTTTTTGCTTCTTCTACATCTGATCCAACCCCACAGTAGGCAGTGGGAAGCTTTCCTTTTTTAAAATGGCCTTTGAACAAAGTCTGTTCTTTCTTAACAGGGTGCATTTAAAAGGCTTTGTCATCACTTTCTTTCTCCTTTAGTCCACTATCAGAAATTTTGACTCTTTTTGGCTTGCTTGAAATGCTTAACACCATTTAATCTGAATTTTCCTGGTTTCTCCCCCACCCCAGGGCAGAGATCACTCTTATCTTTTTGCTTGTACTTGCAACATTAATGCTCAACCACAAAGCTTCAGTTAATTTGTACCTTGCAGAAAACTGTTTCTTGGAGTATTGCTGCAGAAAACTTAGCTTTAAAATACTACCTTGGCAATAAAATCCTGTCTTATTTACGCCACTCATATTACGTGTTGAAACCACAAGTGTCCTGTAATGTTATTCTTTCTGTTTCTAAGAACAATATAACATACAATCTTTCAAATGGCTAAAGATTGACATGTAACTCCTTTTTCTACAGAAATATTTCAACATCAGTTGAGGCTTAATGGTATTTTTCTAGAAGAACAGCGACATACACTCTAAAATGTCATCTTTAGTGGTACCAAGTTGATGGCTAGTTTCATAAAATCAGGACAACAACTACTGTGGTTTTATAAATGTAAATCAATCTCACTGTTTTTACAGGCGTCGTGGTGGGAAATACGCAGTTGGGTCCGCTTGCATTGGCGGTGGACAAGGTATTGCTATTATCATTGAGAACACAGCCTGAGAGATTCTGGAGACTGCAGTGTTGCCTGAATTACTAATTCCCAGAGAAACTACTGCCTTTTGTGACAACAGAGCATCACTGCCTGCCTTCACTTTGTGCCATTCCTGCAAGGTAAAGGAATAGCTGAGAAGTCTGAATTCTGAACAAAAGGATTCATTACTGTCTTTCTAACTAAAGGAAGTGTAATAATTTCACACTGATGAAGTATTTTCTAAAACCCTCTTTTCAATCAAAATTAATGTATTTCTGTAGGCGAAATTATTGTTTTCATTTCCTGAGGAAATTGTCTGTCAAACTTTCACCAAACCTGCCTTAAAATAGTCAGTGTAGCTTTTTAAGCAAGTTTTGCTTAAACTCTTCTTATTTCAGTTGCTGCTGCTGTCTGGCACGTGTGCCTCTTTTATCATCAGGAAATGTTAAAATTTAATTGGAGACCTGAAGTATATACTGATTGTAGATTGATGGCTATAACCTGTACCCTGCTGGTTTACAAGGGCAAATAAATGAGCAAAAGCTGAAATTTCCTTTGTGCCCCTCAAAAGAACAATAAACACAAGAGGAAAAAAAAAAAGGGCTTGGTGTTCATGTGTTTGTTTATTTTAAAAGTGAATCGCTGTGGGAATTGTTACTTTTGGTAAGTCAGTGCTTGTTTTTGGAGAGACTGCTTCTCCTGCCTGAGGAATAACTGGTGTTGGCTAGGTAGTTTCTAGAGAATTCTTAACAAATCTGCCAGCCTTCCAAGTTGTGTTGTGTCTGCATACATCCAGCAACTCATTTCTTAACTTCTTCTGATAGTACCATCTGTTATCTCCTGGGTCACTCTAAGGTGGGGCTGTGCTTAGCTAATCCGAGAAGTGCACATCAGAGCAAGTTATCTTGTCTCTCACAGGCAGTGGAGTTCAACTTACGAATCATTTGATGTGATGTACTTGAGGTGTGAATGAAATGAGATGGCCATTGACTGTGCTCTAGGCTCAATTCACTGTCAAGAGCAGCTTGCAGCTTGCTCTGATGTAGATGTCTGTGTTAGATGCTCACAGTTAATTGGACAGATCTCATGTCAGAAGCAGCATGCACTTCTGCATGGCCTGTATTGTGCTTCATAAACTAAAATAGTAGCAAAAAGTTCAGCCTTTACTCTTTCTCATCCTCTGTTTGCTGTCAAAATATTGCTTGTATACAACTCCTTCTTGCTACTCCTCTGGCATGAGCTGTGGTGATTGTGAGCAACAGCAGGTTATTCAAAACCTGACTGCCTAGCCTAGCAAGAAATTCAGGTCAAGGCAAGTGTTGTTAACAACTGGTAGAATACAGTTGAAGCATGCTCATCACTGTTGCTGGGGTTTTTTATGGATTCAGTGTCTTTAATGACTAGAAATACTTAGCACTGTTTATATGAATTAAAAAAACCACCTGCCGTAAGCCAGCAAACCAGGTGTTCATCTAATACAGTACCCATTTTCCTGTCTGCTGTACGTAGTTAGGGTGACAGGGGTTTCACTGCTCAAGATACAGTTGCCACATGGATCTTATAAAGCAGGATATTTTCTGTTCTTAGTTCCATAATAACTAATTCCCTCTTCTGTCTTGTCTGTGGGTAATTATCAAACTCTTATTTACAGAGTACTGGCCACAGTTTTTTCAAGATCTTGTACGTGTGCAATAACCGTTCTTTGAGAGCTCATCACTATTTATGTACAGTGAAGGATAATCCCCTTCATGTACTTTACTTAATGTTTTGTGTCCCTCTTTTATCAGTTTCTTGAGATCCGTGTGTAATTCTAGCTGAGAGAGGTGAATTTGGTCATCCTGAATAATTATGTATTCTCTGCAAAATGCATTATGATGTCCATCTCATTTTCCAGATAACTTATGAATGTGTTATCAGGACAGATGATTGTACATCCTGCTAGCAACCATTCTTTGCTGTGTGAGCCAGCTGTTTCTCATATAATTCCATTTTTATCCTGTTCATTTCCTGCAAGAGCCTCTGATGAGGGGCTTTGTCACACTAATGTGAAACAGCAAAATCCTTTCCCCTAAGGTTACTGGGACTTAATGTATTGAACTTCTAATACGTGCAACTTCTTCCACAACTTCCGGGTTTTAAAGTTCAGTGTCTGTATTTTCAGGGGCAGGAGGGGAAAATGTTCTTGTTTTGGGAGTAAATTTCTTTCTTTTCACCTGTTCTCGAGTTGCAGTGCCTGGTGTTCTAATTAGGGTGAGTTATGTATGCATTATCTAAATATGTGCTTCTGTTTGCTGTTGTCCATTTGAAACGTGTCTTGCATTGTGAGGCTGCTGCCAAAAGGGCTATTTTGTGTCAGTTAAACCCTTGAATAGTTGAGACCCATGCAATTATTCTTTGTGGACTAGAAGTCATCAAGTGAGTTGCCAGTGACTTTGTTCCACCTTTGAAAGTTGCATGGATACTCTGCGGTTTGGGGGAATATGCTGTATTCCACTTTGAAGTTCCTGAATTAGCTTTAGAGTGTGATGTTGCCAGAAGTGCAAAACCAGGTTCTGTGCTGGATCATGGACAAACACAGTTTGCTGTGCTTCAGAATATTGGCTTTTTCTTACCAAGTTACTACTAAAGATGAGCACAAGCAATGGCATTTGATTCCTTAGCCAATATTCCACAATATATAGGGTTGCTGAGCATTGAGGATTTAGTTTGGTCTGAGCCTGTCTTTACTAGCAAGTCCAGTCATTTATGACAGACTAACAGCAGTATTATCTGATCCTTGTACATCATTATAGAGTATGTTACCCGGTTTCTCAAATATGACAAGGGTAGAACCGTTTCTGCCTTTGGGAGATGAAGGCATCTCTGCTGACAGCAATCAGGATTAGGGGAATTTAATCCTGTCCTGGAAGGAGCAGATTAAATTCGTCCCTCTAAAACCTAACAGAGAAGAAATGTGTTAGATTTCAGAGGGGTAGTGACATACATTGATTGTACCAATTGCGTGCTTCTTTTTTCATTTTAGGCTCAATTTAGGATTCTTAGGTTTTTCTACTTTTGTATGAGTAGTCTCTGTTATACAGTATAATGAAATTGTTTAGTTTTTCTTTCTAGAAATGTGTGAGAAAAGAAAGCATTTGTGGGCAGTATTCATTGCCTGCATAAAGCTGTGCAGTATTTACTCCTAAGTGTAGATGATGCTTTCTACCACAGGGTGGTGCGTTTTAAACACCCTGCGAGCCTCACTGTAGTCAAAGGCGTTTGTTCTCTCGATGGCAGCACAGCTTTTCTTTTGAGTGCAGGCTAGGTTATCCTTGAAACAGAATCACCTGAAATTCCGTGTCCAATTTCTCCTTTTGGGGTTTTAAACAGGGAGGTGCTGCAATACCAACATATCTTTGCTACTGTACACCACAGTCTTTGGTGTTGCTTGATGTCAAGTGGATTAGAAACATTTGTTTTGCAGAGTGGGGTCCAACTGCTATTGGGTTCAACAAGGTGATGACAGGAGTATTATATCTGGCAGAAGATGAAGAGAATACATTATATGGTTCTTTCATCCAGAAAAAAGCTATTAAATCTATGCAACTGTAAATGAGAGACAGAGAATGTAGAGAGATCCAGTGGAGATAGACTTGCCTGTTGCACTGCTTTCTGGACTAAGCGCAAGCAGCTCTGTTACGCTGCTAGTGGAACTCAGATAATTAAGATGGGGTGTTGCACAGCATTCTATAAAAAAAAGTTAGATCTTGAAGCTTCTAAAGTGCACGATTTCAGGGAAGTCTCACCTCATTGTGAGTATGTCTAATAAACTCTTCCTCAATCTGTAAATCCAGACATTTTCCATCTGTTGTGATGCTGTTAAGCCAGGCAGGGCTCTGTCTCGCCTCCACCTCAAAAAGTCTGTGTCATCCGACTGGGGCAGCTGGATGCAGCACAGGGATGCTGGGGGGTTGGGGATCAGAGAAGAAGTTAATCCTTCTGGGATTTCACAAACTAAGGGTTTAATAACAGGGGGTGCAGTTTCTCCTGTGGCTATGAGGGCTACAAGTGACTACAGGGAACTAGCGCTAGTGATATGTTTTCTGATTTAGGTACATTTACATAAAAACTAGTAGATTGCACCATGAGTTAGGTCTAAATTACGCGTATGATTGTTGGTTTTAGTATTAGAATGGGTAAGAATTACTCATGAAAGGTGAGTTAAGATAAAAGGATAACATTTTTGAACTTGTCTGCTGTTTGATGACAAATCCAGCTAGTAATGCCTGGTCAAAATGCCTTAGGAATTGCAGGGCAGTTCAGATGTAAAGTCAGGGTCCCAATCCGCAGCTATCTGAAATTGTCAGCATGATAAATTCAAATTCATCCTGGCAGGTATGAAGCCAGAGTAGCTATTGTTTTTTTCCTCTGGTCGTCATGCTCTTACTCAGATTCAGCAGAAGCAGGGCTGTATGTTCACACCCTACCTGATGCTTTTCTTTCTCTGTTGCTGTCTGATAACCTGTGTGAAACATTTGTCATTCCCGTTACTAACTAATTACTTAATGAAGATTGGAAACACCATCTGACTACATCTCAAAGGAAAACTCACGGAAGTTTTACTTTGAGAGATCAACATTGACAGCAAGCTGGGGCTCAGAAGTTTTATGGTGTTAGATTCTTCTGCAAGTTCCTTGCAGTACTGTATCTAAATATGTTCCTTCAGTGTTGAGTGAACATCTTCTATTTCATGTATTTTCTCTAGCATTGTATTTATTGTAACTGTTGTCAGCTATAGGAGGAGAAAAAAGATGGGAGGAGAATAAAGATCTTAATCCCTCTTTATAAACATTTAGCTGTAGTACAAGATGCACATGATAAAAGCATTGGGCTTTGTGTTTTGCTTGTAGGAATACTTTACACTATAATGTGTTTCCCCTCTGCTCTGGTTATTTAGAAATAGAGATTTTTGAGGTCTTCAAAAGGGATTTGCAAAATATAGAGTGTGAAGCAGAAGAGAACATAATCTAAACACAGAAGGGAGATCTTAAGAGATGGCAGAACAGTGGGAAGTTGTATTTACTGGGTCTCTAATCATTGAATTGATCAATAAATAACTCATTTTCAGGAATTTTTTCTCACACAAGGCTCTAAAGCGTCTCACCTACACAAAACTGAAGTTGCACTCTTTTTAAGAAAAAGTATACTTGCCAGACTACAGAAACTTCTAAATCCTGTTTTAAGAGTAATAACAGAACTGTGAGATTCAGCAAATCTATAGTTGGTAAGATGATAAAAAGTTGACTGAGTTGGAGGAAAACATATAAGGTTGTGGTGACCAAAAAAGCAGAACTCAGCACTTATGGCTACTGCCGCAGCAGTGGCAAGTGTCAGGTCTTCAAATACTTAAGATTCAGGGTAAGGTAGGAAGGAAGTGGACTATGAAGTAGATTGAGTATGGAGTAGAGTCTGAGTAGTTTTGAGTATGGAACAGATTGAAGCTGATGGAAAAGGCAAGTGTTGGATATGAACCAAGAACTTGCTGTGGCAGGTGTTGAGCACTGACCAAAACTA